TGAACAGTGACAAGGTGAACCGAGTAACACAAGATCCAGTATATTAGCCAGATTGTGTTCTTGACTATATCATCAACATGCATTTGGTTGATAAATCTGACATGATGGTGGGCGCTGTTGAGTGTGTATGGAAAACACTGCAGTGGATGAAAAAAAGTGTTTTTCCATCTTGACATAAGCATGCTGAACAGCTACAGTATGTATCTGGCGAAAACTGGACGTAAACCAAGTTTCTGTTCGTTTGGTTTTACACTTGTGACAGTTACTAACAAAGTTTGGAAAAGATGTTCCTGACATACAAAGATCCATCATGAACCCAGTGTTGCAGCATGCTGCTACACCCTGGCTCACGTACATGGAGGGCTTTCAAGCACTCAGACTAAAACATTTGCTACCGGCTGGAAAGCGTGCAATAGGCCAACGTGACTGCTTAGTTTGTAGAACAACAAAAAAAAAAAGAGAGATCAGAAACATAAACTGGTGCAAACATGGTGTGAAGTGTGTGCAGTCCCATTATGTGCTGTCAACTGCTTCAATGACTACCACTGTCTCCAAGACTTCTAAATGGGCAATAATAGTGCAAAAACCTGTAAATAGTGTGTGAATGTGTGTAAATATAATAATGAACAACATGAATACATATTATATTGGCATAACTGAAAATATTTGTGTGTTCATGTGTATGCTCAATGTATGCAACTTTTATTATCAATGAACATGAAGTAACATTTGATGCAACACAATTAGTGAATAAAATTTGTGATAAAACACGCCTAAACACTGTAAATAATGCAGCGAAAATAAATTTGTGGCAACTCTGGCTGCTTGAAAAACCGAATGCGATGCCTCTGGGATGCACCTTGCATGAGCCAGCATGCAGGGTGTGACATCATTGCTCATATTGTCGGCTCATTTACATCATTGGTAAGTACAATTAAATTTTCTGTGGAGAGCCCCTTCGGCTCCCCAGAGCTATACCGGGCTGATGTGAATATATTACACCATGGCAAAAGTTAATCGAAAGAGTTCTAGGCCTACCGGGGACCAGAGCCAGAACCTGGCCTTCTCAAGAGAGGCACGAGGAGCAATAGCCCAAAAACACCCCCGTGTAATTGGAAGCAGTCTTTGTCTGCCATCTACCAGGTCAGGCACCCAAAAAGGTAGAAATTTCAAAACAAACTACTGCTGATCAAATAATTTGCAAACTGAAAGCCAAATTAGCAACAAAACTCCCCAATCAAAACAAAGGAAACAAGTATGACGTTACCGCAACCCCCTGTCCCCCTCCCCGGGAGGGGGACAGGGGGTTCCCAGACCTCCACACTGGCAACTCTGCTCAGTTCAAAGGCTGTTGTGATGGTGAATGGTCGATCGCTCTGGCTCCACTCTTTACGCAGTGCTGCAGTGCGGTGTTGTTGCTCTGTTTTGGTGGTGTGCGAGCCAGACGTAACACAAGAGTATTGGGGCTGCATGCACCTAGAGCTACCTTCCCTAGGTGCCCCGTAAGTACTGCCTTTGCGGGTTCAGGGTTATCTTCCATGAGCAGGAGCTACTTCCGTGTGGTTCTGTCGGTGCTCGGTGATTGCTCGCCAGGGGGGTTCAGCTGGGGAGGTTCTTACTCCTGTTTACCCTTGGGTAGGAGGTAGTTTCGTCACTGGCTGGGGCGTGAGGTACTGTGCAGCTGTCTGATATACGCATAGCAACCAATTCTGTTCACCTGGATATTTTGTGCTTTTACGGGGGTTTTCTTTTGTTTTTGTTTTGTTTTGCCTGGCGGGGGTCTGCCAGGTGTAGCGGTAGGACCACTTGAAGGTTTTTGGTGGCCCTCCACTAGGTTCCCATGCTTTCACACGTCACAGGGGTTCAGCTTTTAGATTGTTTGCTTGGTAGCTCTGGGATAACCGGTTAGCAGTACCTCACCTGGGCTTCCCTTAGCAGTGAGCCTAAGGGCCCTGGAAACCTCCATTGGGGCTCAGTGGTCCAATGTAGGAGACCTGTAGGAGTGCCACCTCGTCTTGTGAGAGTTTGAAGGTTGCTCTGTCCCCCATCTCAGGGTGACACTCGCTGTCTGCCTCCGCCTTGCTACCTGTTCGGGTCAGTGACACCTATGACCCGGAGTCCTGCGAGTGGTGTTTTTTGCTTGTACTCCAACTCACCCAGTCCACTGAGACTGGTATTTGGGTGCAGGCAACTTTAGTGTTGCATGCGAGGTTCAAGTTGCAGCAACTTGCGAGGTTGGTTGCCTTCCAGATGCCCCGCAGCTGCCCCACTGAATTATACTGGTAATGAGACTCGGGTGGCTTCGGGGATTGCCCCTTCCGGATCGGCGGCAGAGGCATTCGAGCCTGGTCCTCCTGCCGGAGCTTTTGGGCCACGCCAGTGGGCCCCCTTCATCCTTGCTTTTCCGGTGGACTACTTTTTCTCCAAAGGCAGAGGATTTGGAGGACAGCTCGGCCCCGGGTCTTGATGTGGAGGATTCCGGGGCTGAGGAGGAGTTGACTGGGGGGGGCATGGGCCCCGGTGGTCCCTGCTTGGGTGTTTGGTACCCTCGGTGCAGGGTTTGTTGTTACGGGGGAGGGGGTTTTCCTATTCCCTCCCTGTACGATTTTGTTATGAGTTCGACTCCTCCCCAGGTTTGGTTCCGAGTTCCCTTGGGCTCTTCGGTTCCCTCTTGGAGGTTTTTGGCTTCCCACATTCCACCGAGGAAGTGTGGGAGGCCTCTTGAGGCTTACCTCCTGCGAGACCCAGATTACGCCTCGATAATGAAGCCTTCTTTTTGAGTTTGGCTCCTCTTTTCCTTATTGGGTGCATTACAAGGTGCCGGAGTCTTCCTGGCTGGTAGACAGCCTTTTTTTTGTTTGGGGCTTGCCGTTTGTCCTGTCGGACTGCGCACTTGAATGGCAAGAGTTGCCTACGGTCGGTGAGGTTTTCCTGGGTGAGTTGGAGCACTTCAAGGCGTGTTTGTTCGCCCCCGTCCTTCCTTATGATGTTGGCCAGGTGCGGCTTCGCGTGCAGGTTCCCTCCCTTTCGGCATCCCTGGTAATTACCTAAGTGTAATTACCTAAGTGTAGTTACAGGATGAGAGCTACGCTCGTGGTGTCCCGTCTTCCCAGCACTCTTTGTCATATAATGCTTTGAAACTACTGACGGTCTTGGCCTCCACCACCTTCTCACCTAACTTGTTCCGTCTACCACTCTGTTTGCGAAAGTGAATTTTCTTATATTTCTTCATCATCTGTGTTTAGCTAGTTTATATCTATGACCTCTTGTTCTTAAAGTTCCAGGTCTCAGGAAATCTTCCCTATCAATTTTATCAATTCCTGTTACTATTTTGTATGTAGTGATCATATCACCTCGTTTTATTCTGTCTTCTAGTTTTGTCATATTTAATGCCTCTAACCTCTCCTCGTAGCTCTTGCCCTTCAGTTCTGGGAGCCACTTAGTAGCATGTCTTTGCACCTTTTCCAGTTTGTTGATGTGCTTCTTAAGATATGGGCACCACACAACCGCTGCATATTTGTGCATGCAGGTGTGGGTGATAAGGGCCAAATTGCCCTTAGCAACACAAGGGTTAAAGATTGTAATACAGTCTCTAAAACCAGGAAAACATCCATTGAGCCAGACTTGAAGCCAGAAGCTAGAGGAATGCTGCAAAAATCTTACGGTACATAAAGCACCCAATCAGCACTGAAAAAATTCTAAAAGGCCCCAACCTGGAGAATTACCCAGCATTGAATGTAATGAAATGATTCTTTCAGGTGGGTTCAAGGTGGTCTCCCTGTTGCTAGCTGCTTTGAATAGTGCCACAATATATATCAACCAACTTCATTGTGCTCGCCTATCCAAGACCCTCTGCCAGATGTAGCTTTGCAGTTTCAATAAGTAGATTCTAGTGGTAAAAGATCTTTATATTCTCTCAAGGTCAGCAATTTTTCCAGCTTTAAATGGAGCTGTTAGTGTGCAACAATATTCCACCCTAGAGAGCACTAATGTCTTAACACTATTGCTTCTGGATAACAGTAATGATGTCTTAAAATAATTACACACAGTTTTCCCGAGGACGGCAGTGCCAACCTAATTTTAAATTTTTGTAAAAATTCCATATATTGTCCAATTATTATGCATGCGGTTTGTTTTAAAATGTGCAGTTCCCCCCAGCCGAGAATACTTGGTTGGCGCAGATAAGTGGTTAAAGGGAACACCATTCTCATTTCAGTTTGCATGTTTTTCTCATTCTCCTTAGTGATATGTGACTTGCACATATTTCAGGTGCTACTATGCCTAATTTCTCAAGGCACTGGTTCAAGTTTGCATTATCTACCTGTCTTTCCCAGTATATTTCTGTAAGAACTTGGTATATTTGTTCCCATTTAATCCACTTGTTGTTATTGAAAATTAATTTCCTTTATTCTCCTCCTCTTGGATTTGAGATTGACTGCACAGGTTTATTGCCCATGCATGTCTGAACTTCAATTAGGTTGTGATCCGAGTTAAAAACTTTTTCACCGAAAATGTAGGTTGTGTGTGGCCTATCTTCTCTTATTCCACATTCTATAACGTGGTATTTATTCACATTAAGTTCCATTTGCCAAGTGTTGTAAGTGGTATTGAGTGGTTGAAAGGTTTGTGTCATAGCAAGTGGTTAACCTTAGTCTCGGTTGACAGATGCTCTACTGAACTCTGCAACACATTTTACTGGGAGGACAAAACAATTTGAAAAGGCGCTTGCCCTTCTGGGGCTCAAAGTCACACATAGCATTGTAAACCAGCAGGGTCCTTTTAGGGTTCAGTGCTTTAAGTTAGGGAGTTACTGGAGAAAGGCCTTGCTCAGAAATGTGTTACTTCAAGATATTGACTAAGTACTTTTTAATATACAGTAATAGTGAATCCTATTAGTTTTTATCATTAGTTTTTCAGTTTAAAATGTTCAGTAGTAATAGCCTTTCCAGCCGTGCAAGTCCAACTGCCTTTATAAAAATTAGTGGTAGCATTATACTCACATGAGAAAAGTTTGGGACGGATGCAGTTTTCCTCATGAGTGGACGGCCAGCAGACTGAAGCAATTCCTTCACAGCTACATTTTGTCGCAACCTGTCCAACATTAAGATGGACTCCACAGATGTAACACCTTTCGTATATTTCTCTGTTGGAAATACCGGTAGTTTTTAGACATGATATGGAAAAAAGAGCAAGTTTAATTCAAGAGCATAAAATAGTTTATTATAATTTGCATGAAGCATTTAACCCCTTGTGCTGCTCTAGGCCTTAAAGGAGGAAGCCCCAAACCTGAAAGAAGCAGGATTCATCAAAGAGGGATAATCTGAGTCACGCAGGAGGTAAGATGCCATGGCCGCCTGCACCTCATGTGCCGGGATGTGGGAAGCTGAAAACCTCCGGATGGATGAGACCGACGAACCCGAAGGGACCTGGAACCAAACCCGGGGAGAGACTGACACCATATCCAAGTCATATGCAGAAGGGAAGAAAGGAAAAACCCCCCCTCCCCGTAACAATAAGCCCTGCTGGAAAGGAACAGAACCCAAGACCCCTAAGTCAATCCCTCCCCAGCTCCAAGGGCCCTCATCACAGGCCCCGGGGCCGAGCCGTCCTCTAAGACCACAGTCTCACAAGAAAAAGCCGGAGCAGCCATACAAGCAGGAATAAAGAGAGCCCACTGGTCAGACCCAGATGCTTCAGCAGGAGGACCCGGCTCAAATGAATCCGTCGCCAGCCCAGCAGGGGCAGTCCCTGACACTGCCCGAGTCTCCTCACCATCTACACTCTGGACCAACTCCGAAACCCTCAGACGCTTCGGAGCCCGAACGGGGGGGTGAGGTGAGGAAAGGAAAGGAAAAGGAAAAGGAAAAGGAAAAGGAAAAGGAAAAAAAAAAAAAAGAGAGAAAGAGAAAAGAGAAAGAGAAAAAGAGAGAGAGAGAAAGAGAAAGAGAAAGAGAGAGAGAGAGAGCGCAGAATGAACTACAGAAGGGATGGGGAGAACAAGGGGCATGGACGAAACCAATGTTGAAGCAACCAAAACCCCTAAGTTCTGGTCTCTAAACTCAAAACAAGACAATCTCGGGACTTCCAGGTTAGCAACCAACCAAGCACTTGAGGTTATCTTGAGATGATTTCGGGGCTTTAGTGTCCCCGCGGCCCGGTCCTCGACCAGGTCTCCACCCCCAGGAAGCAGCCCGTGACAGCTGACTAACTCCCAGGTACCTATTTACTGCTAGGTAACAGGGGCATTCAGGGTGAAAGAAACTTTGCCCATTTGTTTCTGCCTCGTGCGGGAATCGAACCCGCGCCACAGAATTACGAGTCCTGCTCGCTATCCACCAGGCTACGAGGCCCCTGAACGTTGAGGCAACTGAAACCTAGATTGCAATGACTGAGCCGCCTGTACCTGAACACCCAAATCAGAGGTCTGGGAAACCTGAGTCACCAACAAGCAACAGAGCTCGCAGGACTCTGGGTCATAGGTATTACCAACCCAGCAGGCAGCATGACGGAGGCAGAAACAATGAGTGTACTCCAGAGACAAGGGAACAGAGCAACCTTCAAACTTGCACAAAGCGAGAGGAGACTCGGGGGGGACACATCCATCGAACCCATGAGCCCCTGCTCTTGGGGTGAGGTTTCCCAGAGCCCTTAGCTTTTCAATCTCCACTAAGGGAAGCCCAGGCAAGGTACTACTAACTGGCTCCCAGAACTACCAAACAAACCTTTAAGACTGCACCACCAGGACATGCATGCTCATGGGGGCCTAGCGGGGGTACAACTGAAGTATATACATAGATATAGGGTATGACCCAACCTAAGGGCAGACCCCCACCAAAACAATGGAACAAAAAGATACAAAAAAAAAAAAAAAGCAAGAGGACAGCATACCCAGAGGATGCAGAGCCAACCGCTATGTGAGGTGACAACTAGCTGCGTAATACCCTGCGCCTCAACCAGTGACGAATACCACCCCTACCCAGAGACAGAGGAGCAAGAAATCCCCCAGCTGACTCCAAAAGCGGACAAGTACTGAGCAGTAAATGACACAACGGGGGGGCAGCCCCAAAGACGACTTGTGGAAGGAGACCCCAGGCCCCAAGGGCAGTACTTGCAGGGGGCTTAGGGAAGGGAGCCCTAAGCCCATGCAGCCCCAGTACTTGTGAATATACTCCCAGCTTGCACACCACTGAATTTTAGCAAGAATCAGAGAAGAAGTCCGGAGCTGGAGGTACACAACCGAAGCCCACCGACATCAGCCAAGAACAGAGAGGCTTGGGTAGCCGGTGGAAGGACTGGGGCTACCCCTTCCCCCTCCCAGGGAGGGGGGAGGTGCGCAGACAGTGGCGCATTGGTAATGAGATGACGTCATGCTCGTTTGCATGTATTTTCTTCATGGGGAGTTCTATCCATTTGTTTGGCTTTAAAAGCAATTCTTAACCAGAATGGGGGTGGGGGGGGGATTTGGGGCACCTATCTTTCTGGGTGCCCGACCCGGTCGATGGCAGACAGAGTACTTCTAAATTATATATAAGGTGTCTCTATAGGCCATTGCTCCTTGTGCCTCTCTGAGGGGGCCAGGATCTGTCTCGTTGGTTCCCGGTAGGCCTAGAACTCCATGTACATTGACTGATGCCCAAGGCTATTCTCTGCATAGCCTAGATAGCTCTGGGGAGCCTCTGGGTCTCACCCAGAAAATGGCATTTCATTACATTCAACGCCGTTTTTTTTTAGGTCCAGATACACACACTTAACCCAACCATCTCTATCCTGAAAAATCTCTGCAACTATCATAAAAACTAAGTAGATTTGCTAAATAGAACCTTCATGTTCGAAAACCATACTGTCTGTCTGTTATTATGTAATTACTCTCCAGGTGTTCTATCCATTTGGCTTTAACTATTTTTTTAGTATTTTGACTATCATGCTTGTTAATGATATGGGTGTAATTTAAAGGATCTTCTCGGATACCATTTTTGTAGATTGGAATGATGTTTGCCTTTTTCCATATATCTGCTAAGATTCCTGTGCACAGTTATATCTGAAATATTAATAGGAGTGGAATGCTCAGCTCAGTTGCACATTCTCCCAGCACCCAAGGTGAAATTCCATCTGGTCCAACTGCTGTATTTCTTCCTAGACCTCTTAAGTACTTTTTCCACTTCATCTTGAGATACCTCTGTATTTTATGGTGTGCTCTGGCATTGGCACTGGGTCTGACTCTCATAAAATCCTTATTTTGTGCAAACACGCTTTGGAACTGTTTATTTAGTGTTTCACACACTTCTTGTTCTTTATCAGTTAATCTGTTCCCCGTGTTCAATCTCTGGATTGTATTTTTTACATGCAGCTTGCTTTTAATGAATTTACGGAAAAGGCCTGGATCTGTCTTACATTTGTTCGCTACCCATTTCTCAAAGTTCCTTTCTGCCTCTCTCCTCACTGTTGTGCATGTGTTTCCTGCTTTCGTGTAGTGCTGGTGTGTTGGAGGGTTAGGCTTCTTCCTACATTGTCCGCATTTTCTTCTCTTTTCTTCTCTGGCCCTTTCACAATTTCTGTTGAACCAATCCTGTTTTCTGGTTCTGCATTTCTGTTTTAGTATGAATGTTTGTGTGCCTTTATCGTATATTTAAACAAATTTGGCATACATCTCATTTACTTCCTTGCCTAGCAACAAGTCTGTCCAACTAAATTCATTAAATAATTTGCTAAATTCCCCATAGTGTCTTCTTTTGAAATCAAGTTCATCAACTGTTTCTATATCCCCATTCTCTTCTAGATTACATCGCAAAGCATATTTCATTTCCAACAGGACATGATCACTCTTTCCCAAGGAAGGAAAGTACTGGATGTCGAATATCTTCTTTCCTGGTGAATATTAAATCCAGTAATGATGGAACATCCCCTTACCTCATTCTTGTGGGCTGCTTGACGTGTTGATAAACTAATGTCTCCAGAATGAGGTTTACAATTCTGCCTTCCCAAATGTCCTCAGTTTTTGCTTTGTAGACCTCTTAGTCTATCAAGTTAAAGTCCTTCAGTACCAACCATCATGTTTTATCTTTATCTGCTATTAATATAATCACTCATTATGAGGCCCTCTCATTTGTCACCTAGTTCCATCTTTGTCCATGTGTTGCTTGCTGGTGGGCTGTAGGCATTTACGATTATCAGTTTATCATCCCGATTCCAAACCTGGAATGTAATTAAAGTGTAATTACCTAAGTGCATTTACAAGATGAGAGCTATGCTTGTGGTGTCGCATCTTCCCAGTATTCTTTGTGGTATAACGCTTTGAAAGTACTGACGGTTTTGGCCCTCCACCATCTTGTCTTGTCAACTTTATGAGGAGTTTAAGTTTGGAACTCTGCCCTCTGTAATGATCTTACCTGATAAATAGTTAGCCCAGGGCAGAGGAACACTCAAAAAGAAACATTAATAGGAGGCTTACCTATATATGTCTCTCCATCTTCTGTATGAGAATCGTCAACATTGGCAGCCATCTGAGCGAGGGATTCACGTTCCTCTAATTCTTCACTGGCCTGTAAGAAAATTAACATAACCAATGCAAGATGTTGCAAAATCAGAGAGACATAAAAGAAAACTAGCACTGAATGTAATGAAACGTTGGTTTCTGGGCGAGACCCAGAGACTCCATGAAAATATTACAGTGATTAAAGTGCTGTACTACTCAGTGTCATCAGTTGCGTAGTTCTATTGACTTACCAGAGACCATGATCCCGAACCTGGCCTCCCTCTAGAGAGTTGCAGGGAGCAGTGGCCTATGAACACTTTACATTTAATGTTTATCATTGTTGCCACCATCCAAGGGAAAGCACCCAGAAAGATAGGCGAATCAAAACAGACTACTGCATGGTTAAAAACGAGACCGTAGCCCCAAAATTGCCAAAAGAACTCTCCCACAATGAAAACAAAACAAAAATTTGGTGAAACTAGATTTTCCTAGTTTGCTCCAACTCCCCATTGCCTTGAGAGAAGAGAGAGACGAACCAGATCAGTCACCCCCCATCATTCAATTCTATAATGATAAAACACACCAATGACCTGGGGAAGGGAGGGTGTCAGGGAGCCTCCAGGGCTCACTCAGAAACTGGTAATTACCTAAGTGTAGTTACAGGATGAGAGCTACGCTCGTGGTGTCCCGTCTTCCCAGCACTCTTTGTCATATAACGCTTTGAAACTACTGACGGTCTTGGCCTCCACCACCTTCTCCCCTAACTTGTTCCAACCGTCTACTACTCTGTTTGCGAAAGTGAATTTTCTTATATTTCTTCGGCATCTGTGTTTAGCTAGTTTATATCTATGACCTCTTGTTCTTAAAGTTCCAGGTCTCAGGAAATCTTCCCTATCGGTTTTATCAATTCCTTTTTACTATTTTGTATGTAGTGATCATATCACCTCTTTTTCTTCTGTCTTCTAGTTTTGGCATATTTAATGCCTCTAACCTCTCCTCGTAGCTCTTGCCCTTCAGTTCTGGGAGCCACTTAGTAGCATGTCTTTGCACCTTTTCCAGTTTGTTGATGTGCTTCTTAAGATATGGGCACCACACAACTGCTGCATATTCTAGCTTTGGCCTAACAAAAGTCGTGAACAATTTCTTTAGTATATCGCCATCCATGTATTTAAAAGCAATTCTGAAGTTAGAAAGTGTGGCACAGGCTCCTCGCACAATATTCTTTATGTGGTCCTCAGGTGATAGTTTTCTATCTAGAACCATCCCTAGATCTCTTTCTTTATCAGAATTCTTTAAAGATTTCTCACATAATATATAGGTTGTGTGGGGGTCTATGTTCTCCTATTCCACATTCCATAACATGGCATTTATTAACATTAAATTCCATTTGCCAAGTGGCACTCCATGTACTTATTTTGTCCAGGTCTTCTTGAAGGGCATGACAATCATCTAAGTTTCTTATCCTTCCTATTATCTTAGCATCATCAGCAAACATGTTCATATAATTCTGTATACCAACTGGTAGATCACTTATGTAGACAATAAACATCACTGGTGCAAGAACTGAACCCTGTGGTACTCCACTTGTGACATTTCTCCAGTCCGATACATTGCCTCTGATCACAGCCCTCATTTTTCTATCAGAAAATTTTTCATCCATGTTAGAAGCGTACCTGTCACTCCTCCAATATTTTCCAGTTTCCAGAACAACCTCTTATGTGGAACTCTGTCGAAAGCCTTTTTTAGGTCCAGATAGATGCAGTCAACCCAACCATCTCTTTCCTGTAATATCTCTGTTGCTCGATCATAGAAACTGAGTAAATTCGATACACAGGATCTTCCAGATCGAAAACTATACTGTCTGTCTGATATATCATTTCTCTCCAGGTGTTCTACCCATTTAGTTTTGATTAGTTTTTCCAATACTTTCACTATTACACTAGTCGATGATACAGGTCTATAATTGAGGGGGTCGTCCCTGCTGTCACTCTGATGTCACTGTCAATATGCATCCTTGAGGTTCAGGGACACCATCCAAGAGCCCGGCTCCAAGAGAAGACGGACCTGGGACAGTAGTCATCCTGAAGGAGGGGCAAGAAACCCACAGGTTCAGACAGGACAAGTTCATAATAAACCAGAGGTCCGCGCAGTCCCACTTCGGGACCGGAAACAGGCAGGAAACCCACCTGAGGAACGCCGTTGTCGTGTTTCGACCACTCCCAAGCGAACCCACTCCGAGATGACCCGACAGAACGCAGGGGAAGAGGCCTGCCCCACCAGCCCCGAACACCCCAAGGAAGGAGGAGCCACCCAACACCACCACAGGCCGCATGAAATGACCCGAAGACCCCATGAATCGTGGGACCAGGCACGAGCAAACCGGGCGAGCCCCCCCCCACCATCGCCCCGTCAATGGGACAAACCGCTAAAGGGCCGACGTGCCTTGTGAGAACCCAAGTGGCGAACAGGGCGATCCCCGCACCGACCAGCAACAGCCGGAACCAAAGGCTGCGCCAGCCCCAAATCTGGCACCAAAGGCCTACCCCAACGAAAGAACCCCGAGCCCTGGCACGATCTTTCCGGGAAGGTCCCCAGTGAGCCCCCCCCCCCCTGGAGCAACAACAACTCAAACATAGGCCAACAACTAACCGAGGCCTCCTGCAGGTACTGCACCACAGCAGACTCAGCAAACAGCAATGGACAAAAGGGCGAAGACAAATGAAGAGCCAGGGCCCAAGCGGATTCCAAGGAAGAAGCCAGGGCCCAAGCGGATTCCAAGGAAGAAGCCAGGGCCCAAGCAGATTCCAAGGAAGAAGCCAGCGCCACTTGACGACACGCGAGGCGAGAAGCATAGAACCGCAAAACCGCATCACACAGGATGGGCGCGAAGAGCTTCAACAAAGCAGACAACAACCGCACCCCCACATCCAACTCAGCGGCCCCAAGCACCCCCACATCCAACTCAAGCCAATCCGAGGACAGCTCAAGGAGGGAAAAGAAACGCAGGGCCGACCCAAGTAGGCCACCAATCTGCAAATCCTCTGCAACCAAGGCAGCCGAAAGCAAAGGAATCTGCACATGAAGCTGCATGACACCAACATCACGCGAAAGGGCAGGAACGAACAAACAAGCATTAAGATGCTCGAAGTCACCCTCCAGGAAAACCTGGAACACCGTAGAAGTCTCTCGGCACTCAAGCACGTGGGACCGACAGAACGTGTGCCAAGCCTCCAATAAAAAGAGAGGACAGTCTGCCAACCAGGATGACTCTGGAACTTCTTAATGAACCAGAAGATCCGTACACGAAGGAACGCGGATCCATCACAAAAGCATAATACGTGTCACGCAGGAGGTAAGCCACCATAGTTTTGGCCTATTTAATGCCTTTAACCTCTCCTCGTAGCTCTTGCCCTTCAGTTCTGGGAGCCACTTAGTAGCATGTCTTTGCACCTTTTCAAGCACATCAACAAACTGGAAAAGGTGCAAAGACATGCTACTAAGTGGCTCCCAGAACTGAAGGGCACGAGCTACGAGGAGAGGTTAGAGGCATTAAATATGCCAAAACTAGAAGACAGAAGAAAAAGAGGTGATATGATCACTATGTACAAAATAGTAACAGGAATTGATAAAATCGACAGGGAAGATTTCCCGAGACCTGGAGCTTCAAGAACAGGAGGTCATAGATTTAAACTAGCTAAACACAGATGCCGAAGAAATATAAGAAAATTCACTTTCGCAAACAGAGTGGTAGACGGTTGGAACAAGTTAGGTGAGAAGGTGGTGGAGGCCAAGACCGTCAGTAGTTTCAAAGCGTTATATGACAAAAGAGTGCTGGGAAGACGGGACACCACGAGCATAGCTCTCATCTTGTAACTACACTTAGGTAATTAAACTTGGGTAATTACCAAGGCTTCCCAGACCTCCGAAGATGAAACACAGGAAGGCAGAAACCTGCAGAAAGACGGAACTGAAGAACCTGCGGGATCACGGAACCAAACCCGGGGAGGGGTGGACACCAAGTCCAATTCGTATGTGGAGGGAGCGAAAGAGAACACCTCTCCTTGTAACACCAAGCCCCACTCACAGGGTAGAAAAACCCAGTGGGGTCCAATGGGGCCCAAGGCCCCCAAGCCAACCCCTTCCCAACCCTGGGAACCTCACCCTGAAGACCTGGGGCCGAGCCGTCCTCCTGACTCCCAACCTCTAAAAAAACCTTTTTCGGGGAGCAGCTGAAAAAGCAGGAACAAAGGGGATCCACTGGCCAGACTCAGCTCCGGCAGAAGGACCAGGCTCGAATGCCTCCGCCACCGCCCCAGAAGGGGACACCCCCGAGACCGCTCAAGTCTCCAAACCAACTAAACCCTTCCTCGACTCCGAAACCCTCAGACGTTTTGAACCAGGAAATTGAAAAGACGTTTCATGGGTCGGGAATGTGGTCCATGATTTTTTTTTTAAATGGTGTCTGTTTATAAGAGCCCTGATGAAGGCGAGGTGAACCCTGTGTTTAAATGTTTAAATTGCTGGCTGTTTAAATCTTGCATAGTAATTCAACACGTCATATGACATGATGCACAATTTATTGCAAGTTACTCAACACGTCATATGACATGTTGCACAGTTTAAGGGTTAAGAAAGTAATTAGAAACAGCAATGCAAAAGATGTACAGTGACCACAACACAGCAGTTGCAACATCAGGATCTGTGGGTTGGTACAAGAATTCAACCAACTACGAACCACTTATTTTGATGGAAGGGAGCAGTAGAACAACAGAAATACACTTACATCGCATCAAGCTTGGATACCCACGTGCATGGGAAATAGACTTACAGGTTCCCGAAGATGAGAGGAAATGTCAGCACTGTGGAGAAATTCCCGACAGACCACTGGAATATTATCTAATATAGTGCATAGTTACAAATCCAATAAGATTTCAACTTCGATTCAACAGAGCAGAAGTTTTAAAACACATGGGGCAAAATCTCACTGAAGTGACCGTACGAGTCATAAATACTCATACTCCGCCCAAGTAAAACAGAAACAAGCAACACTTAGTGGGCCAGCCAGAGGCTTAGAGCCTGTGCAGGAATATCACACACACACACACACACACACACACACACACACACACACACAAAAAAAAAAAAAAAAAAAAAAAATGGTGCGCCACCTTGTTGGCTTGTTGATGTAACAAAACATCACATCCTAAAATACAAGTTTCACATCCTGTATAGCAATTCTCTTGCACAAAATATAAACAACTATACAACGATTCTGAGAGGAGGTAAGAGTTGGGTAGAAAAACCATTTTAAAATATTTTGTAACAAATGTATGATAAAGCATATTAAAATAGTTTTTCCACAAAATATCCTCGTAAAATAGGGGAAAACCCACCTGAGGGACACCGTCAATTTGACCAAACTAAAGCGAACCCACTCCAGGATGCCCCGACAGAATGCAGGGAAAGAGGCCCGCCCTGCCAGCCCACATTCCCCCAAAGGAGGAGGAACTACCCACCTTCAATAATCGTGGGACCAGGCGAGAGCAAACAGCACGAGCTTCCCCCTTCTCCATCAGGCCCCGAATCTGGCAATACTGGCTTACGACGATCGAAGGAACCCTGAGCCCTGGCACGACCCTTTCGGGCAGGACCACCATGCCCCCCCCTCCCCTTCCCTGGAGAACCAACAAGTCCGACATAGGCCAGCAACTAGACGAAGCTGCCTGCAGAAAATGCACCACCGCAGACTTTGCAAACAGCAATTGACAAAAAGAGCATGAAAATCTAAGAGCTAGGGTCAAGCAGATTCCAAAAAGTGGACGTGCAATGCCTGTCGGCATGCCAGGTGAGAAGGAAGGAACAGAAACACCACCACCTTCAGAATCGGAGCATAGAACCCCAACAATGCAGCCGACGCCCAAGCCGCCAAGGCAAGCACACAGGACACCGGCCCGAAACCCAGCTCCTCCACATCTTCCTCGGGCCAGTCCAAAGACAGCTCCAGTAGAGAAAAGAAAGGCAAGACCGAAGCCAAATGTCCACAGGCGCACAAATCCTCAGCCACCAGGGACGCCAAAAGGGAGGGAACCTGCACATGAAACTGCACCTGGTTGATATCACGAGAAAGCATGGGGTGAACAAGCACGCATTGAGGTGCTCAAAATCGCCCCCCAGGAAAACCTGAACGACTAGTAAACTCCCACCATTCAAGTGTCCAAGTTCAACAGAACGAATGCCAAGCCCTTAACAAACAGAAAGGGCGCTAGCATTGGCAAACAGCTTTCTCGGGCATTGTTTCACCTCTGGCCTGCTCATGCGCCACCTGAGCCGTCCTGGTCATTGGACCGGGTGCTCTCTTTTCTCTCTTCTCCTCGGTTTGTGGTGGCCCCCTCAGTTAAGGACTTTTTCTAAGGCTCTTTTTCTTGTTGGCATTGGCCTCTGGGGATCAGGTCGGAGGGCTTCATGTTTTCCTCCGGCGCAGGGGTTTCTGCTCTTTCGGTCCTGGTGATCGTTTCTTCGTTTGCAGCCGTCTCCTTTTCTAGCAAAGAATGAGTCTGCTGCTTTCCGAAGGGGTCCTTGGGTTGTTGATGCCTGGTTGGTACGGCTGGGGGGTGTATCATGTTTTGTGTTTGGATGTGACTCTTCGCAGTTATTTGCGCACCATGGCTTCTGTGGCCGAGGACACGCTTTGGGTTGATCCAGTTTCCCTTCTTCCAGGGCGTGGGTATCCCAGGTTGTCCACAGGATTATTTGGTCCAGCCAGCCTGCGGTCTATCCCCGTGCCCACGACGTTCATAAGCTTGCGGCTTTAGCTGCTGTTTTTGGTAATATGTCCTGGGCTGACATTCAGGCACGGGGCTTTTGAAGGTCGAACAGGGTCCTGGCTGCACAGTACCTTGTTATTAATGTTCCTTGCGCTTCTTGGGGTATATAGCCTTGGGTCGCAGGTTGCAGCCAGAGTTGTCTCTTCTTCAAGTTGAGGAGTGAGTGATGGCCGCCTCCCCGGTAAGTCCCTTTTCTTCTAATCTTTGGTTAGGTAGCTCTGGGGGAGCCGAAGGGGCTCTCTACAGAAAACTAACGTTGAATGTAATGAAACGCCATTATCTGGGCGAGACCCGGAGGCCTCCTGGCATCCCTCCCTCCAGTCAGTGGTATTTCGCGTTTTTGATACTCAGCCTCTGAACTGACGAGAGTTGTTGGCGTGAAGGTCTGGGACCTCCCCATCCCCCTCCCAAGGAGGGGAGGGGGTTGCACAGATGGATGCGCAGAGGTTGTGATGACGTCATGTTTGTTTCCTTGTTTTTGATTGGGGAGTTCAGTTTGCTAGTTTAGCTTTCGGTTTGCAATTTTTGACCAGCAGTAGTTTGCTTTGGAATTCCTACCTTTCTAGGTGCCTGACCTGCTGGATGACAAAGACTGCTTTCAGTTACAAGGGGGGGGGGGTGTCTAGGCCATTGCTCCTAGTGCCTCTCTGGAGGGGGGGGGGGCCAGGTTCTGGCTTTGGTCCCTGGTAGACTTAGAACTCCTATGACTGACTGTTGCCATGGTCTAATATATACGCATCAGCCCGGTATAGCTCCGGGGAGCCTCCGGGTCTCACCCAGAGAATGGGGCTTCATTACATTCAATGCTGTTTTTTTGCCAGACTTCCCCGCCCTATTGCAGCCAAAATATGCCGCCTATGATTTTTTTTATTATATTTCCCATAATCAGGGAACACAAATGAACACTTTCATAAGACAATTTTTTTTTTTATTTCTTGCACCTGGGCGTGTTGCAGACTATAATTGCAGGAACAGCCCAATGGTTAAACCCTGTACTGATGCTGCTACTTGGTGATGGTGGGAGGTTGCATAGTCAATGAGCACTTGCAGGTGGTGTTCAGGGTATGAGTCACATCAGGTTAGTTCCTCACTGATGACTTAAGTTAGACTTACCATTATCTTCCTAATAATATAATTTGCAAAGATTATTAGCAAGCTATGGTGGGAAGGTCACAAGAATGTTGTTTAGCAAAATTTTCCTAGTAGTGTATTTAACTCCAGTTCATGGAGCATCTGAGAGGATCTGAGAGGACTCTGCTCAGGAAATTATATCTTACATACCCATTAAAATAACAATCAGCCAATGTTCAATCAAGTTATTAGACTATATAACTGAAGCAGTAAATAGAGGCAAACTTAAAACAATATAAAAATAAACTGACCTTTGGAATATTGGACACAACTTCATACATTATTCCTGTTTCATATAAGGTATTAGAAGAACCAATGAATGACTTTACAAACTTGCTAGTTAAGGATTGCTTCTTATAAATATTAACTGCAAGCCGCTTCCGTAACACTAGGTCCATTGGAGCTGGATGAGATAGTCGGACCACACTTTTCACAATCAGATAAACTCTTTCATCAGCTGGAAAAAATCACAAATATATGCCTATTTAAATTTATGTGTATTAAATAAATAAATGTGCACATATTACAAAAGTTGGTCATATTTTGAAAAAGAAATGTGTTACATGAATACAAGAACACAGCACCAAACAAAATTTTATAAAAATTTCCAAAGATTATTAAGATAATGATTTCTTTCCAAAAGCATGAAAACATCTACATTTTAATACAGTAAATCAATTCTAATGCTGTAAATAAGGGCTTGAAAGAAACATGATAGTAGTTATGTACTAAAGAAAATATAGATGATGAAAACCCAGCTTTGATATAATGAAATGCTAGTTTCTGGGTGAGCCCTGGAGGCTTCCTGAAGCTATCCCACTGATATAGTGCTATATTAGTTGGGATCATCCGTCGCAGAGTTCTTGTTGCCTACCTGGAACCAGAGCCAAAACCTGGGCCCCCTCAGAGAAGTGCAAGGAGCAATGGCCTATGAGCACTTTACATTTAAAGTATGTCATACTTGTCATCGACCAAGCAAGTATGTTAACCCTTAAACTTAGGTAAACTACATTAGCCCGATGAGCTCCAGGAAGCCGTAGGGACTCCCCACAGAAAACTACCTAGAAAGAAAACAAGCAACTAGCTTGTTCATTTATAAACAAAGATAATCCAGCTTTATCCAATTAGTCCCCCACTTTATTAGTTTTTATTACACTATTTACACACATTATGTATAAGTATCTACATGTTTTATTCAACATAACTATGCAAGTAAGCTGGTATTGTGTCCAAACAGCACAGTGGCCACCATACACTGCATGACAAGTCGCACAGCAGATGGCGACGCTACGAGTGCGATGCCACCTCCCTCATTAAAATGGCTCCTCCCAGTATTATCCTGCTGCTGTTATTACACTATATACACATTATATATAAGTATCTACATTTGTGTTCACCATAGCGAACCACTAAGCTAGTATGGAGAGCCCAAACAAGATTGGCTGCCACACACAGTGACGCTACCTCGATTCCTTCCCTCCTCACCAAAATTCCTCCTCCCACAATACAACACAGTGATAATTATCACCACAATCCTGCTATTATCACAATCATGGTCACTAAATCCTGTAAATGAATAATTGACCACAAGTTTATTTTGTAAAGGAACATAAGAAGTCGTTTGAAGATTCCTAGATGGATGAAATAATGCTGTGGTGCTGTAGCTAGCGCTGTGAACATCTTGAAGAGCATTGATTTACTGATATTTGAACATTGTATACAGTCATTATCACACTCAGGCTCTTCTGTAATACTATTATGGCTAAATAATACCAGTTACATAAACATTTTGACATTATTAGGCGATGCTGTTGTCACAAGCTGAACAGCAGTGGTGTGAGCTCATGCTGCGTGTGCCAGCCTTGGTTGCTCACTCAGTACCAAGGCTCTCACACCCGGGAATGTTGCCCACATTTAAAAAAAATAACGGCAACTGTTTACAAGAGCCCTGAGGAAGCTGTTGTGAACCCCATGTAGCCATGGGAGTTTTGAATCATACGCAAAACCAATAAGATCCCTGAAGCGCGTTGCACACCACCCGTTGAGCGCCTACAGGCAAGTTAATCAGTGCAATGGTTAATGTTAATAATTCATTAACTCCAGAACTAGGAAGTTGTCAAATGAAACTGGTGTGCAGTGTATGGGTTAAGCCAGTTGGGCTGCCACCTGGTATTTGTTAGTTTAGTTGGTTAATGGATGATTAGAAAGTCAAGAACAATTCTTGGCAATTTTTGAGATGCCAGTGATCATATGAAAGGGAACCGAGTGATAGAAATATTTTTGTATGTTATAGCATGTGGTGTATTCTAGGTGATGGATTGTGGAATGCTCTCATAGTTTCCCACTCAATATTTTGCAGAACAAGACAATTTGAAAAGGTACTTATCATGCTTGGACAAAAAGTAGATTACAGCTGGACAAATCCAATTCTAAGACATTAGAGCTTGACATATCCAGTGCTAAGACATTAGAGCCTGACATATCCAGTGCTAAGATATTAGAGCCTGACATGTCCAGTGCTAAGATATTAGAGCTTGACATATCCAGTGCTAAGACATTAGAGCCTGACATATCCAGTGCTAAGATATTAGAGCTTGACATATCCAGTGCTAAGATATTAGAGCCTGACATATCCAGTGCTAAGATATTAGAGCCTGACATATCCAGTGCTAAGATATTAGAGCTTGACATATCCAGTGCTAAGACATTAGAGCCTGACATATCCAGTGCTAAGATATTAGAGCTTGACATATCCAGTGCTAAGATATTAGAGCCTGACATATCCAGTGCTAAGATATTAGAGCCTGACATATCCAGTGCTAAGACATTAGAGCCTGACATATCCAGTGCTAAGACATTAGAGCTTGACATATCCAGTGCTAAGACATTAGAGCCTGACATATCCAGTGCTAAGATATTAGAGCTTGACATATCCAGTGCTAAGATATTAGAGCCTGACATATCCAGTGCTAAGATATTAGAGCTTGACATATCCAGTGCTAAGATATTAGAGCCTGACATATCCAGTGCTAAGATATTAGAGCTTGACATATCCAGTGCTCAGACATTAGAGCTTGACATATCCAGTGCTAAGACATTAGAGCTTGACATATCCAGTGCTAAGACATTAGAGCTTGACATATCCAGTGCTAAGACATTAGAGTTTGACATATCCAGTGCTAACACATTAGAGAGCTGCTGAGGTGCCACTCAGAAATAGCATCATAGCATTTACAGCTCTAAAAAGAACATGCAAAGAACGAAAATAAAACCGTGGTATCTTACTGGGTGTAAGTCTATTGAGGTACATGTTGTCATGGATGGATGAATCCCACGATGCTACTGCACACACATCTTTTTCATAACATTTTACAATAGGAAGCTGGAAGAATTTATTGCAGTTTTCTTTGGGGATTATGGCATTATTTCCTGCTAAAGTCAGGTTGTCACCAAATCCCTGAGTTGAGAAGTCATCCGCTGAAAAATTAATAATAATAGTTAATCATGAACACAAAATTAATAATGCTCTTATCTAAGCTGACACTGAATGCCAACAAACCATTAAGAAAAACAACTTTGCAAACATTATGATTGCATCAAGCTATTACAAAGACACTATCTTAGTTACTGCAAAACAGGAAGCAATTATACATACACACTATGTTAGTAACCTTAAGAAAGAGCCAAACATGGAGCTATTGTACACAGACACACCTGTTAGTTACCTTAAGAAAGAGCCAAACATGGAGCCATTGAACACACACACCTGTTAGTTACCTTAAGAAAGAGTCAAACATGGAGCCATTGTACACACACACCTGTTAGTTACCTTAAGAAAGAGTCAAACATGAAGCCATTCAACACACGCACACTTTTCAGTTAAAGAGCCAAACATGGAGCTATTGAACACACACCTGTGTGTTAGGGGCATTGAAACAGTTGTTAAACTCAATTTCAAGAGGGGACACAATAGGGAACTTCAAAAATTTCTAAATGAGTAACTGGACAGACTTGTTGCTAGGTAGGGAAGTAAATTAGATGCATGCCAAATTTTGCAAAATATACGATGAAGGCACGCAAACATTCATACCTAATCACAGATGCAGGTCCAGAAAACAGGATTGGTTCAACAGAAATTGCGAGAGGACCAGAGACCAAAAGACAAAAAATGGAATCAATATAGGAAGAGGCCAAACCACCAAACACACCAGTGATACAAAGATGCGATAAACAACTACACAGCAGTAAGGAGAGAGGCAGAAAGAAATTTTGAAAAAGGGATAACGGACAAATGTAAAACAGAACCAGGCCTATTCTACAAGTTCATAAACAACAAATTGCAATTGAAGGATAATATTCAGAGGCTGAAGATGGTAAACAGATTCACGGAAATTGAAAAGGAAATATGTGAAACATTAAACGAAAAGTTCCAAAGTGTGTTTGTACAAAATGCAATCTTCAGAAAACCAGACACATTCTGTTTCTGAAAATTCTGAAAATCTTCAGAATTCCAGAGAACAGAGTACATAAAGGTGTCTAGAGACGAAGTGGAAAAAATGCTTAAGGAGCCAAATAAAAACAAAGCCGTTGGCGCAGATGGAGTTTCACCATGGGTTCTGAGAGAATGTGCATCTGAGCTCAGCATTCCATTTCACCTGATTTTTCAGGCATCCCTGTGTACAGAAGTTGTAGTGGACGTGTGGAAAAAGGCTAACGTAGTTCCAATCTACAAAAGTGGCGGCAGGAAAGACCCCCTTCAATTATAGACCTGTATCGTTGACAAGTGTAAATGGGTAGAACTCCTGGAGACAAACAATATAATATCAGACAATCAGTATGGTATTCGATCTGAAAGAGCCTGTGTAATGAATTTGCTCAGTTTCTATGATCGAACCACAGAGATTTTACATGAAAGAGATGGTTGGGTTGACTGTATCTATCTGGACCTAAAAAACCTAATATATCCATATCAGCCTGGATAGCTCCACAGAGCCGAAGGGGTTACCCCCAGAAAATATACACACCATGTTAACAGGTTTAAGAGCCTAATCCTATTAACTATATTATACAGTATAATTACAGTAATTGCAGAAAACATTTACTAAGACATTAAAAGTTTGACTATGAAAACTATATCTGACTCAAAGTTTCCTTAAAATAAAAATATAAATTGTAAGCATTTTTACCCACCATTTAAATCTAAGAAAAGGACTGGAACATGAGCCTCCATTCCTGGAGGGGGATCCCAGTCTGCTGGCGCACCAGGAATACTGGACCCAGCAGCAGGGACCAGGACGGCATTCCTCTCTTCAGTCAAGCTCACCCACTGGTCAACCAAGGACTGCTCCCGTTCTGTATCACATTCATTTTTGTCACCCTTATTAATTATTTTTTGTATCTGAAATAAATTTTGAAAAGGAATATTAAGGAAAAAATCACACATTAAGAACTTTATTAATTCATCAAGTAACAATATTTAAAAATCTGGAAACATCCTGTGCAAATTTGAGTAAATAATTGAAATTGACAAGTTTATTTTAAGGTGAAGCCTCTTGTGGCTTCCTGAAGCTACTATGCTGATTTATTGCCAAACTACTAGATGCCATCAGTCGTGGAGTTCTTTTAGGCCTATCGAGGACCACACGGTAGAACCTGGTCCTCTCTAAAGAGGCACAGGGAGCAGTGACATGTATAGTAAACTTTCTATGAATTTATTTATCTCTGCCACCACTAGGGAAGACATCCAGAAAGTCAACCAGACAAAACAGATCACTGTTGGTTAGAAGTGAGACTGTAGCCTCAAAACTGCCAAAAAAACTTCACCAACAATGTAAACAAATGATAAAAAATTCACGAAACTAGAGTGAGCTTGTTCGCTCAACCTTATAATGATCACGAGAGAAATTATTGTAAAAGCGGATTAAGATCAATCATGATTGTTGACATGTGGCGACTTCAATTTAAAATTGACAATACTGGGAAGACAATGAAACAAGAACAGAGGATTTTTGGACTGACCAATTCATAAACCTTATCTTGGAATCTTTCACGTATCAACATGTAAAACAGCCCACATAACTGAGAGAAGGTGATGTTCCATCATTGCCGGATTTGGCATTTACCAGGAAAGAAGAAGAGATATTTGACATTCAGTACCTTCCTCCCTTGGGAATGAGTCCTGTTGGAAATTAAATATGCTATGTGATATAATCTAGAAGAGAAAAGTGAAATTGAAATTTTTCTTTTTTTTTTTTACAGGGATATTCCTGCACGGGCCCTATGCCTCTGGCTGGCCCACTATTGAAATAGTTGACAAGCTTGATTTTAAGAGAGGACACTATGGGAGAGCTTGACAAATTCTTTAATAAACTTAATTGGAAAAGACTTGTAGCTAGGCAAGGAAATAAATGAGATGTATGCCAAATTCTGTGAACTATACTGTAAACTTTTTTGGGAACAAAAAATTATACTTGAATACCAAAATGGAGATGCAAAACCAGAAAACAGGATTAGTTCAACAAAAATAGTGAGAGGGCCAGAGAAGAAAAGGCAAGAAAATGGGTACAATGTAGGAAAAGGCCTAACACTCAAACAATATTACAGCAAAAAAAACTACAAAAAATCAATCAGAGACATTGAAATAATTAGGTAATTATCTGTTTGTGGCCACTCCTGCCTGACAGCTGACGAGCAACAGACTGTCTGGTACGCACGCTGAGTCAGCGCCTGTTTTTTGCCAGAATTCCCCACCCTATAGCGAGCAATATATGGCACTTGCCATTTTTTTTATTATTTTTCCCATTATCAGAGAACACAAATTAACAGGTTTAGAAGAAAATTATTATTTTTTTTTTTGGTATGTGCCTGTGGGTGACAAATGCTAATTAGCCCTGAGTAACATGAGGGTTAATTATAGACCTGTATAATTGACAAGTGTAATAGTCAAAATATTGGAAAAAATAATTAAAACTAAACGGGTAGAATACCTGGAGAAAAACGATGTAATATCAGACAAACAGTATGGTTTTTGATCTGGAAGATCCTGTGTAACGAACTTATTTTTTATGATCGAGCCACACAGATTTTACCGGAAAGATGTGGTTGGGTTGACTGCATCTGTCTGGACCTAAAAAAGGCTTTCAACAGAGTTCCCCATAAGAGGTTGTTCTGGAAACTGGAACATATTGGAGGGGTGACAGGTAAGCTTCTAACATGGATGAAAAATTTCCTAACTGACAGAAAAATGAGGGCCGTAATCAGAGGCAAGGTATCGGATTGGAGGAATGTCACAAGTTGAGTACAACAGCGTTCAGGTCTTGCACCAGTGACGTTCATTGTCTACATAAACGATCTACCAGTGGGAATACAGAATTATATGAACATTTTTGCTGATGATGCTAAGATAATAGGGATGATAAAAAACCTAGATGATTGTCATGCTCTTCAAGAAGACCTGGACAAAATAAGTATGTGGAGCACCACTTGGCAAATGGAATTTAATGTGAATAAATGCCTTGTTATGGAATGTGGAATTGGAGAACATAGACCCCACACAACCTATAAATTATGTGAGAAATCTTTCAAGAATTCTGACAAAGAAAGGGATCTAGGGGTGGTTCTAGATAGAAAATTCTCACCTGAGGACCACATTAAGAACATTGTGCGAGGAGCCTATGCTACACTTTCTAACTTCAGAATTGCTTTTAAATACATGGATGGAGAAATGCTAAAGAAATTGTTCACGACTTTTGTTAGACCAAAGCTGGAATATGCAGCGGTTGCCCATATCTTAAGAAGCACATCAACAAACTGGAAAAGGTGCAACGACATGCCACTAAGTGGCTCCCAGAATTGAAGGACAAGAGCTACGAGGAGAGGTTAGAGGCATTAAATATGCAAAAACTAGAAGACAGAAGAAAAAGAGGCAATATGATCACTACGTTCAAAATAGTAACAGGAATCGATAAAATTGATAGGGAAGAATTCCCGAGACCCGGAACTTCAAGAACAAGAGGTCATAGATTTAAACTAACGAAACAAAGCTGCCAGAGAAATATAAGAAAATTCACTTTTGTAAACAGAGTGGTAGACAGTTGGAACAAGTTAGGCGAGAAGGTGGTGGAGGCCAAAACCGTCAGTAATTTCAAATCATTGTATGACAGAGTGCTGGGTAGACGGGACACCACGAGCGTAGCTTGCATCCTGTAACTACACTTAGGTAATTACCTCCATTTCATAACACCGTGGTAAGGGCAAAATGCCAAAGAAAACGAGAACACGGAGCCAGAGCGACAGCAACTACACGGCACCGCTTCAGTCAAAGAATTAAATAGAATAGTGGCAGCCTGACTTACCTAGGCCAGCTCTTTCCCCTGAAGTGGGGTGGAGCATGGGGGGAAGGGGGAGGTTAGTTGAACGCAGTTTTACTTGTTTGTTTGCTGGGGAGTTCAGACAGTGGTTTGTTTTGATTCGCCTACTTTTCTGGGTCCTTTCCATTGCTCTCTTCGCCTCTCTGAGGGGGCCAGGGGGAGCTCGTGCTCCCTGATAGGCTTACAAAGAATTCTGCAACTGATAACAGTCAAGTAGTATGGTATTTGATCAGTAAGATCAAGGGAGCTTCAGCTCCCTTGATCTTACTTGCCCCTTGATCAGCTTTAGGGAGCTGATGGGGCTCCCCACAGAAAAACTTATCTGTAAATCTGCATATATTACTTGTTGATCAAGGTACATTCTTCTTCTTTTTAATGCTTCACTCCATCGTTCCCGAAGCACAGTGAGATCTTCTTCAGTGTATGAGTCAAGTTGTCTCTGGCACCTCAAACGACCACACACAGACCCTATGCTTATGTTTGTAATAGCCTGAAAGTTAAATAAAATTAATAAAAAATATTGATATTAAAATTAAAATGACTTTCATTTCAGTATGGTATTGTAAGTACAAATTAATAAAAAAAAACAGTAATGTAATGAAACGCCATTTTCTGCGTGAGCCCCAGAGGCTCCCTGGCACTTATCGGGCTAATGTATTTTATATTAGAATGGGACATTAGCTATAGAGTTCAGACCTACCAGGGACAATGAGCCAGAACCTGGCCACTTCAGAGAGGTTTTAGGGAGCAGTGGCCCTGGAAAACCACCCTGTGGTTGGGGGTTTTTCCTTATCTGCCATCGACCAGGGTTAGGCAGCGAGAAAGGTAGGCATAACAAAACAAACCCAACATGATAAGGAACTAACAACAAAAACCGAACAGACAGATAGAACTCCCTTTAATGCGAAGCAAACAAGCAAACGTAACACTACTGCAGCACTGCTCGTCCGTGCAGCCCTTCTCTCCCCGAGAGGGGGAGGGGGAGGCCCCTGCGCCGGCAGCATCACACTCCAGTTCGGAACCTAAGCTTTAACCAAAGCAAAAAAAATGCCAACCGGTGGGAGGAAAGGTTGCTAGGGAGCCTCCGGGGCTCACCCAAAAAATGGCATTTCATTCATTCAATGCTGATTTTCTGAGGGGAGCCCCTACGGCTCCCTGGAGCTACATACCCAAAGAGAAGGAAAAGAGAGGGACTGACCCGGGAGGCGGCCACCACAAACTCCTCAACGCGAAGTCAAGACAACTGGCTGCAACCTGCGACCCAAAGCAATACAAGAATGCCCAGGCGCAGATACACTCACCAAATAACGGGCGGCCTGGACCCTGTTCGACCTCCAAAATCCCCTCGCCCGAATATTAGCCCAAGACATGTTACCAAACACGGCAGCTGCAAACTTCCAATCATCATAGGCATGATGATAAACCGCAGGCTGGCTAGACTTAATAACCATGCGGACGACCTGGGAAACCCGAGCCCTGGAACAGGGAACGTGGGAAACTGGATCAACCCCAAAGTGCATCCCCAGCCACCATAGCCGAAGCACGCAGGTAACGGCTAAGAGCCACAACTTTTCACAACACATGATGCACCCCCGGGCGAACAAACCAAGCATCAATAACCCCTCCGGAAAGCAGCTGTCTCGTTCTTTGCCAGAAAAGGAGAAGGCTGCAAACATACAAAACTACCACCAGGACCAAAAGAGCAGAAACTCCTGTGTCGTAGGAGAGCAGGAAGCTCCCTGACCCGACCCCCAGAGGTTAATGCCAACAAAAACAGGCAAGTGGAAAAAAAATTTTGAGCCAAAGGAACCACCTCAAACCGAGGACAGGAAAGATAAGAAAGCACCCTGTCCAAGAACCAGGACAGCTCTGGCGGCACATAAGCAGGCCGGAGGTGAAACAAAGCATGAGAAAGCATACGTAACGGGGCGGATGTGATGTCCACCCTGAACGCAAGCTGGAGTGGCTCCACCAGCACTGCACGATATGAGGCGACAGAAATAAGCATCAAATGACGGCCATGAAAAAAAACAAGAAAGGACAAGACAACCCGATCCGAATACGAAGACAACCTACAAAGAGCAAGAAAATGGAGAAAAGAACGTCAGGAAACTTCGTACAGTCGCCGAGACGAAGCTCGCAGGTGGGACACCATCAACGAAGCCATCTGATCACCATAGAGATGGTGATACACCTGCATCAAAAAGACCAGACGCGAAGAGCAGAGGAAAAGGCCGAACCAGCCACGTACCGGACCGGTCCGACCTGCCAAATGAGGCAGAGACGCAGGAAATGCCCCGGGTTCAGGCACCGAGCAAGCAGCACCTGAAACCAAGGCTGGGCCGGCCACAAAGTGGCCATGAGGACTACTCTCCCTGGGAAAGACTCCAACTGAGCCAGAACCCGAAGCAACAGCTGGACCAGGAAAAGAGGTACAGGTAACCCCACCTCGACCAGTCCTACTGAAAGGCACCCATAGCGAATGCCTCACAGACGGGGAAGGGCACCACATAGAATGGGAGATGCCAAGACCATGCTGACACGAAGATGTCCATGTCCTGGAGTCATAACGTCCGGCAGAGCCAATGAAACGAGTTGGTGTCGACCGTCCATTCCGTGAACAGGGAAATGAACCAAGGCAGGCCGTCTGCCAGGATGTTGGACACTCCCTGGACATGAACCGCATGGAGAGCCAAACCCCAAGAATCCAGCAGACGAGCCACTCAAAGGGACCAACCCCAAAGAGGCAAGGACTGAAGAGAACCCCTGTGGTTCAGGCAATGAACCACCGGAGAACAGTCCAAACAGAGCCGGATAGTAGAGCCCTGAGTGACCCAAACCCTCCGAAGCGCAAACCAGACTGCTGCGAACTCTCGAGGAGTTCCGCGAGCATTTTTCCGCAGGCAAAATGTGACTCATCGCCGTTTGCGGCGATGGGTCACATTTTGAACCTGTCAGAAGCCCCAGCCAAGAGATGATCCATCCGTGAACACATCAATCGAAGGCTTGGGTAGGCGTCAAGGCACTAAACTCCAAAAACCTCTAAGAAGCCGGCGCCACAGCAACTGACACAAGGCTCCCGGAGGACGAACCCAATGATCGTGAGAGGCAGAAGGAGCATCCCCGAAGGAACCAAAACAGATGCCAAAGCCAAACCTGACCCAGCGGGTAGATCAGTATGGGTTTGTCTCTCCATCCAGAGGCGTGCTGGATGGAGAGACAAAGAAGCGGTCCGAGAGTCCCAAACAAGACCCAGCCAGGTCCGAACCCGGGAAAGAACCAGATGGAATGTCCTCCAGTTCACCAGGAGCCCGAACACGGCGAGCAGGAAAAGAACTACACCCCTGGTGAGCAGACAAGTGGACCGACTGGGAGCCCACACAAACCAGTCGTCGAGGTAGGGCAGAAATTGAATCCCGAGCAGATGCAGACTGGTCACCAAGACCCGGTAATGATGTGTAAATACACAAGGTGCCAAATACAAACCAAGGAAGGCAACAAAGCAGCAAGCCTGAATTGGGACACCATCCAGGCACCTGGCCCCAACAGAAGCCGGACTGGAGATAACAGTTATCCGAAGATGGGCAAAGAATCCAAGGTGCAGACGGAACAAGTCCAGAAGAACCGCAGATCTGCAAAGTCGAGTGTGGGCATTGGAACAGGCAGGACCCTGGAAGGATGGGGTGGATCAACCATGTCCAAGTTCACCCATACCAAGATGACATGACGAAGCGCAGGGGAAGAAGCCCACCCCGCCAGCTCCGAATCTCCCAAAGAAGGAGGAGCCGCCCAATGCCACCAGAGGCCGGAAGACAACCAAAAAACGCCCACGAACTGCAGAACCAAGTGCAAGCAACAGGCAAGTCGCCCCTACAGCATCACGCCAACAGCGAAGGGATCAGACCCCCTTCCGAAAGAAAATGTATATATATATATATATAAATTAAACAAAAAATAATAATAAAGAAAGAAAAGAAACCACCGACCAGTGGGTAGAGAGCATCGCGCCGGAAAGACTAAGAAGGCACAGAGAGCACAAAACCGCACCAAAAGGCCTACCTCGACAACAAATACCCAAGCCCCCGGCACGACCACAACATGTGCCAAGACCCAAAAAGAGCAGACTGCAAGCCAGGAAGACCCCAGAACCCCAGAAGGCAGAACCGGGTCACACACTAGGTAACTAAAAGCCTCCTGAATCCCCAAAGGGGGCCCAAGAGGAAGAAACCACCGGAACAAAACCAAAGAACCAAAAGGAACCCAGAATCCAACCCGGGAGAGCCCAAACCACCACATTTGCCAGCGGAAATACACCACAGAAAAGGCAAAGCAGAGCACCCAGGCAGAACCCCCAGTGAAACGGCCAAAACGAACAGAAAACAAAAGAACATAAGGTGAGGGAGCAAGCATAAACAGACAGGGACACTGAGCCCAAACCCCAGACCCAGACAGAAAATGCAAAAACCAGTGTAAAAACTAACACCCAAGCGTTCCCAGAGGAACAGAAGAAGGGTAGAACATCCCAGAAAAGCAAAGAAATGGCAACAGGAGGATAAAACCCCTGCAGGAGGTGATAAACACCCCCCAAAACGCGAGCTCGCACACTTAGGCACAGGTAAACTAACCACAGTGCCGCCCCGGTGGCCAGTTGGGGAAGTAACCCGCAGAAGAAAATGGCCATCAGAACAAAGGAGCCATAACTGACGCAAGAGATCCGAAAACACGCCAGCAAATGTGGGAAGCAAGCAGACGAGAGGGACGAAAAACCCCGCCCAGAAGCAAAAAACCCAGGCAGGGGCAAACAGCCCCAGAACTGCTAGCGGGCATCCCCCCCCACAGCTCTGGAAACCCACAACAGAGGCCCCGGGGCAGAGCCATCTTCCACGCCCTCTGCCCTTAAAGAAATGTAAGAGTCCAGGGGAAAGGCAGCAAAGAAAGGGCTGCTGGTAAGACCCAGAAGCCTCGGCAGGAGGAACAAACTTGAAAACCTCTATCCCCCAACCCGAACGGAGCAGCTCCAAAGCCGTCAAAGTCTCGGCACCAACTAAACCCCGCCCAGACCCCGAAACCCGAAGACGGTCAGGAGCTAGGAACAGGGAGGAGAAAGGGGCGAACATCACCTAACCAAAACGGGGCGGCCCCAGGTCATCCGGGTGGGAAACCAACCTAGAGTGTTGCAGCAACCTAAACTGAGCATGCAACGTGGATGCTGCCTGTACCCTAAAAGTAATGTCATCAGAATAGTATTCAAAAACAAGCAGAGAACACGACTCTAAAAACTCTGGGTCAAAGGTGTCTTTGACCCAACAGGCAGCATGACGGAGGCTAAAGAGGTGACTGTCACCCTGAAACAAGGGCACACAGCAACCTTCGAACCTGCAAGAGGCGGACTGGAACTCAGAAGACGCATCCATAGATCCACTGAGCCCCGACAGGGTTTACCAGGGCCCATAGGCTGACTGCTACTGGAAATCCAGGCAAGGTGTTGTTAACCATTTAGGACCAAAGCTAAGAAGGGGGAGATCAAATCACTGAAACCCCTGTGGCGTGTACAATCACAGGGGGCCCTAGCAGAGGGCCACCAATATATTATAAGTGGAATGATAGCCCCACCAGGAAGACCCCCCCCCCAGGCAAGGAAAACAAAAACAAAAGAAAAACCCTGCAAAAGTACAATGTTCCCAAGGGAAACAGGAAATGGCCACCACATAGGTAGGCAAGCTACACAACACCTTGATGCCGAAACCAGCACAATACCACTTCCTACCCAAGGCCCAACAAGAGTCACGAAACCCCAGCTGGGCCCCAAAGGTATGGTAAATGCTGAGCAGCAAAAACCCTTACAGAAACGGTTCCCAAACGCACCAGGGAAGAGAACCCTAACATGCAAGGGTAGTACTCACTGGGCGCCTAGAGAAGGATGCCCCTAAGTGCATGCAGCCCTGGTACTCTTGAGGACACCTGGCCACCACACATAGCAACACTGCAGAGGACACCACAAAGGCAGACTCTGCATGAAAAGCGAGGCCAGAGAAGACGTCTGCCCCGGTTCGCATTAGCTGATGAACTGGAGTGCTAGGTAGCTGGCACGGGGGCGTCCAGGGCTCGCCCCTTCCCCTCTTGGGGAGGGAAAGGGCAGTGCGTACGAGCGGCACGACTATAAAGTATGATGTTTGCTTGTTTGTTTCCAGGGGATTGAAGGGAAGAACCCTCTCTTTTCGGTTTTCGGTTGCCATTTTCTTACAATGTGGAGTCTTTTTTGTTATACCTACCTTTCTGGGTGTCTAACCCCGGTCGATGGCAGATGAGGAAAAACCCCAACCTCAGGGGGGTTTTCCAGGGCCATTGCTCCCTGTGTCTCTGAAGGGGGCCAGGTTCTGGCCCCGGTAGGTTGAACTCCTAAGACTAATGCCCTATTCTAATGATTCGTATATTAGCCTGATAGCTCCAGGAAGCTGGGGGAAGCTCCCCACAGAAATGTAAGTTTAACTAATAAACAGGAAGCAACAAAACATGTTAAAGATTAATAATGTTTATCTAATATAAATCTAATATAAATAAAAGTGTTCAGTATAGTAATACTGTACACTTAACACAATAATTAACATATAATGGAATAAATATTGTACATCTAAGATAAAACTTTTAATATGGGTGGGAGGGTTTGGTAGCTTGGTGCTTTGTTAGTGAATTAAACAACACAATGACTTCATGGTTCATAACATACATCCCTCACTGTCTTTCTACCTCCCTCCCTTTCTCACTACCTCTCCCCCCCTCCATCACTACCTCTCCCCCCTCCCTCACTACCTCTCGCCCCTCCCTCTCACTCTCACAACCTCCCTCCCTCCCTCTCCCCCACTACTTCTCCACCTCCCTCCCTCACTGGTACGCTGATCAGCTGTTGTAAATGGCATGTTTACAGGGCTATGTTTTCTACTACTGTAATGTAGTATGTTTGACCATTGTGATATTATACAGTAATACCTATGATAAATACCAGTAAATATGTTTGACTTACCAAATATGTACAAACAGAAATCACAATAGCGTGATACATCAAATGAACAAATCCACAAGGGACATGATGAGGGTTTGAACTTACATTCGGGATGATCCGAGACGCGCCTTAGTCAATTGTGCCACGACATGGTTGAAAGAATTGCAACAGGGAGTGCTACTGCCCTCACACGGATCCCGCAGCCTCTCCAAGACACAAACCGAGGCTTTACACAATTTCCTCATGCACCTGGGCTCTGTCAACGAGCTGTTCTACCTCTCCTCTTACTTCAATACACACAGAAATCACAATAGTGTAATACATCAAATGAACAAATCCACAAGGGCCGTGATGAGGGTTTGAACTTATGTCTGGGATGATCCCAGACGCATTTTAGTCGATTGCGCTTACAAGCATGAGGGTTGTAGTCACGCTATTGTGATTTCTGTGTGTATTGAAGTAAGGGCGAAGAGGTAGACCAGCTTGTTGACAAAGCCCGAGTGCATGGGGGAATTGTGTAAAACCCCAGTTTGTGTCTCGGAGAGGCTGCGGGATCCGTGTGAGGGCAGTAGCATTCCCAGTTGCAATTCTTTTAACCGTGTCGTGGCACAATTGACTAAGGCGCGTCTGGGATCATCCTGGATGTAAGTTCGAACCCTCATCACGGCCCTTGTAGATTTGTTTACCAAACATGTGTTTCAGTAGGAAATAATTTTGATGGGCTGCGAGAGTTATAACAAGTGGTGTACAAAGAGAATTAGACCGGGCGTGTCACTTTTTTATCGCTCAGTGGTAAAGGTTTACATTTTATATTCTGCAGACAAGTCGACCCGTGGTTTTGGAGTGATTTTTTAGGCTTCAAATGTTGACTTATACGCCGGCATATACAATAATTTCATAGTGTTAAATGACGAAGAGTGTTGCGAAAACAGGACACCATGAGCATAGCACTCATCTGGTGACTACTACACTTTGGTAATTACACTTAAGTACTGTAATTACTTAGCTGAGGACCAATGCCTGTAGAGCAGTGAGATACAAAGAATTGTACTAGGTTTGTGAACAACAAGGGTAGTTGGCCACGACACTCAGAACATCTGAGATGCCATCTGCTGGCAAGTGATTGGGCCTAAACAACTGTGTACATAGTTTGCATGAGGGTTGCAAACACAGTATTGTCCAAGCAGTTGCTGCTTTTGGTGTGTGCTACCTTTTTGGTAGTCATTCCTTTGGTACTGTGGTGATATTGTATCCCCAGTGATTTATTAGAGCCTGGTAATTACCTAAGTGTAGTTACAGGATGAGAGCTATGCTTGTGGTGTCCTGTCTACCCAGCACTCTGTCATATAACGCTTTGAAGCTACTGACGGTTTTGGCCACCACCTTCTCGCTTAACTTGTTCCAACCATCTACCACTCTGTTTGCGAAAATGAATTTTCTTATATTTCTTCTGTATCTTTGTTTAGTTAGTTTAAATCTATGACCTCTTGCTCTTGAAGTTCCAGGAGTTAGGAAGTCTTCCCTATCGACCTGTCATACTTCACTGTATGTCGTGAAGACATACTACTGTACGTTGACCTATCGACATAGACTTCCCTATGGTGTGGTACCCAAGGTGTGGAAAATTCCAGGTAGGCAGCTTGGGGAGCTACCGAGGGGGGACCTTCCAGAAAAATGCACGCACATTCGTACCTCGCATATCAGCGGTAATGTACCAGAGTTTGATACAGGTTTAACTCTGCACACAATTCGTCGCTGCTGCCCTTGGCGAAGCTGATACGCACCACCTGTTAAGACGTCCTTTTGAGGACACACTTCTACTGAAACATAATCACCACATTCTCCGAGCTCCTGAATCTCCACCCACATTTCAATCTTCCGAGTCAGCTCGCTCCATCTAGTCAGAGGTATAAAAGAATTAAAAGACAATTTCTTAACTAATGAATGGGAAATTTAATAAATTATCTACTATTATTATCTACTAATGCCCTCAGGTAAATCAGGTAATTGGAAATAGTTCAATTGTCTGAAAGCAATTATGAATGGTCTCCACAAGGGTGCATTGATTACAGAATGGAGTATAAAGTACAAGGTGTTGTAACGAGTTCCTGTAAAGGAGATATAATGAGTTCTAGAGCATGGCAAGCACAGGCTGGTTTAATGAGTACATAATGGTATAATAAGTACATACAGTACTGGTACACTGAGAACATACATTAATGGTGTAATGAGTACATACAGTAATGGTATATTGAGTACATACAGCACTGATGTAATAGGTAAAGGCTGATTAAAATACAGTGTGTCAATGCATACAGATAAAACGAACTGGCATATAAGAGAATTTGTATGTACAGCAAACCCTAAAATTTTTAGGGTAAAATCTATAGCATGGACTGTAAGCTAAGTGATCTTATGTATATCAATGATCATTAAAAGAGAAACAAACAGTTGTTGGGTACTCTCTGTACTTAACACACTATACGGTATTTTGTATGTTACCTTACCTTACCTTGAGGTGCTTCCGGGGCTTAGCGTCCCCGCGGCCTGGTCGACGACTGGGCCGCGGGGACGCTAAGCCCCGGAAGCACCTCAAGGTAAGGTAACATACAAAATACCATATAGTGTGTTAAGTACAGAAAGTACCCAACTTATGAACAGGATGCATTTTATAAAGCCATTTGTAAGTCAGCTAATAGTTACTTGGAACCACATTTTCCATAGTGAACTGCTATAAATGTGGGGATATGTTCCTGGACCACAAAAAATCCACATACTGTACATATAACACAAATTTTGTAGGAAAATAATATTCATATCCAAACATTTATAAATAAATAATAAATAAATAAATAAATAAATAAATAAAAAAAATTATTCAGGGAAAAGTACATACATAGTTGATTTACAAACATAATGTTGGATTTATAAATAGAGCTAGTATATACAATACCTAAAGTCACTAATACGCATAGCATTTCGGGCAAGGTGTGGGGGAAAAAAACACACGTAGAATAAAACTTAATAGTAATTGGGATTAGGTATAAATTGTGTTGAAAAAGGGAATAAAAAATAAAAAAGGTGGGAACATGGTAGAAATCAGCAATTGTACAAGTTGGTGAACAAACAGCATTGTTTAACAAAAGCAAGACATGGGTTGACATTTAGGGGGTAAGGTAGGTTACATGGAGTTAATTAAGTAGCACTTGGTTTTACGCTTAAACTGGTTGAGAGAAGTACAGCCTTTGACATGATTGGGGAGACCATTCAATATTATGAGTCCCTTGTAGAGCATTTCTAGTTTGGTTAAGTCGCACTCTTGGAATATCAAATAGGTATTTGTTTCTGGTGTGATGCCCATGAGTTCTGTTACAACCTTCTAGGAAGCTTCTAAGGTCAGGATTGACATTGCAGTTCAGAGTTTTAAATATATAGAGTACACATGAAAGGATGTGCAGTGACTTAATATCTAACATATTCAAAGATTTGAGTAAGGGCACCGAGTGCTGTCTGGGGTCAGAGTTAGATATTGTTCTAATAGCAGCTTTGTGTTGAATAATTAGACGACGTAAATGATTTTGTGTAGTAGAACCCCAAGCACAAATACTATAATTGAGATAAGGATAGATGAGAGAGTAATAGAACGACACCATGGCAAGGCGAGGTACATAATATACTGTACCTATAATTTTCTCTCATCTTTTTTTTTTTCATTCCATGTAATCTGTTATCATTTTTTTGTCTATAAATTTTGCAAGTATTTACCTCCTTAAAATTTTCTTAGATTAAGGACCTGCCCGAAACGCTGCGCGTGCTAGTGGCTTTACAAGACTGTAATTACCATAATTGTATCCTCACATTCCTTATGTACATTCTTGTATAAGCATAAATAAATAAATAAATAAATAAATAAATAAATCTGATCAGTTTTAGAAACTATTTTTTATATATTTAGAATGTGTCCCTGGAAATCCAGCTTGTTATCAATGAGAACACCAAGGAATTTTCCATCAACTTTGTTACTAATTTGGATATTGTTTATTCTTAGATTAATTTCAATTTGAGGATTTATTGCCAAACAAAATATAGCAAGTTTTGTCAATGTTAAGAGTGAGTTTGTTGGCAGTTGGTCAAAGATGGACTTTTATTTAGTTCAGTTTAGTTCAGTTCAGACTTTATTTAGTTTATTTACTTATTTATCTTGAAAAATGGAGTTGCCCTTAGTGTCTGACTCTGCAGAGATTGGCAAGTAATTTTGAGTGTCATCGGCTACCAAACATTGCTAAAATTTTAATCATCCTTGAAAATACAGTGGCATCTCCAAAACTCATTCTGAGCAAAATTAATCCTTCAACTGCACATCATAACCAGGGTAGTATTAAGGTCTGTGTAAGTTTTAAAGTTCCTAACGGTACACAGGGTTCACATCTGCTTCCTCAAGTCTCCAGTAAACAGAGTCCATCTTGGAAAAATATAGTAGGCACCCCTCCAAGGAATGAGGGCCTGAGTGTTAACACAGCAAACATATTTAGTGAAGTTATATTTATACAGTCACCGTGATGTAGTGGTTAAGATGCTCGCCTGGCGTTTCGCGAGCGCTTTGTCCTGGGTTTGTATCCTGGCCAGGGAGGATTTACTGGGCGCAAATCCTTAACTGTAGCCTCTGTTTAACTCAACAGTAAAATGAGTACTCGAGTGTTAAACGATTTTTCGCGGGGTCGTATTCCAGGGAACATAGGATTAAGGACTTGCACGTAACATTATGCGTACTAGTGGCTGTACAAGAATGTAAGAACTCTTGTATATATATATATATATATATATATATATATATATATATATATATATATATATATATATATATATATATATATATATATATATATATATATATATATATATATATATATAAATAAATGAATAAGTAGTGCATTTAGCAGCAGCTCATAGCACCACCATGTGGCTTGCATCAACAGCATCACTTACACATGATGAGGTAAGTAAGAACCTGGAAGAATTTAATGATAATGATATAGAAGATCCTGATAGTAATAAAGATGATGTACAAGGTCCAAATATCAGTGAATCCAATGCAGGTGACACTGTTCCCATCGCACAGGGGTGTGGGGTGGTAGTGCTGGATAGAGCAATTCAAGTGGTGTTCCTGATACCATAGATATACTGAGATCATTGATACAAGGTGGAGTGTGTAGATTGTTAAGAAAAATATATAAATCTGGAAAAAATGTTTTAGCCAGGGACTTTGAACCAGACCAGACGGAATCAAAACAAAGATGGCGGATAGGATAGAATCGTCAGTGAAGACAGCAATAGAGACACACTTTAAAAGTTTTAAGCAGAAACAAATACAGGAAGATGGTTTTCAAGGCAGGTTAGTTATGACTGAAGATTTTCTAAAGGTTTATAAAGGTAAATTTTTTATTTTAGAATAAGAAAATAAAGATCTCAAGAGCAAGGTTAATATTTTATCAGACAGTATGTTGCAGTAGGATAAGGAAATTGTCAGCTTGACTAACAAGATAAGGAAACAAGAAGGACAAATCGAGGAACTATAAAAAGAATATAAGATATGGAAATTGAAGGAAATTAATTTGAAGAAATAAACAAAAACATAGATACCGGTACATATGGACAAGAATTAAGAAAAATTGTACAGACCAGCTAAAAGATAGAGTTAAGCAAAGAATTCCTTTGCTACTAGGTGTCCTCAGTTGCAAAGTTCTATTGGTCTATCAAGGACCACAAGCCAGAACTTGGACCCCTCCGAGAGGCAAAGAGAGTAGTGGCCCTATGACCACTATTATGACCCTATTTAAAGTAAATCATGTCTGCCACCACCAGGGAAGCAACCAGAAAGTTTGGCAAAACAAAACGGACAAATACATGGTTAAAATGAGACTGAAGCCTCAAAAATCCAAAAGAACTCCCCCAACAATAAACATCAACATAAAATTTGGTGAAACTAGCCTAAGCTAGTTTGCCCCACCTCCCCCCCCATTGTTTGTGGGGAGGAGGAAGACAGGTTGGGTCAGCTGGCTTGCACCACCTTCAGTTCAATAATGATGGAACACACACAACTTTCTGGGACAGGGAGGGTGTCAGAGAGCCTCCAGGGTTAACCCAGAAATTGGTTTTCCATTACATTCAATGCTGGTTTTCTGAGGGAAGCCCCTTGAGGCTACCCTGAAGTTAACTACACACAGAGAAGTACAAATTAGGACACTTAACAGGGAAAAGGCTGCTACACAGTTATCAAGTTGAAGATGAGACATTTGACCGCGACAGACGATCTAAGGCTTAGAGGACCAAGAATGTTCACTAGATACCTGGCCGCAAAAGATTTGTCCGACTTCCAAAACCTCCGTGCTTGAATATTGGCCCAAGACATTAGCAAACACTACCATCAGAGCTGCATACTTTCGGATATCATATGTATGAAAGTAGACTGCAGGCTTGCTAGACCTAATGACACTGAACAGCCTCAAAAATACAAGCTCTGGAACAGGGAAACTTGATCAACGCACAAAGAGTGCAGCAAAATAGAACTGGTGGCATGAAGGTAGCAGTGAGGAGCCGCCACTGGATACAGCACATGATGCACTCCCAGCCGAACCATCCAAGCATTCACAACCACAGGACCCCTCTGGAAGCCTGCCGACTCATTCTTTGGCAGAGAAGGAGCTGGCTGCAACCTAATAAGGCCACCACCAGGGCCAAAGGAACACAACTCCCGACACAGGAGAAGAGCGTAAAGCTCACCCACCTGACAACATAAGGCCAAAGAGAACAGAACAAAAACACAGCACAGAACGAAAAGAAAGAACCCAGTCAAAGGACCAGGCAGGCTGGTCCTGGAAGGCTTGTTGCTGTCACCTCAGCACTCGAGCATCAGAGTGTGATGTTCCATGTGGCATCTGTCCTTTTGAAGGCTTATGTTCTTGCAGTTCTCTTCACTAATTTTGCTGGTTTCTTTTTCCTATTCTTCATGTTTCATTTTTCCTCTCCACCTCTTCTCCTTTCTGACTGTTCCTTCCAGCCGACTTGGTGCCGTTCTTGAATATTCTTTCTGTTGTCTTCTTCCGTTTTGACACTGGGAGATTGGGAAGGCACTCTCTCTCACTGGTAGAACTGTGGTCTTGATGTTGTTGAGTGAGAGGAAGCTTATGTCAAACCTTGCCTTCACTGCTGAGCCCAATTTCGACGGATGGATGATTCTTAACCCCTTTGACTGCTAACTGTTATAACACTTTCATGGATTTTCGACTTGGACTTACGGGCAGTTTCCCTAACCGCTTGTCGGATCACGACGTAAATTTACGGACCGTGTTTTATATTGGGTATTTACTATTCGATCGACTTGGGGTTTGTATGAATATGTTTGCCATTAAATTTTTGTTTTCTCTAATAGGCACTGTGCCTATTTGAGAAAACGGCAATGTATTGTAACTTAGAGGAGAGACTATTGAATTGGTGTCACAACGAGGGTAATCGCGCACTCCACACACTCTTGTGTTGGCCGCGATCATGATTCTACATTTATATGCATATGTCTGTGTAGAGAATTTTATTCCGAACACTATACAAACAAAAAAAACGGAGTGAATCAAGTATAAACTTGAAAAAACATGAGCAAAGTAAAAACTTTTTACGCTCACAGGTACAAACACGCGTAAGATTCGCGTAAGATTTTATTCGCCGCAAATTTATTTGATGCTCTGTTGGCCAATTCTACCCACGTTCTTATAGAACTTTCTATTGCGAACACATTGCTATAAAAATGAAATACGTAGCTCGAGAAATAATGTCATGACAGTGAAATAAGTATAAACTTTCAAAGCGCTGCATCACAACAGTGTCGTCGCTGCTGAAATCACGGCTAATGCTTCGCCCAGTTCCCACACTCGTGCGGAACATAATTAGACATTGATAGGCATATGTCTGGGTGGGGAATTTTATTGCGAGTTCAGTGATATTAAAATAAGCGCTGTAGGATGACTGTGAGGTTGGCAACAAACGAAAGAGTATGAACATTTACTTCCTGTTCAGGTGTCACGGCGAGTCATCTTCGTGTTTATTTACTTCGTGGTGGGATAGCAAATGCTTGGGTGACATTTTATGCATATGATCCTGTAGAGAATTTTATTGCCAACGCATTGATACCAAAATGAAAAACGTAGCTCGAGAATTGATGTTAGGAGCGTGAAGAGATGATAAACTTTTTTGAGTTCACGCTTGAGCGCTCAGAACGCCGCGCGCACAACCCGCTTTTTTTTTCAGGGAGTGCCGCGCGCACAACCCGCTTTTTTTTCAGGGAGTGCCGCGCGCACAACCCGCTTTTTTTTTCAGGGAGTGCCGCGCGCACTAAAGTGTTAATAGCTGACATACCTCCATGTGCTCAAGAAAAAAATTGTTCTGAATTTTGTTTCTTATGACAATGTTAATTAACCTTTAGGAAGTACAAAAATACAATTAAAAAGTCTCTAGTTCGTTTATGTCTCTAGTCTGTGTAATTCTATAGGCCATTGCTCCTCGTGGCTCTCTGAGGGGGGCCAGGTTCTGACTTGTGGTCCCCGGTAGGCCTATAATTCCATTCACATTGACTGATGCCAAAGTCTAATATATATATCCATATCAGCCTGGATAGCTCGGGGAAGCTGAAGGGGCTTCCCCCAGAAAATGCCTCTCCTTGTGCTTCCAATTATTTTTCAGTGTTGTTGGTTATGATGATTCTGCTCTTTGGTGTCATAGCAAACATTCACTTTGGTGGTAGCACCATGAAGTACAAGTTACAAGAGTCTGGTATAAGTGTATTTCTTGGGAGGACCAAGACACCATGAGAAGTTAGTCAACAAGAGTCTGGTATTAGTGCAGTGTTGTGATGGACCATGGCCGTGGTAAATGGAGTGACTGAGATAACCAGAAAACCTTGCTCAAATTTTTCTATTTCAGTGTAACTTACCTATCAACAAGTGATCGTGCTTTAGCTAACTGTTGGTCAACTTCCCAGCCTGTTCGAGCCAAACCAAAACCAGCAGATCTATGGCCCCACACCTCAATTGAGAGTGCACCATCTGCACAGTGCTCTAAAAAGTCTTCAGTTACTAACACTGTGTAGTCTTTAGAGTGTTCAAACTGAAAAACAAAATTAATATATCAATTATTATCAGAACTTAATATATATTAGTTTTTAAATTTATTAAGTATCATTAACTGGATGGATTTCATTTACATTCAGCATAATTAAAGAAAATAATATGCAATATTAATGCAATAATTATACTCAATGCCATACTTAAGTTTATAAAATTTTATGATTTTCAAACCAGCTTTACTGGTACAAACCATAACATTAGTATTATGGCACCTGGGAGACACTTTACAGGTGAAACTATGATACCAAGTTACTTTACATTGTCTCTAGGTGTTGAACAGGCGCCGGGTGACCCAGCGGTTGCTTGACAAGTTGTGCGGGAGCCTGAACTTTGCCCTTCTAGTTTTCCCTCAGGCAGGGTTTTGGCAGTGGCAACTGTTCTGATTTCTTCTGGCAGCTCCTTTCATCGGTCTCACAATCGCTGGGTGTGGATTCCAGGGGCCCTGCTGGCAGCTGCATTGCCAGCTTCCTCTTTGGGTTCCTCAGGGTTCAATTTCCTGGCACCTGGTTCGATTTCACAAGCTTTCTCACACACTTTCACCTCTGGCCTGTTCATGTGTCGCATAAGCCTGCCTGCTCCCTTGACCGAGTTCTTTCTTTTCTTTTGTCCCCCCGGTTTATGGTGGCCCCTTCGGTTTGGGATTGTTTTCAGAAAGCGTTGTGTTTGCTTTTTCTGGCATCCAGTTGTCAGGTGAGGGAGAATCATACTCTCCTTCAGAGCCAGAGTTGTGTTCTTTTGGTCCTGGTGGGCACTTAGTTCGTTTGCAGCTGGCTTCTTCTTTTCTGGAGAAGAATGAGTGTGTTGGCTTCTGGTGTGGCCCTCAGGTGGTGGACACCTGAATGGTTCGGCCGGGAAGTGTATCTGGTATTGTCTGGTGGCAGCTTTTTGCCACCAGTTGGCTTTGTGACACCAGTTGTGCTTTAGTGGACCACTTGTGGGTTGATCTGGTTTCCCTGGTTTCCTGTTCCACGGCTCGTGTTTCCAGGTCGTCTGTAGTGTCAAAGTCTAGCCAGCCTGAGGTCTACCCTGGTGCCCATGATGTGCGTAAGTATGCCACTCTTTCGGCAGTTTTGTCACTATGTCGTGGGCGAATATTCAAGCGCAGGGATTTTGGCAGTCGAACGTGGTCTTGCCGGTCAGGTATCTTGTGAACATTCCAAGTCCTCAGTGATCTTGTGTGTCCTTGGGTCGTGTGTTGCAGCCATCAGTCTCTTCTTTGTCTTGATACCTGCAGTGCTTCCTCCTCAGTGTTGAGTGCCTTTTTCTTCTTCTCGTTGGGTAGTTAGCTTCAGATATCCAAAAGGGGCTCCCTTCCCCAGGAAAACAGCATTGAAAGTAATAAAATGCCAATTTCTGGGTGATCCCCAGTGGTTCCCTGACTCTCCCTTCCCTAGGATGTCCGGGTGGTTTCCATCATCATCAGAACTAATGGTGGAGCAGCTGGCTAACTCGATCTGTCTTCTTCCTCACCCCAAATGAGGGTGGGAGGTAAAGTGAGCTAGCTCACACTAATTTTACGAATTTTCGATCGTTTGTTTACATTGTTGGGAAAGGTCTTTTGGCTGTTTTGAGGCTGCGGTCTTGTTTCTAACCAATCAATGGTCTGGGTTTTTTTTCCTGGCTTCCTGGCTGCCTTCCCTTGGTTGTGGCTGACACGAATAAATTTACATAAAATTTTTCATAGTGCTAGTGAGCCCTGTGCCTCTGAGGGACCCAGGTTCTGGCTCGTGGTCCCCGGTAGGCCAATAAGAACTCCGTGGCTGATAGCATCTTGTAATCTGGCACAATATCAGTATGGTAGCTTCTGGGAGCCATCAGGGTTCATCCAGAAATTGGAGTTTCATTACATTCAATGCTGTGTTTTTGCAGTAATATTACTCAATAGTGAGTACTGTGATAAATTTATATAATAAAATTTGTGGACCATTGCTATACAGCACTAAAAAAATGTTGTGTGCTTATTATTGATACAATTATTATATTCACGGAACAATAAAACAGTGATTTTGTTATTACAGTATGTGCCAGCCTTAGTTCCTCTCTCAGCACTGAGGCCTTCACACCCTGGAACGATGCTCATAATTTTCTTAAAATGGCATCTGTTTACTAGACCCCCTAAGAAAGCCAATGTGAACCCCGTATAGCCGCGGGACTTTTAACCCTTAAACTGCGCATGGCGTATATATACGCCCTGAGTAACATGTCCCATGGTGCGCATGGCGTATATATACGCCATAGGGTGCCAGGCCTGATTCAAATGGCCCGCGGCTACACGGGGTTCACAGTAGCTTCCTCAGGGCTCTTGTAAACAGATGCCATTTTAAAAAAAAATCGTGGGCAATATTCTCAAGTGTGAGAGGCACAGTACTGTTGGAGCAACCAAGGCCGGCGCACGCAGCATGAGCGAACAGCATTGATGTTCAGCTTGTGACCACAGCATCGCCGAAAAATGTCAAAATAAATAAATAATTGTTATTATTTAGCGATGACAATATTACAGATGACCCATGACTGTGATATAAATAACCAGGGTTGTGATAATAGCAGGATTGTTGTAATAATTAGTGCTGTGGGAGGAGTGATGCTGAGAGACGGAGGGAGACAGCATCGTTTACTGACTGTGTGGCCACCTGTTATTGTTTGCATTCACCATACCAGGTCAGTGGTTCTCTATGGTGAACACAAATGTAGATACTTATATATAATGTGTGTATTAGTGTAATAACAGCAAAAGGATTATGCTGGGAGGAGCCATATGGGTGACAGAGGTGACGTCGTCTGCATGATTTGTCTAGCTGTTTAGAGGGTGGCCACTATGCTCTTTGGGCGCACTACAAGCTTAGGTGTACAGTTACGGTGCATAAAACATGTAGATATTTATATATAATATGTGTATATAGGGTAATAACACTGCAAAAGGTATTGTTGGGGGAGAAAGTTTAGTGCGTGTGACCTTGAAAGAGTGAGGGAGCCGCCAGCCGCCATCTGTGTATAGCGACGACTCTTAGTGCCTGAACTAACTATATCAGCTTAGCTGTACAGTTGTGGTGAACAAAATATATACATACTTATATATAACGTCTGTATATAGTGTAATAACACCACAACTAGTATTGTTGGGGGAGAAAGTTTAGTGCGTGTGTTGAGGGAGTGGCAGCGAGTGGCTGGCTGGTGTGTGGCGGTAACTCTTCGTTGCTTTTCGACTCTCAGTACCAACTTAGTGGTTCGTTATGGTGACCAAAACATGCCAATACTTATATATAACCTGTGTATAGAGTGTAATAGTAGCAAAACTATTTGTTTATAGTTTTATAAACATAATAATTGAATCACTAATATGCACATCATACTTTTGAGTATAGCGATTATTAACCACTTTTATTATATAAATATATTACAATACACACTATTGAATAATATTACTGCAAAAAAACTAAGAAAAAATCAATCGGAGACATTGAAACAATTAGGTAATAATATCTTTGTGGCAACTCCCATCTGTCAACGCGGGTGACGCTGACCGGGTCTGACGACCGCTCTGTCAACGCCCACTTTTTGCCAGACTTCCTCGGTCAATTGCGCCCAAAATATGTCACCTACGATTTTTTTTTTTCTGTGCTCAGGGGACACAAATTAACATGTTTAGAAGACGAAAAAAAAATTTTGAATTTTTTTTTTCTTGCGCACAGGGGTGTAAATGTCCCAAGGACCCCTGAGCAGTGTAACGGTTAAACCTTAACCAGTGCACTGCGCAAAGCGTCTTGAGGCGCTAGATCGGGGGTGCGCAGAGCACCTCAGGGCACTTGCAAGTATAGCGTAGCATTCAAAACTCCTGTGGCTACACGGGGTACACATCAGCTTCCTGAGGGCTCTTGTAAATAGACCCCATTTAAAAAAAAAAAAAAAAAACAGCGTTGAATGTAATGAAACGCCATTTTCTGGGTGCTAGGTCAGCCATACGCGTATCGACAAACTTCGTTTCTCAAGGTAAAGTTCATAATCCGATTCAGATTTTACGAGGAAATTGGGCTCGTAACACAAAAAGTTCGTAAAGAGAGGCATTCGTAAGCCAAGGTGTCACTGTAATTACTTTATGTTAAAAAAATGAAAAAGCACAAAAAACAATGAAATTCTTTACAAAGAATTCAAGTGCGATCGTCACTAAATGCAGGCAGTCTGGTAAACTGAAGCAGGGCCATCCCGTGCCACCAGGAACCATGTGCTCCATCGACCCATACGTGTATCAACATAGTCGACCCACACGTGTATCAACAAAATTGCAATTCGAGGCAAAGGTCGTAAGTCGAGTCAAATTTTCCGACGAAATTGGAGTCGTAACTCAAAAAATTTGTAAGTAGGGGGCATTCGTAAGTCGAGGTTCCACTTTATATGGTATGTGCATTGGAAGGGTTAATATCAATGGATTAAACTACATCAATACAGTACAATACCCTTTATTGACATTTAAACTACATATTAAAAAAAATAGCCTTAACATTTGGAAATTCATAGTATTTACTTATAAGAAACATACAGTAATCATAAGGTATTTTCAAACATTTTACCTTAAAAGTCATAGAATCTTTAGATGTTGGTGCGGCTGGAAATTCATTATTAACAACTGGAGCAACAACTTCACTTTCTGTTTGGCCCCAAAACTGATACTGGCAGAAGACAAAATGGGAGAGTGATGGAGGAAGCCCAGCAGCTTGTTTGATACAAACCTGCAACAAATTTCTTCATTAGTATAATATCCTATACCTCTTTCTCGTTATTCCAAAGTAATGAATAGATGCTGACATATTACTATTTTATTTTGTTTAAACCAAAATATTTTGTTTATTTTGTTTAAACCTGGAGCTATAGGACTCATATGCACTATATTAGTCTGGGGGCTTCAGTCAATGGAGTTCTGCCTATTGGGGACCAAAGCCAGAACCTGACCCCCTCAGAGAGCAACCCATCCTCCGAATTAACAGTACGGTTTAATACTAAGTGTAATAAGTACATTTCCTTACTGGCATACATAGTACATAATTGCACTTATGAGGCTGTTACATTTACCTCCCATTTATTCTCCTCATTTATTGTTAAGACACTCAGAATTTTAGGATGAAGTTTTCAAGTTCAATTTGCTATACACAAGTTTTAAATATCAGGAATTTCTTTTTCAGTTTTATTAAACAATAGAGATTTTATACAAAACTTGAAAATATACTGAGTTACTGTACAATTTATTGAAAAATTTTAGTTTTGTTTTATTAGTTTTATAAAACTGGAATATCTATATAGCTATAGGTTAAGTACTAATTGTAATTAAGAAGCAATAAATGCTTATCTTCAAACACTAAGAAAGTTAGGTTAGGTCGTGGTTTTCTATTCAGCTCAAATATTCACAATATATTTGACAGTACGGTTTAATACAAAGTGAAAATAAGTACAATTCCCGACTGCTATGAATAGTACATAATTGTACTTATTTGTGCTGTTACATTTACCTCCCCATTTTTGGAGGACGGGCTGTAGAGAGGCACAGGGAGCAATGACCTAATGAGACCTCTTGTATTTGCAAGGAGTCTCATCAACATGCACAGACCCATGTCAACAAAACAATAGGCCGACTGTGTGGGCCCACAGCCCAAGGTACCATGTGGCATATTGAGGAGAATGGGAATATAATGGCGCTCATTTTGAAACTATCCCGAAGTCGATCGGATAAAAAATTAATTTTATACAAATATTTTATTACTGGACGCAATCACGAGTCTAGCGCTCTGACTCAACAGAAAAATTGCGGACGCCAGGGACGTTAGAAGAGTGCAAACGTGTTAGTAACCCTACAGACGACCTGAGAAACCCAAGCCCTGGAACTGGAAAGGAGGGAAATCAGGTCAACCCAAAGCGCGTCCACGGTCTTCTTCTTCTTCGCAATACACGCAGTTTGCATGGTTTTTCCTCCCGATGACTGCACAAGTGGTGCAGCACTTTCGGTGGCGCATCAATGTTCAAAATTTGGCAGAGGTTGGAAGTTATCGATGTCTTCTATTTGTGTGAGGATAATGAGTAAAAAAAAAATATGAGTAGAAATGGACTTATGATGGCAAAGATGAAGAGTGGTGTTAATGGTGGTGTTCAAGTGTTGCTGTTTTATGAAGAGTTTTGTCTCCTGTAGGAGCTGCTATGAATGGGCCAATAGGCCTTCTGAAGTTGCATTAATTCTTATGTCTTAACAACAGCCCATCACATTCACATGAAGATGTGCTAGCCAAGGGAAATATGTTTGCTACATTCTTGCCACCCAACAAATTTCTCCTGCTCCCTCATTTAGCACAATCACACTCACCATTCAAGGATCATATGTGGAGAAATAATTCGACTCTTTGGCAAGTAACTATATTATGTAATATTTATGATTATTATCAATATTAAGTTCTGTTGTGCTTTCTTTAAGGTATGTAGTGAATCCATAATATACTGATATGTATTTTTTATGTTGGGAGGATTCAACCAAATGTCAGATCCCAACTACATATCTAATCGTGATTGGATATGTAGTCATGATATGATGACCAAACCACACACCAGAAGATGAAGAGACAACAATGTTTTAGTCAGTCCTGGACCATTATCAAGTCGATAGTCATGATTGGACCGGAAGATGTTGAGTGTACTATTTTAACAACATTATCCCTCACCAGATGGCAGCACCAGTAACTCAGGGCTCCAACTGCCTGCCCCCATCAGAGATGCAGCACCCAAAATCAACCCCCGACACCAACAGGAAGGAGAAAAGGGCAGAACAGGGAGCCATCGAAGGAACCAACCAAAAAGAGACATTTCATTCCATTAATCCTGGGTTTCTAGGAGGGTTCCCTATGGTAGCTCTCTGAAGTTAACTCACCACAGTTAGTGGCGAGTTAAAAGCTATCCAAAAAAGAGAGAGGGTAGGCCTGCAAAAAGACCAGCAAGGTGAACAAAACACTAGCCGAGTCAGGAAGAAAATAAGGCACCTGAAAAAGAAATTAAGGAACAGGCCTAATGAACTGAGTGCCCACCCAAACATCCCAAGAGGAATACAGGAGATGATACACCTCCCACTGGGCCAGAAACAGGAAGAATATCTACCAAGCCAACAAGATCAAACCCCACCAGTCACACCAATGTAACTATCACCACAAACATCTGGGTCACTAAGTTCTTGAAATGCATTATTTTCATCAGATTCACATTCCTGTGCTTTCCGGTGCATTCTTGTGCATTCATGTGTTTCAGGATACATTAGTGATTCATCGGTGTAAAGTGGTACAATACTACCAATACTGTACTGTCATTTTCTGTCTTGCTCTCTAGTTTGAACCTCAAATTCTGGATTAAATAATTATTTATTTATTTATTTATTTATTTATTTATTTATTTATTTATTTATATATATATATATATATACAAGAAGGTACATTGGGTTTGTGAGAATACATTGGATAGTACAGTATTTACATTCTTGTAAAGCCACTAGTACGCGCAGCGTTTCGGGCAGGTAAATATGGCAAAACTAGAAGAAAAAGAGGCGATATGCACACTACGTACAAAATAGTAACGAGACTTGATAAAATTGATAGGGAAGTATTCCCGAGACCTGGAACTTCAAGAACAAGAGGTCATAGATTTAAACTAACTAAACAAAGCTGCCGAAGAAAAGAAAATTCACTTTCGCAAACAGAGTGGTAGACAGTTGGAATGCGTTAGGTGAGAAGGTGGTGGAGGTCAAAACTGTCAGTAGTTTCAAAGCGTTATATGACAGAGTACTGAGAAGATGAGACACCACGAGCCTCATCCTGTAACTACACTTAAGTAGTTACACTTACTTAGATGATTACAAAGGAATATCCTAGGTCCTTAAGACAGGGTAATTTTAGGAGAACAAAAGCTGTAAAATATTGGAACATCATAAAAATAAAATTAGGTAACTTGGATCTCTGTGTAATCCCCCATGATATGAATTAATGAGAAATATCTGTATTAAACTTTCATAACATTTTCATAGACAATATCGAGCTGATTCACACTCACTCTAACTGAAACAGTGCTATTCTGAATATCATCATCATCTCTGCTTTGAGCAGAATCACCAGAAGATTCAGAAAGTGTGTCTGCAAATCGTTCTTGAGGAAACTGGCCAGCTATTCGACTGATTTCAACCTGTAAAATATAAGAGCACATTAACGATTTTCCAATAATTTATAACAAAAAAAACATTTGTGGCAAAATTTTAGTAAAAAAAATTACAAATTTAATAAAAAACCAGTGTTGAATATAATGAAACGTCATTTTCTGGGTGAGCCCCGGAGGCTCCCTGGAGCTAATGTATGTTGGGCTAATGTATGTTATATTAGACCAGGACATTAGGTATGGAGTTCAGACCTACCAGGGACCATGAGCCAGAACCTGGCCCCCTTCAGAGAGGTTGCAGGGAGCAATGGCCCTGGAAAACCCCCCTGTGGTTGGGGTTTTTCCTTATCTGCCATTGACTGGGGTTAGGCACCCAGAAAGGTAGGCATAACAAAACAAACCTCACATGGTAAGAAACTAACAACAAAAACCGAACAAAGAGGTAGAACTACCTACAATCCTAAGGAAACAAGGAAACAAGCAAACGTAAAACGCTACTGCAGCGCCGCTCATCTGCGCAGCCCTCCCCTTCCCGAGAGGTAGAGGGAGGGGGACCTGGACCTCACCATGCCGGCTGCATAGCACTCCAGTTCCGTAGCAAAGCGTCAACAAACGTGAAAAAAATGCCGACCGGTAGGAGGAAGAGTTGCCAGGGAGCCTCCGGGGCTCACCCAGAAAATGGCGTTTCATTACATTCAACGAACTGCCAGGAAATTTCATACTGCCAACGAGACGAAACTCGCAGGTAGGACACCTTCAGTGAAGCCACTTGATCACCATACAAGCAGTCATAAACTTGCGTCAAAAAGACCAGAAACGAAGAATGGAGGTGAAGATCGAACCAGCCACGTACGGCACCAGACCGATCTGCTGAAAGAGGCGGAGCCGCAGGAAAATCTTTGGGTCCGTATATCGAGCAAGAAGCACCTGAAACCAGGGCTGGGCTGGCCACCAAGGGACCAACAGGACTACTCTCCCCTAGTAAGTCCCTAAGCGAGCCAGAAACCGGAGCAACAACCGAACCGATGGAAAGAGGAACAGGTAACTCCACCTCAACCAGTCCAGCCGAAAGGCATCGACCCCGACGGCCTCGCAGTCTAGGAAGGGTGCCACATACACTGGAAGATGCCTTGACCATGCCGACGCGAAGAGGTCTACTTCCAGGTGACTGTACGTCTAGCAGAGCCAATTGAATGAGTCGGCGTTGACTGTCTATTCCATGGATAGGGGAATGAACCGAGACAGGCCGTCCGCCAGGACGTTTGACACCCCCTGAATGTGAACCACCAGGAAAGCCAAACCCCGAAAACTCGGCAGATGAATCACCCAAAGCAACCAGCCCCAAAGAGCCAAGGACCCCAACGAACCCCCCACAGTTCAGACAATGAACCACAGGGAGCAGTCCGCATGGAGCCGGATCGTTGCTCCATGAGCGACACAAACCCTCTGAAGTGAATGCCACACTGCCGCAAACTCCTGCACCGTGCTGTGAGCTCGACGAAAGGACGGACCCCACTCACCCTGGCCAGCCTGGTGAACACTGGTCAGAACCTACCTGAGGGATGCCGTTGATTCGACCACACCCAAGCAAACCCACTCCAGGATGAACGGACAGAGCGCAGGGAAAGAGGCTCGCCCTGCCAGCCCTGATCCCCCCAAAAAGAGGTGGAACTACCCAACTCCACAAATTGTGGGACAAACAGGAGTAAGAACCACCCCAGCTGAACCCCAAAGGTGGGCAATCACCAAGCAGCAACAGAACCTCCCAGAGGCAGTTCCCGAACGACTCAGGGAAGATAACCCTAGGCCACAGGGGCAGTACTTACAGGGCACCTAGGGAAGGTAGACTTAGGTGCATGCAGCCCCAGTACTCTTGTGTTACTCCTGGCTCACACACCACCAACACAGAGCAACAACACAGCTAAGCAGCGCTGTGCAAAGAGTGGAGCCAGAGTCGATCGACCTCCACCGACACAACAGCCTTCTGAACTGAGATGAGTAGCCAGCGGGGATGTCTGGGACCCCCCCCCCCTGGCTTCTCTCCCGGGAAGGGGGTGTTGTGCAGACAGATGTGCGGCGGTTGTGGTGACATCATGCTTACTTGCTTGTTTTTGATTGGGGAGTTCTGCTTGCTAGCTCAGCTTTTTGTTTGCAATTTTTGACCAGTAGTAGTTTGTTTTGGAATTCCTACCTTTCTGGGGTGCCTGACCTGGTAGATGGCAGACAAAGACTGCTTCCAATTACACAGGGGTGTCTTTAGGCCATTTCTCCTCGTGTTTCTCTTGAGGGGGCCATGTTCTCATCTAATACATACACTTCAGCCCGGTATAACTCCGGGGAGCAGAAGGGGCTCGCCACAGGAAAGTTGTTTTGCTTAGGTCATACTACCTGTAGTCTGCCTGCCACTTCTCCTTGTTGGGAAATAATGGGTACATGATAATTTAGTCGTACATCATGAAATAAACAGTCAAGGAAAATGTTGGCTACTCCAATAAGGTTATGATTTTCTTGACTCTCATAAAATGGATCAGCCTCTGGACAGGTAACTAGTGGGTTATTTTGCTGCTCCTCATACATCTCCCGCATCACAATCAACTTGTGTTCTAACTTCTCCATTGACCAAACCTGTGAACAAATAAAATGCTCTCTCAATACAATGACATTAATAACAATTTCATTGAGGGACATGAGAGATAAGAAAAATAAAGTATTACCTTTATACAGGACACCATATAAATCTATTCTTGCATGCAGTACATTAAGGACATTAATATAATTGATCTTTTAATTAGGTTACAATTTATGAATTATACTAAATTTTGAAATGAAGGTGTTGTAACAATGAGACAAAAATCAAAAGAAAAACCATCAAAATAAACAATTCCAAATACTGTATGCTGTATTAAAAATCCATTTATAATATAAGGACTGTTGGAACTGTTACATCTAAGACCCAAAGACCACTGCTACTGCCACTATTACAATAATAAGTAAGCGATATAAGCTTTCAAGATAAAGCATACAGCTTATCCAACAATGATCTCTGAAACAGGTTCATTACAGAGTACCTCATAAAACCAGCATTAAATGTAATGAAACGCTTGTGCTAAGGAGTGGGAGTGCTAGTTGGATGACGGGTTGCTTGTTTGTTATCTTTCTGGAGGAGTTCTTTCGCTCTTTCTGGACATAGGTTACAATTTTCACCAGACTATGGTCTGTTTTGTTTCTCCTATATTTCTAGGTGCCTTTCCCTGCCGATGGCAATTACAGTATGTCATACAGTGGTACCTCGGAATATGAGTGTCCCTGAATACGAGTTTTTCGGAATACGAGCAGAATTTGCTCTGAAAATTTACATCGGAATACGAGCATTGCCTCGGAAGACGAGGGTGTTGATACACGTACAGGCCAACTAGCACGTGGTGGCACGGAGATCGTGCCCAGTGACTATCCCGCCTGAATTTTTCACAAGAATTTACAGTTTTTTGTCGGATATTTGGCTATTTGAGCATAAAAGTTTATATATCTCGCCATGGGTCCCAAGAAAGCCAGTGGTAAGGTTCAACCTAAGAAAATAGTTGTGAGTAGAGGCAGTAGAGGATGTTCCTTCTTCATTAAGAAAATGTGTGATGTATGGGAAGAACTGCAAAGTTTTGTTGAAAAAACTCACCCGGATAAAGCTGTAGCAGGCCGTTGCATTGACCTTTTAAATGACAATGTGATGTCTTACTACAGACAAGTGTTAAAATGTAGGGAAAAACCAAGTGTCTTTAGACAGATTCTTAGTAAGACAAGCAAGTCCTTGTGGTATGCAGGCAAAACATGCCTGCATACCAACATGCCAGAGAGTGCACACCAGTGAAGTCCTCACTGCCTGATGTTACAATGGAAGGGGACTCCCCTTCCAAACAGTAACACCTCTCCCCTCCCTCCTCCTCAGCATCTTCCATACGCCAACAGCAGTCATCAGCAAGGGTAAGTAATAACTTGAACATACTTTTGTAATGTTAGATTTACATGAATTAGGTATAAAATTTAGTTTGAAGAGGTTTTAGAGTAGTCAGGAACGGATTAATTCATTTACCATTATTTCTTATGGGGAAATTAGCTTTGGTTTACGAGCCGTCTCCTGAAACGGATTAAACTCTTAAACCGAGGTACCCCTGTACTTTAAAATATAAAGTGCTCATAGACAATTCCTCCCTGCACCTCTCTGAGGGGAGGCCAGGTTCTGGCTCATGGTCCCTAGTAGGCAAAGAACTCTGTGACTGATGACCCCAAACTAATATAGCACTGTACCAGTTCAGATAGCTTCAGCGAGCTGATGGGGTTCCCCACAGAAAAAGATGATAACCACATAATCCTAACCCTTAAATAGTGGCTATCATCAAAATAATGACCTCGTCTGTGCATAAAAAAAAAGCGTTGAATGTAATGAAATGTCATTTCTGAGTGAGACCTGGAGAATCAATGTGAACCTGGAGATCTGGAGTTGCTCGTTGTGAACACATTGAGCAAGGATCTCGGGTAGGCGCCAAGGCACTGAACCCCGATAAACCTGAAGAGGAAGCCGGTGACGCAGCAACCAATGCAAAGCCCCTGTAGGCCGAACCCAGCGGTCGCGAGAGAGGCGGAAAGGACATCCCCCAAAAAACCAGAACAGTCGACAAAGCCACACCCGACCCAATGGGTAGATCATCATGGCAAAGTTCAGGCTCCCGCACAAACCCTCGAGCAACCACTGCGTGACCCGGGAGCCCCTCAGGAACAGACAAAGGTGGGAACGCAGGCGAAGCAGAGCCGCCGGAGGAAGAGACAAGGAAGCTGTCCGACCATCCCACACAAGACCCAGCCAAGACCGAACCCGAGATGGAACCAGATGGGACTTCCGCCAGTTCACCAGGAACCCGAACCCGGCGAGCTGGGAAAGAACAAAATCCCTGGTGAGCAGATACGTGAACTGGCTGGGAGCCCAAACCACCCAATCGTCGAGGTAGGCCAGAACCTGAACACCTAACAGATGCAGGCGCACCACCATGACCTGAGTAAGGGATGTGAAAATGCGAGGTGCCAGTTTCAAGCCGAATGGAGGGCAACGAAGGCAGTAACCTTGATGCCCCACAACAAAACCAAGCTAGTCCCTGAACCTCGGATGAATTGGGATGTGCCAATACACGTTCTTGAGGTCCAGGGACAGCATCCAAGCGCCCAACTCCAACAGAAGACGGACCTGGGACAGAGTCCCTGGAAACACAAACCATAACTGTCTGTATTTTCCGCTTGTTAAAACTTGTAATAAAGTTGTTACATCTTGGCTTAACATGTTTATGGCGTATTAGAATGTTGTTACAACTTGTAATATTGGTTGTTATAACTGGTTAGGTGTCAAAACTTGTTCGAACGTTGTAGCAATGTCGTAGTTTTGGTGTGTGTTTGGCGGGGTAGTCATCCGAAAGAGGGCAATAAACTCATAGGTTCAGATGGGACAAGTCCAGAATAAACCAAGGGTCACCGCAGTCCCGTCTCGTGACCGGAAGGGGACTCCCCTTTCAAACAGTAACAACTCTCCTCCTCTACCCTCATCACCATCTTCCATATGCCATCAAGAGCCCTCCATAAAGGTAAGATAAACTTAGGTACTGTATTGTAGTTAGAAAAAAACATTGTATTCAGTATAAAATGTATTTGTATGTTAATATTGTGGAATGTGGAGAACGGATTAACTCAATTTCCTTTATTTCTTATGGGAAAAATCACTTCGACTTACGATCCGTCTCTGGGAACTGATTAGCATCGTAAGTCGAGGCCCCATTGTATAAGAAAATGAACTTTCGCAAACAGAGTGGTAGACGGTTGGAACAAGTTAGGTGAGAAGGTGGTGGAGGCCAAAACCGTCATTAATTTCAAAGCATTATATGACAGTGCTCGGAATATGGTTACAGGATGAGCATAGCTCTCATCCTGTAACTACACTTAGGTAATTACAAATAACAATATACAAGACAATAAGTAAACTGAACAGGATGTAATATTTCTGCAGATCATGATCATACCTGGTTTGGCTTTCCTTTTCTTTTGATTAGAATTGCTGGTTCACTAACAAATGCAGACCTCTTCCGGTTAGGAGACAAGTTTTGTGGGGGAATCTGTAAAGTCACTCCAAATGTTGTCTGTTTGCCCATATCATCAGCAAAGATGTTTGCCTCACGTACTAGGGTGTTTGCCTTCATAATATCTTGCCTAAGCTGAGCCAAACTGCGCCTGAACATGTCCTCTCTGCCAGGGTACAAAAGAGAACTTTGCTCTAGCATGTCCTCTCTGAAGTGTAATAAAAAAAATTAATATACAAACCTAGAACTAATAATACTGATAGAGTTGGTTGGAATATGCTAAAAAAAAAATACATGCGCCTAAAAATCTAAAAACTAAATAATGCAATACAGTACAGCATCAAAATATACACAAGGTTTTTAATAGTAATGACAATGTCATGTATCACTACAGACAAGTGTTAAAACATAGGGAAAAACAAGAGTCTATAGACAGATTCTTAGTAAGACAAGCAAGCAGTGAGCCACAACCAGATCCTATTGGTATGCCTGCAAAACGTAGGAGAGAGAGAACCCCATAAATGTCATCAAAGCCTGATGCTATACTGGAAGGGGACTCCCCTTCCAAACACTAACACCTCTCTTCCTCCCTTCCTCCTCACTGTCTTCCATACACCAACAAGAGTCCTCAATATAGGTAAGGTACCTGTATAGTAAAAAAACAGCATTGATTATAATGAAAAGCCATTTTCTGTGTGAGCCCCGGAGGCTCCCTGGAGCTATCGGACTGATATACGCTATATTAGTCTGGGGCATCAGTCAATGGAGTTCAGCCTATCTGGGACGCAGAGCCAGATCCTGCCCCCCATCCCCCTCCTCAGAAAGGCACAGGGAGCAATGGCCTATAGTAACCCCCAGTGTGATTGGGAGCATTCCATGTCTGCCATCGACCCGGGTTAGGCTACCAGAAAGGTAGGCATAACAAAATAGACCCCACTTGGTAAGAAATTGCATCCAAAGACCGAACAGAGGCAGAACTCCCCAAAACCTAAGGAAACAACCAAACATGATATACCGCTGCCATGCTCCCCCCCCCCCCTTGCACAGAATGAGGGGGGATCCCCAGACCTCCCCCCCCACACACACACAGGCTACTCACACCTCAGTTCAGAGGCTGACCATCAAAAACGAAAACCACCAACCAGAGAAAGAGAGAGAGAGAGAGAAAGAGAGAGGGGGGGGGGGGCCAAGGAGCCTCCAGGGCTCTCCCAAGAAATGGCATTTCATTACATTCAATGCTGGCTTTCTGTGGGGAGCCCCTTCGGCTCCCTGGAGCTACCTAACCAAAAACAAATAAAAAGAGGGACTTACCCGGGAGGCGGCCACCACATGCACATCAACTCAAAGGTGAGACAACTGGCTGCACCCTGCGACCCAAAGTCACACACAACCAACCAGGACCAGGAATACCGAGCCAATATCAGGCAGCCAGGACCCTGTTCGACCTCCAAAACCCCTGCACCCGAATGTCAGCCCAAGATATGTTGCTGAACACAGCAGCCAAAGCAGCAAACTTACAAACGTCATAGGCACGGTGGTAGACCACAGGCTGGCTGGACATAACCCTGCGGACGACCTGGGAGACCAGAGCCTTGGAACAGAGAATGAGGGGAAACCAGTTCAACCCAAAGCGCGTCCCCAGCCACAGAAGCCGAAGCGCACAGATAACGGCGAAGAGCCACAACTGGCCCTAACACATGATGCACCCCGGGCCTGACCACCCAAGCATCAATGACCCAAGGACCCCTCTGGAAGGCCGCCGTCTCGTTCTTCGCCAGAAAAGAAGGAAATGGTTGCAACCAAACTAACTAACTACCAGGACCAAAACATTAGAAACCCCTGTGCTTAAGGAGAGAATGAAGCTCACCAACCCAACCCCGAGAAGGCAATGCCTATAGAAACAGAGCCATGGAAAAACAAGCATTAACCGAAGGGGCCACTACAAACTGAGGAGAAGAGGGAAAAGAGGGCAACTGGTCCAATGACCAGGACGGCTCAGGCGGTGCATGAGCAGGCCGGAGGTGAAACAAAGCACAAGAAAGCTTACGGAACGTGGCAGAAGTGATATCCACCTTGAACGCAAGCTAGAGCGGCTCCGCCAGTGAAGCACTATAAGAGGTGGCAGTATTGGGCATCAAATAACGGAACTGAAAAAACCAAGATCAAATAACAAAACAACTCGATTGAAAACAGAAAAGAACTAACGAAGAGAGAGAAAATGGTGAAAAGAATGCAATGAAACTTTATACTGTTGCTGAAACTAAGTTTGCAGGTGGGACACCAACAAAGAAGCTACCTGATCACCATACAAGTGGTGATATACTCATGTCAAAAAGACCAGATGCGAAGAGCGGAGGAGTAGAGCAAACCAGCCATGTACTGGACTGGTCCAATCTGCTGAAAGAGGCGAAGCAACAGAAAGCACCCCGGGTTTGGACACCGAGCAAGCAGCACCTGAAACCAAACCTTGGAAACCTCAGTGCACAAAGAAAATGGAGAATCATAATTTTATTTTTTCGATATCGCACCAAGGTATGTCATTTTCAGAGTCCTCTGGCTGAACTAGGAATTCAGATCCCAATCTAAATAAAAGTTACTCTTGTACAGAAAAATCTGCTCTATCCAATGGTGTCATTCAAAACCAAATTGGGAATGATGAACATTGTGATATTTTGAGATATATTGGCAGCAATATTAGCATGGATTGGTAGCCGAATGGCTACCCAAACTACATTTTTTATTACACTCCTGTATTCTGCACCAAAAGTTGCCCTGGTATTTTGCACATTTTCATTTGGGGTCTAGGGCTACTTTATTACAAAATTTCATTAGATTTAGAAAGGGTCGAGTGGGAGGCCTTTGGTGAATTCACATGGAATGACCCAAAAGGCAGGAAACCCACCTGAGGGACGGGGTCGTTTCGACCATGCACAAGCACACCCACTCCAAAATGACCTGGCGAAGTGCAGGGACCTGCCCCACCAGCCCCGAATTCCTAGGAGGAGGAGGAGCCGCCCAATGCCATCACAGAGCTAACCTACCCCCTCCCCTCACCACCACCACCTTGTCAACGGAACAAACTGCGAAAGGGCTGATGCCCCTTAGGAGAAGCCAACCACCAAACAGAGCAATCATTGTGACGACCAGACGACACCGGCTGCGAAGGCAACGTCGGCTCAGAAGCTAGCACCAATGGCCCACCTCTACCAGCAAAACCTCAAGCCCTGGCACGACCCTTCTGAGAAAGCCAAGAATGGCCGCCCCGGAGAACCAACCAGTACGACACAAGACGACAACTAGACGAAGTCGCCTGCAGAAACTGTGGCAAAGTTTGGCCTCCGCAAACAGCAACAAACAAAAAACCAGCATTGAATGTAATAAAACGCCATTTTCTGGGTGATCCCCAGAGGCTCCCTGGAGCTTGTCGGGCTAATGTATATTAGACCAGGACATTTGCTAAGGAGTTCAGACCTACCAGTCTGCCAGCCAGGAAGACTCTGGAACCTCCAAATGCACACAATATGGGGTAGAAGAACTGAACAAGAAATAAGGATGGATCCATAACGGAGGCGGAATCCGGGTCTCGCAGGAGGTATTCAGCAAGAGCCTCCCGAACCTCCCGCGCGGAGATATGAGAGGCAGCTAACCTCTGGAAGAATAGGGCCAATAAACCCAAGGGAACCCGGAACTGAACCCGGGAAGGAGCCGAACTGAAATCATACTCATACTGGAAAATGGGGTAATAAAACCCTCCCTCTACAACAATAAACCTTGCAAAGAGGTCACTAACACCCAAGCCTGGTCAAAGGGGGCCCAAGGCCCCCAGGTTAATTCCTCCCCAGTCCCAGGATCCCCCAAATTGGGTCCCAAGGCAGAGCAGTCCTCCATACCCTCTACCCCTGAAGAAAAGGCAGAGTCCACGAGAAAGGCTGAAAAGAAGGGGGCCTGCTGGTGGGACCCAGAAGCCTCAGTAGGAAGAAGTGGCTCAAATGCCCCAATCCCCCAACCCGAATGGGGCAGCCCCCAAAGCTGCCCGAGTCTCATTACCAACTAAACCCTGCTCAGACTCCGAAACCCTCAGACGTTTAGGAGCCAGAAGCAGGGAAGGGGGGGGGGGGGGAAGGTGCAGGATGAAAAACAGGGAAGGACTAGGGAGCGCAGACTGAACCAAAGTCGAAGCGACTATCACCCACAGGGTTGAGTCCCTATAACCAAAGCAGGGCAATCGCAGGGCTTCCGGACAAGAAACCAACCTAGTGCGTTGCAGCAACTTAAACCTAGCATGCAATACAGATGCTGCCTGTACCCTAACAGTAATGTCATCAGAATAGAACTGGAGGACAAGCAGAGAACACTGCTCGCAGGACTCCGGGTCAAAAATGTCGTTGACCCAATATGCAGCATGACAGAGGCAAATGAGGTGACTGTCACTCTGAGACAAGAGCATACAGCAACCTTCAAACCTGCACAAGACAGGCTGGAACTTGGAAGATGCACCCAATGGTCCACTGAGCCCCGACAGGGTTTTCCAGGGCCCGAAGGCTGACTGCTACGGGAAGCCCGGGCAAGGTGTTGCTAACCGATTTAGACCCAAAGCTAACAAGGGGGAGATCAAAACACCTAAAATCCCTGCAACATATAATACAATCACGGGGGTCTAGCAGAGGGCCACCAAAAATTATAAGTGGAACGATAGCCACATCAGGCAGTCCCCCCACCAGACAAGAAGAAAAAAACAAAGAATAAACCCCAGAAAAGTACATCTCCAGAGGAAACAGGAACCAGCTGCCGCATAGGTAGGCAGGCAGCAGAACACCTTAATGCCCCAACCAGCACAATACCACTCCCTACCAAAATCCAAACAAGGGCCACAAAACCCCAGCTGGCCCCAAGGGCAGGGTAAATGCCGAGCAGCAAGAACCCCCATGAAAATGGCTATCATAAACGTACCAGGGAAGGGAACCCTAATACGCAAGGGCAGTACTCACAGGGCACCTAGGGAAGGAAACCCCTAAGCGCATGCAGCCCAGGCACTAATGAGGAACACCTGGCCACCACACAAACAACACAGCAAAAGGATGCCACAAAGGCAAAACACTGCCTTGGAAATCGAAGCCAGAGAAGATGTCCGCCCCAGACCACATTACCTAACGAACTGGTGTGCTGGGTAGCCAGCACAGGGAGGTCCGGGGCTCCCCCTCTGCCTCACAGGAAGGGGAGGACTGCGAGGATGAGTGCCACGGCAGTGGAGTGTGACATTTGCTTGTTTGCTTGTTTCCTTGGGATTGGAGGGAGTTCTACCTCTCTTTTCAGTTTTTAGTTGTTATTTTCTTACCATGTGGAGTTTGTTTTGTTATGCCTACCTTTCTGGGTGCCTAACTCTGGTCGATGGCACATAAGGAAAACCCCCAACCACAGGAGAGGGTGGGGTTTCCAGGGCCATTGCTCCCCTCTCTCTGACGGGGCGGCCAGGTTCTGGCTCGTGGTCCCTGGTAGGTCGAACTCTTTGCACTAATGCCCCGGTCTAATATATAATACATTAGCCCAATAGCTCCAGGGAGCCTCCAGGGCTCCACACAGAAAAAACTATGAACCTGCTTAGATGCCAAAGCTGCAAATGCCTATACAGGAATAATCTACTGGTTTCCTCTCCCTAAAGGAGCCACTAGAGATAGTGGCCCTCAGGTAAAAGTTCTTGTATATATGTATTGGGATATTTTTTTTAATACTGTATCTTAATCATTATAATCATTTTAATTTGTTCTTGTTGTAGGGCTTCTTTGCTTCTGATATCTTTGATTTATGTCACAGGTATTTCAAATATTATGTAAGGAACCAAGTGAAATAAAGCTGCAAAAGCAGATTCAAGGATATCATTTTACACCACCCAGTTCATGTAAGTTTAAAAGTTAAATAATTTTTTTAATTAAAATATCATAGCAACTGTGTTGTACAGTACTATACATCATTACAAGAACATGACAATAAACATACCTTTCCTGGGCCCATTTCTCTATTCGAAGTTGTGATGTTGGAGTAGAAGGAGTCATTTTTGTACCCCTTAATGGATCGAAGGGCATATATGGTGCATAAGGAGTTGTAGGAGATAAAATATTTCTAAGTTGTTGAAATTGTTTCTCATATTCTTGTCGTTGTTTTTCTAATGCCACTGAAAGTGAAATATTTGAGATAAAGTACATTGGATATACAGTAAACTTTGCTGGAACATAAGCAATTGGATTTTAAAGCATTTTTTTAGGCATGTATATGAAAAGTGTAAATAACTTCTTAACCCTTGGGTTCCTCTTGCAATTATAGCCTGCAACATGCCCAGATGCATGAAATAAAAAAAAATTGTCTTATAAAAGTGTTCATTTGTGTTCCCTGATCATGGTCAAATAGTAAAAAACCAGCGTTGAACGCAATGAAACGTCATTTTCTGGGCGAGTCCCGGAGGCTCCCCGAAGCTATCCCGGCTTAATGGATTGTATAACTTTCTGGCATCAGTCAAAGTGCTAGGAGTTCTTGCCTACCAGGGACCACGAGCCAGAACCTGGCCCCCTTAGAGAGGTACGAGGAGCAATGGCCTATAGAAACACCCTTGAGGTTGGGAGCATTTTATGTCTGCCATCGACCGGGATAGGCACCCCAAAACAAACCCCTATTCTGGTAAAAATACCACCCGTCCACCGGAAGGCGTGGTTCGTACACCAGGCAGATACATATCGTACACACAACGTACAGACAACGTAAACACACATCGTACAAACACCAGGAAGGCGTGTGTAACGAAGACGAGAACGCCGAAAACGGAAATAGAGACGACACGAAAACAAAACAAGGCGAAAACGATGCAAAAGAACACAGATGACAGAAGGTAACCAACGAGGCCGACAAAAGACCAGAGGGAAACCTCATCGAAAATCAACAGACGTTCCAATAATATTGGAAGGTACAAAGAGACTCGCGAACCAACGAGAACCACGACAAGCACCCCTGAGCAAGGGACACGCAGGGACAACGATACGAAGCGGTGTAGGCATTATATGTACAAGGCATGTACATACAATGCCTACATTGTATGTTGGCATTGAGGCACATAGGAATGTGCCTCAATGCCAACAGTGACTGCTCAGACAGGCACAAGAGGAGTGTTGTCAACGCTTACGTCGACCGTGCTCTCAGCCACAGCTCAGGATGGAAGCAAGTCGATGAAGAACTATGTAGAGCAAGGCAGATCCTAGTCAACAACAGCTTCTCCAATGGTTTCATTGAAGACATCATAAAAAGGAAGGTGAAACGCCATGCAACCTCTGAAGAGTCAACTAACACAACACCTGTACCCTCTATTAGACTATTTTACAGGAATTTCTTTTCCACAGCTCATAAAACGGAGGAAAGGGTCCTGAAAGATATTGTTAATAGGAACGTTATCCCTACAGACAAAAATCAGAATATACAATTGACAATTTACTATAAAACCAAAAAAACGGCCAATCTACTTATGAAAAACTCTCCAGACACAAAGCAGAACGCTTTAAAAGAGACTAACGTCGTCTATGCCTTCAAATGCATTGGAGACTCACCCCACTTGGAGACTAAGCCCCAAAGAACTCAGTATATAGGCAAGACGACAACATCTCTTTCCAGGCGATTAACAATGCATAAGCAACAGGGCTCCATCAAGGAACATATAATCTCTTCCCACAACCAGGCCATCACCAGAGAAGTCTTGACAAAACACAGAAATCATCAATAGATACAGCGATAGCAGGCGGCTTGACATCTGCGAGGCACTACACATCAAGAAGTCAACACCAGCAATCAACAGCCAATTAATGCACAACTATATTCTACCCACTTCAAGACTCCGCACCAATATAGAAGCATCAAGAAATATGGGCCAATAGGCCCTTTGCAGTTACTTCCATTCTTCCCTTTAATTTACCCAATTTATACCCATTGTTTCGTGTTCTGTCTTGTGTTGAAAGTTTTGTTCACCTCATCCAAAACTGTTGTAACATATCACCTCACCCAAATGCAGGCATATAAAATGAAAGCTGTTTAAATTATATACACATACATACATATATATTAAATTTATTTTATCCATTTAAATAAAATAAATAAATATCTATCCATTTAAACTTAAATTAACCATTTAAAGGTCTATGATTAAAGCCTTCCAAGCTTTTACTCTCTTAGCACAACTCTGGGGTCAAGTGGTTACTATTTGTATAAGTATACATCACATGTAAATATTAACATTTTAAATGAGAAAAATTTGAATACACTATATAAAATTATAATGTTATTAGTAATAATGGTTAATATCATACTTTGTTTATCCTCTTCATGTTGACGTTCAAGGTTTTGTATAGCTGCTTGGATGGGATCGTTACTAAGCTCCTTTAGCATAAGTTCTTCTCGTGCAAAGTTATAATCAATAGGCTGAGCTGGTGTCTGGGGTTCAGAATTATTACCACCTGAAATAACAATAATATTTGAAAAAGTAATGATATATTGTAAACAGTATTTCTAAAAGGGTAGCTATACCCTACTTAGCTACCCTAAGGGTAGCTAAGTAGCTATACAATGCTACAGTATATAATCTGGTACTAGTCAAGTCTTCAAGTAACACCATTCTCTGACTTGCCTCGTTTCCCATAGTCAGAGACATGGGAAGCCTGTTATACTTATTGAGGTCCCTCCCACCCTTTACCAACAACTATGGATAAACTTTCCCAGAATGTACCCCACACCAGATGCCCAAATCCTGGGTACCTATATACTGTACTGCTAAGTGAACAGAGGCATCAGATGATAGGAAACATGGCCAACTGTTTCTGTCACCTTGTGGATCAAACCAAGGCTACTAGGCTGTGAGCATGGATGCCAGCTGATATCTGGGACCAGATTCCCTTAAAGGTTCCCGTAAAGAAGATAAGAGGAGAATGGGATTAGAATCTGGTCAACTTAAAGAGGCAAAAAACCAGCGTTGAATGTAATGAAACGCCATTTTCTGGGTGAGCCCCGGAGGCTCCCTGGAGCTATTTTACTGGTATATGCTATATTAGTCTGGGACTTCAGTCACATGGAGTTCTGCCTACAGGGAACCATATGCTAGAACCTGGCTCGAGCAATGGCCTATGAAAACTCCACTCTTGAGAGTATATTCATGTATGCCATTGATCAGGGTAAGGCACCCAGAAAGGTAGCATCTCAAAACAAACCCCAACTAGTAGAAATTGTAATTGTAATTTTCTACAATTGCAATTGTAGAAAAGCAGTAGAAAAACTAGTAGAAAATTGCCCAGTATAGCTCCGGGAAGCCGAGGGGGCTCTCCACAGAAATTGTGGTAATCCCTAAATAGGTTATCTTGATATGATTTCGGGGCTTAGTGTCACCACGGCCCAGTCCTCGACCAGGCCTCCTCCCCCAGGAAGCAGCCCGTAACAGCTGACTAACTCCCAGGTACCTATTTACTGCTAGGTAACAAGAGCATCAGGGTGAAAGAAACTCTGCTCATTGTTTCTCGCCGGCGCCCAGGATCGAACCCGGGACCACAAGATCACAAGTCCAGCGTTCTGTCCACTCAGCCACCGGCTCCTAAATAAATAGGCAGAGATAAATCAAACTTACCAGAGCTCGTTTTTGGGCAGTTTACACGAAAGAAATAATTAAAGCCCCACAATATTCTGTCTCCGTGTCGCAACTGCACTTTCTCTGTCACCTGGCAAAAAAGATTTGGTAAGTGAGCTTCTGATATTGTATTATACTGTATATTTGATCTTGAAATAAGCTATATGATCCAATATATGTTCATATGCATTTTCAGTCCTACTAGTCATTAAATTCATTGAGATTAATTTTCATATATTGCATCATCATTAGAATAACTGTATGAGAATGGCTAAGCAAGTTTTTATAAATTAAATAACAATTCTGTACCTGGGAACCATTTACACATGTTCGGGCATTTGAATATGGTTCAATGAAGAGATCAGAGTTCTCTATTAATAGAACACTATGGTGAGTTTCAATTCCCACACCTGAAAGCTGAATATCATTTGGTTCACTTCCAGCATCTGGTCGGCCAACTAAAGTGCGTTCCTGGGACAAAGAGAAAGACATCTTTAATTCGGATGTTCAATAAACTGTCTTTAAAGGAATACTATTTAATATTGCATATTATATGTATATTTATATAATAATTTGTATGTTTAATGTATAGAGATGTAAACACCTCAACCAACATAACTCTTACAAGCAGGAACTACTTCCAAAGCCCTTTGTTCAATTGGCCTTTACTTCAATACACTTTTACTCCACTGGCTTCTGCTTTCAAGAGTGGAATACTGTCATGGGGAAAGAAGTGTGGCAGAGCCTTGTAGAGCTCCATCAGTGACACACTGTCACTGCTCTCTCTTTAGTACCCTTATTACCGGCACTGTACTCCTTTTCCCTCGTGATGAAATCGGCGCTTAAACTGTGTGTGCACCAGCCCAAAACACAGTGACCGTGCAGTACTCTGAGAACTCACTAGGCTAACCTCTGCCCTCAGAGGGCGGGAAGTAGAGCGGCAGGTATCTAGGAGTGGCAGATGTCTCGGTCACTTGGTTATCCTGCTACGTCTCTGATTATCAGGGTTGTCACCTGCGCCTTGTGAATGCCAAATCAACAAAAGGGGAGGGCAGATTACTTGGCTAAGAAACAATGTTATCTCCAGTCGTCTGTAGCTCTCTTGTGTCACCAGCTCACTGAAGTCTCGTCACCACATCCTCAGCAGTTCTCTGGCATCACACATATCCTTGTTCTTCCTCTTCCTTCCTTGGATAATGCAGACGTGGTGCCGATCCTTTTGATGGACTAGAGGAACGCATCCTGGCGTCAACACTGGATCTTCCCTGATTCTTGTCTCTACACGAGATGTACCCTTTCCTGGTAGCTTTATGTCAATGCACAGTGCACTCATTTACTACCATGGATGAAGATATTATGATGGCCAACTTCACTAGTTGGGTCAGTTTCAATACAGAGCACTGTTACAGTCTGTTCACTGTATTCACTTTCTTGATAAGCTAGCCAAAATATTAATTTCTGCTTCACTCGCTCACTCCACTGGTTACTATAGGGTTGCCTAATATCAATATACGAATGTCAACAGCCTCTTCATTGGCAAAGTTAAATGAAACCCTCTTTCTAGGGTCGCAGTTAAAATTTCACTTACCTCTTCACAGGCGAAAATCAAAGGAGCACTTGTTTACCGTGACCTTGGTCGTGTCTCCACCAGCCTTCTCAACGGCTACTCCTTGTGGCTTAACACCGGGTCATAACTATTTCTGACACTCACTGATCAGGACTGTCAGGAGGTCTCGACAGTCAGTCCCACCTTTGTTGACCCACCTAGGTCCAAATGAGGGTACAGTACTTACAACTCCCGTCAATGAATATGGCATGATATCTAGTTCCTGGCACTCTCAGCTGGTCCATTCCCTGACAATACTCTCTTCAACCTTCTTCAAAACGTTCGCCTTAGCATCTCAAATGTGGTCAGAGTCCTGTTGCTTATCTTCTGGGCACAACTCCTGCTTGATACCTGCTTGACGGGGTTCTGGGAGTTCTACTCCCCAAGCCCAGCCCGAGGCCAGGCTTAACTGGTGAGAACTTGGTCCAACAGGCTGTTGCTTGGAGTGGCCTGCAGGCCCACATACCCACCACAGCCTGGTTGGTCTGGTACTTCATTAAGAAAATGATCTAATTGGAGATAAGCCATAAGAGCCTCCCACACCTCCCTCGGCGGGATGCGGGAGGTCGAAAACCTCTGGAAGGAGGGAATCGAGAAACCCAAGGGATCCCAGAACTGAACCCGAGGGAAGAGTTGAACTCATATCAAACTCATACAGGGAGGGGAGGAAAGGAAAACCCCTCCCCCTGTAACAACAAGCCCTGTGGCAAGGGTACCAACACCCAAGTGGGTTCAAAAGGGGCCCAAGCCCCCAAAGTCAACTCCTCCCCAGCCCCGGGAACCTCCAACGGCAGGGGCCCGGGGCCGAGCAGCCCTACAAACCCCCTGTCTTTGGAGAAAAGGCCAGAGTCCACTGGTAAAGCAAGGATAAAGGGGGCCCGCTGGTGCGACCCAACACCCCGGCATGAGTAACAGACTTGAATGCCTCCACCACCGAACCAGAAGAGGCAGTCCCCAAAGCCATCCAAGTCTCACCACCAAGAAAACCCTGCCCCAACTCCAAAACCCACAGACGTTTCGAAGCCAGGAGCAAAGGGGAGGGGGGGGGGAAAGCAGCAGGATTAACCAAAACGGGGCAGCTGCAGGGCATCCAGAAAGGCAACCAACCTAGCGCATTGCAGCAACCTAAACCGTGCATGCAACACTGAAGCTGCCTGTACCCGAATATCAACATCAGTGGACTGGGTGAATTGGAGTACAAGGAAAGAACACCACTCACAGGATTCCGGATCAAAGGTGTCATTGTCCCAACAAGCAGCATGGCGGAGGTAAAGATGGCGAGTGTCACCCTGAGACAAGGGGGAAGAGAGCAACCTTCAAATTCGCATGAAACGAGGTGGGACTCTGAGGTCTCTTCCATCGGACCAATGAGCCCCAATGGGGGTTCCCAGGGCCCTTAGGCTGACTGCTAAGGGAAACTCGGGTAAGGTACTGCTAACCGGTTATCCCAGAGCTATCAAGCAAACAAACTAAAAACTGAACCCCTGCAATGTGTGCAAGCACAGGGACCTAGGGTAGGGCCACCAAAACTATACAAGTGGTTCCACAGCCATACCAAGCAAACCCCCACCAAGCAAAACAAAACAAAACAAAAAAGAAAAAACAGCAAAAGCACACTGTCTTCAGAGGGGGGGGAGGACAGAACTGGTTGCTATGCGTATATCAGACAGCTGCATAGAGCCCAAACCACCACATTTGCCGGCGGAGAAACACCACAGAAAGGCTAAGCACAGCCCCCAGACAGAACCCCCAGGGAAACGGTCATAACAGACCAAAAATCAAGGGACAAGGTGTGGGAGCAAGCATAACACCCAGGGACACTGAGCCCAAACCCAAGGGCCCAGACCCAAAACAGACAAAAAGGGAAACCCGGTGTAAAATCAACACCCAAACGTTCCCAGAGGAACAGGAAACGGGCAGAAAACACCAGAAAAGCAAAGACACAAAAACCAGGAGAATAAAACCCCTGAAAAAAGGTGAAAACTCACCCAAGAAGCTCGCTTGCACACCCAGGCGCATGTAAACAAACCGCAACGCCACCCTGGTTGTCATGCCGGGAAACCAGCAGACGAAAATGGCTGCCAGAACAGAGGGCTGTGACCAACGCTAAAGATACGAAAACATGCCAGCAAAAGTGGGAAGCAAGCAGACTGGATGGGTGAGAAACTCCTCCCAATAGCAGAAAACCCAGGCAGGGGCAAACCGCCCCAGAACTGCTAGCAGGCATCCCCCACACTCCCGGGAACCAGAAACAGAGGCCCCGGGGCAGAGTCGTCCTCCAAGCCCTCCGCCCTTAAAGAAAAGTTAGAGTCAATGGGAAAGGCAACAAGAAAGGGCCGCTGGTAAGACCCCAGAAGCCTTGGCAGGAGGAACAGGCTCAAAAACCTCCGTCCCCCAACCCGAACGGGGCAGCCCCCGAAAACCGCCCGAGTCTTGGCCCCAACTAAACCCCGCCCCGACCCCGAAACCCGCAGATGGTCCGGAGCCGGGAACAGGAAGAGAGAGGGGCGAACAGCACCTAACCAAAACAGGGCGGCCTCGGGGCATCCGAGTGGGAAACCAACCTAGCATGTTGCAGCAACCTAACCTAGCTTGCAACACGGATGCTGCCTGTACTCTGAACAGTAATAACATCAGGAGAGTACTGGAGAACCAGCAGAGAATCTCTCTCACAAGACTCCGGGTCAAGGTGTCAGTGACCAACAGGCAACATGACAGGTAAAAGTGGCGACTGTCACCCGGAGACAAGGGCACAGCAACCAACGATACAGTACAAGACAGGTTGGAACCCGGAAGACACATTCAATGGTCCCCGAGCCCAGACAGGGGTTTCCAGGGCCCGTAGGCTGACTGCTACGGTAAGCCCAGGCAAGGTGTTGCTAACCGGTTAAAAAACCCAAAAATAACAAGAGGGTAGAGGATAGCACTGAAAACCCCTGCAACGTGTACAATCACAGGGGCCTAGCAGAGGGCCGCCAAATACTACCAGTGGAACTATAGCCACACTAGGCAGACCTCCTACCAGGCATGAAAATAAAAACAAAAGAAAAACCCCGCAAAAGTACACCGTCTCCAGAGGCAACAGGAACCGGTCGTCGCTTAGGTGGCAGGCTGAGCAACACCTTGACGCTCTAACCAGCACAATACCAGTCCCTACCCAGGGCCAAACAAGGGCCCCAAGCCCCAGCTGGCCCCAAGGGCGAGGCAAATGCCGAGCAGCAAGAACCTCTATGGGAATGGTTCCCGAACACCCCAGGGAAGATAACCCTATTACGCAGAGGCAGTACTCACAGGGCGCTTAGGGAAGTCAGCCACTAAGCGCATGCAGCCCCGGCACTGATGAGGTACTCCTGGCCACCGCACAACACAACACACGGCAGTGAATGCCACTCGAGGCAAACACCACCTAGGAAACCGAGGCCAGAGAAGCGTCTATCCCGTTTGACATTAGCTTACGAACTGAAGCTTGGCAGCCAGCGCGGTAGGTCCGGGGCTCCGACCTTCCCCCTCTCGGGGCGGGGAGGGCTGCGCGGACGATCGGCACAGCAGTGAAGTGTGATGTTTGCTTGTTTGCTTGTTTCCTTTTGATTGTAGGGAGTTTCTACCTCTCTGTTCAGTTTTTTGTTTTAGTTTTTTACCATGTGGGGTTTGTTTTATTTTGCCTACCTTTCTGGGTGCCTAACCCCGGTCGATGGCAGATAAGGAAAACCCCAACCACAAGGGGGTTTTCCAGTGCTCCCTGAAACCTCTCTGAAGGGGCCCGGTTCTGGCGCTGGTCCCTGGTAGGTCTGAACTCCTTAGCTAATGTCTCGATCTAATATAACATACATTAGCCCGATAAGCTTCAGGGAGCCATAGGGGCTCCCACAGAAAAGGGGCGTTGACAGAGCCTTCGCCAGACAAGGTCTACTCTGCTCAAGCTGTCAGGCGGCAGTTGCCACAAATATATTACCTAATTATTTCAATGTCTGATTTTTTCTTAGTTTTTTGCAGTAATATTATTCAATAGAGTGAATTGTGATATATTTATATAATAAAATGTGTGAGCCATTGCTGTACTCAAAATTATGGTGTGCATATTAGTGATTCAATTATTATATTCATAAAACAATAAACAAATAGTTTTGCTGTTATTACACTATATACACAGGTTATATATAAGTATCTGCATGTTTTGTTCACCATAACGAACCACTAAGTTGGTCTTTTAGTCAAAATGCAACGAGGAGTGACCGCCACACACCAGCCTGACACTCGCTGCCACTCCCTCCCTCAACAACACCTCACTCGCCCTCATTCTCCTCCCACAATACTGTTTTTGCATTTATTCACTATACACAGACGTTATATATAAGTACTTACATGTTTTGTTCACCATAACTGTACATCGAAGCTTGTATGGTGAATAAAGGCACAAAGACGTAGCTACTCACACAGTCAGCTGGTGGCGGCCGCCCTCAAGGCCAGATGCACTAATATTTCTCCTCCAACAATATTGTTTGTGGTGTTATTATGCTATATACACACATTATATATAAGTATCTACCTGTTTTATTCACCATACCTGTACAAATAAGCTGGTATGGTGCCCAAAGACCATAGTGGCCACCAGTAAACAACATGACAAGTCGTGCAGACGACACACCTCCCTCACCAAAATGGCGGCTCCCAACTTACTCCTCTTGCTGTTATTACACTCTATACACACGTTATATATAAGTATCTACATTTGTGTTCACCATAGCGAACCACTAAGCTGGTATGGTGAGTGCAGTCAATAAAAGTTGGCCACACACAGTGAGAAGACGATGCCACCACCCTCCCTCCCACAGCATTACTCCTCCCTCCATGGAGCACAGTGCTAAATATCACCACAATTCTGCTATTATCTGAATCCTGGTCAGTTTTATCACAGTTAGGGGTCTTCTGTAATACTATCATTGCTAAATAATAGCAGTATCATATATATTATGGCATTTGTAGGCGATGCTGTGGTCACAAGCTGAACAGCGGTGCTGTGAGCTCGTGCTGCGTGCGCCAGCCTTGGTGGCTTGCTCAATACTGAAACTCTTACACCCAAGAATATTGGCCTGGATTTTTTTTCTAGGTGGCATCTGGCAACTATCGATTGTGGCTGCACTATAGCTGCCCCCTATCCCAGGTGGGGTAATTACCTAAGTGTGTAATTACCTAAGTGTAGTTACAGGATGAGAGCTACGCTCGTGGTGTCCCGTCTCCCCAGCACTCTTTGTCATATAATGAGTGTTGGGTCACTGCTTCACTTCTACTGTTGAAGTTACAACTTCAACAGTATAATTCATATGTCATCACTCCCTTCATCTCTCTGAGGGGGCCAGGTTCTGGCTCATGGTCCCCGGTAAACATAGAAGAACTCTGCGACTGTTGGCACCCCAAGTAGTATGGCACTTAATCAGTACACTAGCTTCAGGGAGCCTCCAGGGCTCACCCAGAAACTGGAGTTTCATAATGTTCAACACTGGGGGTTTTCTGTGGAGAGCCCCTTCGGCTAGCCCCCTAATATATATATACACATCAGACCGCACAGACAGCGGCTGTGGTGACGTCATGCTTGTTTGTTTTCGATTGGGGAGTTCTGCTTGCTAATTCGGCTTTTGGTTTGAAATTTTTAACCAGCTGTAGTTTGTTTTGGAATTCCTACCTTTCTGGGTGCCTGACCAATGGCAGACATAGACTGCTTCCAATTACACAGGGGTGGCTATAGGCCATTGCTCCCTGTGCCTCTCTGAGGGGACCAGGTTGCCACACTGGTTCCCGGTAGGCCTAGAACTCCATCGATTTACTGTTGCCATGGTCTAATATATACACATCAGCCCAGTATAGCTCCGGGAAGCCTCCGGGTCTCACCCAGAAAATGGCGTTTCATTACATTCAATGATGGGTTTTTTCTTGTACATGAGGAGGGGTTTTCAGCTATTAACAAGTGTATGGCCCCAGGTGCTAATCACTTGCAAGGGCCTGGTGCAATTAATAGGTGTGGAACTATCTAAAGCATCTAGCAACTGGACCCATCAGAGGGAGACATCTCATTACATTTAACACTGGATTTTTATGGCAAACAGGTTTGCTGTTCATTAATAATTATTAAGCATAATAAGAATATCTTTTTGAATATTTGCCATTGTATACTTGTACAATGCTCCATGACATTGTAGAATCATTAAATCAATATGTAATTAAAGCAAGATACAACAAAATATCATAACGTGAGATAAAACATCAATAAATATATACCTTTAAGTAATAAACAAGCATCTCATTGAGCGATGGATCAGCATTGAGGTTCACAAGGTAATATTTGTTTTTCTCCACACTAATGCCTGATGCCTGTACACTTATTCCCATCTTCTCCAGGGCTTGCTGTCTCTCCTGCTGTACACGCTCTGAAATAACAAGTATAATTTAAATGATAACACGAAATCCAAGTGTGAGTCAAAGGGAATTCACATGTACAATGGAGATTGTTATCAAAGAAGGCATATTCTTTACATCAACATTAGCAGTTTTCACAAAGAACATATTTAATTTATAAAAGTAATAACAATGGGTGGAGAGGAATGCCATCATTCAATTCAAGCATCATTGAATTCAACTACTAGTACTATTAACTGGAAATACCATAGTACAAAGGTACCACTAACTAGAAATAAGATAGAACAAAGGTAAATGACCTTGTTTACTTGGTCTTGTGTCCGTGCGTAATTACCCAAGTGCAATTACAATTACCTAAGTGTAGTTGCAGGATGAGAGCTACACACGTGGTGTCCAGTTTTCCCAGTATTCGTTGTCATACAATGCTTTAAAACTACTGGTTGCAAAAGAAAACTTTCTAATGTTTTTTTTTGCACCTTTGTTTCCGCAACTTGAATCTAAGACCTCTTGTTCTTGAGGTATCCGGGGATTCATGAATTACTCTTTGTCAATTTGGTCTATTCCTGATATTTTTTAAGTGGTGATCATATCAATGCCTTTTTCTTCTTCTATCTTCTAGTTTTGGCATATTTAACGCCTCTAGCCTCTCCGTATAACTTTTGTTTTTCAGTTCCGGAAACCATTTTGTAGCATGCCTATTCACCTTTTCCAGTTTAATGATGGGCTTCTTGAGATATGGGCACCATACAACTGCTGCATATTCCAATTTTGGTCTCAGAAAAGACATGAACAGTTTCTTTAGTACTTCCCTATCCATGCAATTTAAAACGATTCTGAAGTTGGAACATGCAGCATATGCTCTTGCACAATATAAATTATGTGGTTCTCAATGTATTGGGTTCCTCTGGATTGTACTTGGATAGGGTTCTGGGAGTTCTTCTACCCCCCAAACCCGGCCCAAGTCCAGGCTCGACTTATGAGAGCTTTGTCCAACAGGTTGTTGCTTGGAGCGGCCCACAGGTCCACATATCCACTACAGCCTGGTTGGTACGGCACTTCTTGAAAAACTATCTAGTTTTCTCTTGAAGATGTCCACGTGTGTTCTGGTAATATTTCTTATACGTACTCCCTGAGAGGAAGTTGAACAACCATGGACCTCTGATGTTTATTCAGTGTTCTCTAATTGTGCCTATAGCACCTCTGCTCTTCACTGCTTCTATTCTGCATTTCCTTCAATTTATTGTTCACTCCAGTATGTTGCTATTTTAATGTGTAGATTTGGGACCTGGCCCTCCAGTATTTTCCATGTGAATATTATTGGATATCTCTCTCTTCTCCTTTCTAGCGAGTACATTTGAAGAGCTTTGAGATGATCCCAATAATTTAGGTGCTTTATCGTGTTTATTTATGCCATATATGTTCTCTGTATTCCCTCTATTTCAGCAATCTCTAGTGCTCTGAAGGGGAAAGAAAGTATCAAACAGTACTCAAGACAGGACAGCACAAGTGATTTTAATAGTACAACCATTGTGATAGGATCCCTGGATTTGAAGGTTCTGATAATGCATCCAATCATTTTTCTGGCTCATTTATATTTGCAGTGGTTTTTGCTTTTAATTTCACACATGTGACTAAACATTTTGGGTTTTTCTTTATTTTCTTTATTTTATTTTATTGTTTTCTGTTCTAGTGACAGTCTACTATTCAGAACCACCTCTAGATCTCTTGACTTTTTGTGGGGAGCCCCGTCAGCTCCCTGAAACTATAATCACTGATTAAGTGCCTTACTACCAAACGTCATCAGTTGCGGAGTTCTTTTTTGCCTACCAGAGACCACGAGCCAAAACCTTGCCCCCTCAGAGAAGTGCAGAGAGTGATGGCCTATGATCACTTTACATTTAAAGGATATCATCTTTGCCATCACCAGGGAAGGCACCCAGAAAGATAGGCGAATCAAAACAAACTAGTGCCTGGGTTAAAAACGTCACGAAAGCCTCCAAAATGCCAAAAAAAAAAACAATAATTAAAGAAACCACCATAACTTAGTGAAACTAGCCCCCCTACTAGTTAACCGGGTGGTCATGTTGCTCTTTGGTGTTCTCTTGCATTTGCAGCAGTGTTTAGATGGAAGTGTTTGTGAGCTAGGAGTTTTACTCTACCAGAGTTGCATGTGCTCAGGGTTTACTTTCCTGTGCACTCTATGACTACTGCTCTTGCGTGGTCAGGATTCTCTTCCCTGGGAAATTCGGGGAATGCTCCCTTTAGAGAGGCCTCCTTTCTTGGGGTGGTTCTCACCCTTAAGGTAAGCCAGGGGTCTTGGGTTTTCCATCTTGCCTGGGCTTTGGAGGTGTTTTTGACTGGTGGGGTGCATTGCAGCTGCTTTTGGTCGAGGTGGATCTTCTGTGGTGCCAGCAGCCGGTTCGTATGCGTTTCCCAAAGCATCTTCTTTGGCTGGTCGGCACTGTGCTCACTCTGATTGGGGCGGTTGGGAAGGGGGAGAGGAGGCTGGCTCTCTATGCCTGTGCTTGGTCCCATGTTTTGTGGGAGTTTTGGGTCATTTCGTTTGACCTATGGTGGCGTTGGGCAGTCCCTCCCCTTTTGGGGGGCTTGGGTCCGATGGGGTTGGCCTTTTCTCTTCCCTCTGTCATGAAGTCTTTGATTGAGTTCATTTGGGCGTGATTGGCACAACCTTCTTCTGTGGGTTTCCCACCTTTTTTCCGGTGCCAAAGCGGGACTGTGCACTTCTCCGGTGCGTTGTTTTTTTTTCCCAGTCTATCCCGGTTGCTTCCTTGCCCCACTTCTGGTTGTTTACTTTTTCTTGTCTGGCTCATCCTTGAGCAGGGCACTTGGATGAGTTCCCTGGACCTCCCAGATGCCTCTTGGCATGTCCTGATCCATCCGAGGTTTGGGAATTGTTTAGGTTTCATGGTGGGCCAACAAGTTACTGCTTTCCGGTTCTCCTATTTTGGTTGCATCTTTCACGACACTTTTTTTACGCACCTGGGTCGTGGTGGCTCGTCTTTCTTTGTTCGGTCTGATGGTGTTGACCTACCTCGACAAATGGCAGGTTTGGGCTCCCACCCAGTCTGTTTATCTGCTAGCCAGGGATTTGGTTCTTTTCCAGCTTGCCAGATTCGGGTTCCTGGTGTTTTCGAGATGGTCCCAGTTAGGCCATCCATTCATCCTTGGATCGGACCTGGTTAGGTCTGCCTTTAGATTCTCGGTAGGTATTGCTTCCCTGCCTCCTGTGGCCTTGCCCTCGCTGCAGTCCCACCATCTGTTGCTGTTGAAGGGGACCTAGGTTACTCAGCGGATGCTGAAGCAGTTGTACAGGAGTCTAACCTTCACCCTTATGGTTTTCCTTTGAGCAGGGTTTGGCTTCGGAGGCTGTTCTGGTTTCTTTGGGGGCAGCCCCTTTCGCCCCTCTCACATTTACTGGGTTTGGACCAAGGGTCCCTTCTCCAGTTGCTGCATCCCAGACTTCCTCTTCAGGTTTTTTAAGGATCAGTGCCATGGCACCTTTTCCCATGGCTCAATATGTTCATGGATGCCTCAGCTGTAGACTGGGGTTTTGTGGCCAGTGCTCACCAGTCACACCAGGGGGTCATTGGCGTCCTCTTTATCGGGTTCACAGTACGATGCGAGAGTCTGCGGTAGTGTGCTGATGCTGCAGAGAGTTCGGATTCCTCCGGGCTGGGTGATCCGACTCCATTCGGACTGTTCATCCGTGGTTCATTGCCTCAATGAGGGAAAAGGGGGGGGGGGGTTGTCTCTTCGGTTTGTGGCTATGAGGGCTGGTCTCTTCACTAGATCTCCATCTCCCGCACTCACTGATAGGTAAGCATAGTTATACAGATTACTACCAGGGGCACAATTATACAGCTCCACTATTATGGCTACAGTTATACAGCTCACTACTATGGGTCTAACTATGCAGCTTACTGCCATGGGTATACTGTAGTTATTTAGCTTACTAACATGGGTTCTGTTGTACAGCTCACTACCTGGATATACTGTAGTTGAGTTTGCAATGTCTTTTACAGCTTAAACATGCACACTACCTCGTTATCTTAACAACAGGCCATCCTCTACTATGAGGATAGCTATTATTATTATTATTATTATTATTATTATTATTATTATTTTCATGTCAGCTACTATAATATGCCATTTAACTTGCAATAATAATGTTTTTGATTTGTTTATTTATGATTAATCAATAATAACTAGTGCTTGTCCCACCTGTTTTCTTGAGTTTGTTCTCCCATGTCTCTGAGAGGTTTGTGATGAGCTTTTCACTTTCGTGTAACTTCTCATTTAGACTCTCCTCCTCTTGCAAAGATGCTGGCCCATCTCTCGTCATTTGTCGTAATGACTGGACAATGAAGGAAGGACATGGTTCACTTTTAAATTAGAAACACTAATACATTACCACATACATCTTGCTGAATAATAAATATGATAAAATATGGTTACTACCATGTACAGCTCACCTATTGCTAAATAACAATGAATATTATCATTCCTATTCCATACATACATTTAGTCTATTTAATCCACATATAATAATACATAATACATAAATACAGTAATAATAATAATAATAATATAGGATAAAAACCCATACTTGTGTATTTATGAAATTTATGTAAATCGTATCTATGAGAGTTATGTAAATACAGTACTGTACTCGAATCTTACATCTCAATGTCTATTCTCAATGGAATAGACGAGATGTAAGTCTCGTCCTAACCACATACTCAGACCTTGACAAAGCACTCAGGAGAGTGCAAAAGACTTGGAGTAACTTTACATAAATCTCACAAATACACAAGTATGGGTTTTTATCCTGTGTTTTTATGTCTGTGAATAGACATTGCCATTACTTAATAATAATAATAATAATAATAATAATAATAATAATAATAATAATAAATAATAAATAATAATAATAATACCTTTTAAAACTAACTATTTGAATATTTAATTACAAGAAGGTACAGTGCAACCTCAATTTGGCAAACTACATGGAATGAGACCTGATTTGTTTAAGTGATGTATTTGATGCAAACAATGATCCTTTCAAGTGAAAGGTGGTGTACATATTTATTTCTAAAATTCTAGTATAAGGGATATATTACACTGTTGCACAAAATGATATATAAATAATGCATTTAAAATGCTGCATGCTGAAATGTAAGATAGAGGAAGAAAAGAAAATAACAAAAGTTAGAGAAAACTATTCATTACTCACTTTCGAGTAATGTACTGACAAATTCTCAAGCCCTATTGGCAAATTTTATTGAATGAAATGAAATTTCAACCTGTCATATGCTGGATATCTACAAGCAGAGCTGAACAGTCTATTACATCCCTTTTTCCATCTTCTCTCTGCTCCAAGCTGCTTATCACTTTAACTTATAATTACTTTGCCTTGCCTCTCATGGCAGATTGGCAACTAATCCTATTTAGATAGTTGAAGGCTCTTTGCACAGCTTTGGGTATGAACTTTTTAAGCCTGGTGTAATATTACCTGTATGGGTCAGGTAGTAGATTTGTTGATTTCACATTTGCGGCTTTACCAGAGTAGGGATTTTTTTGGGGACGCCTACCTTTCTGGGTGCCTAACCCGGTCGATAGCAGACATAGAATGCTTCCAACCACACGGGGGTTTCTATAGGCCATTGCTCCCCTTGCCTCTCTGAGGGGGCCAGGTTCTGGCTCAGGGTCCCCGGTAGGCCCATAAGAACTCCGTACACATGACTGATGCCAAAGTCTGACATTAACATATCGGCCTGGTAAGCTCCGGGGAGCCGTAGGGGCTCCCCCCAGAAATACCAGTCAAATTCATTAATCTTTTAATTGACAAATTATGAGACCCAAGGGGTTCACCCACAAAATGGCATTTCATTACATTCAACGCTGGTTTTCTGAGGGGAGTCCCTACGGCTCCCTGGAGCTTCATACCCTAAGAGAAGGAAAATAAAGGGCTGACCTGGGAGAGAGTCCCCACAAACTCCGCAACGCGAAGTCGAAACAACAGGCTGCAACCTGCGATCCAAAGCAGCCCAAGAACACCCAAGAGCAGACACGCTCACAAAATAACAGTCAACCAGGAACCTGTATGATCTCCAAATCCCCATGCCCAAAGTGAGCTCAAGACATGTTACCAAACACGGCAGCAAAAGCTGCAAATGTCCGAATGGCACGGGCACGAGGATAGACCGCAGGCTGTCTAGATTTAATAACCCTGCGGCGACCTGGGAGAGACTAGCCCGGAAACAGGGAACGAGGGAAATCAGATCAACCCAAAGCGCATCCCCAGCACACAGGTAACGGTGAAGCACCGCAACCGGACAACTCATGATGCACACCCGGCCGAACCAACCAAGCATCAAAAACTTAAGAACCCCCTCCGGAAAGCAGCAGTCATGGCCTTCGCCAGAAAAGGCAGAGAAGGCTGCAAACGTACAAACCTACCACAAGTACCAAAAAAGTAGAAACCCCCGTGCCGGAGAAGAGCCGGAAGCTCCCCGACCCGACCCCCAGAGGCCAATGCCAACAATTAGTACCTTTGATAAACAATCTTGAATCGAAGCGGTTACCACAAACTAAGGAGAGGAAAGATAAGAGAGCACCCAAACCAAGGACCAGGACGGCTCAAGCGGTGCATGAGCAGGCCGGAGGTGAAACAAGGCACAAGAAGCGTATGGAACGGGCGGATGTGACATCCACCCCGAACGCCAGCTGGAGTGGCCCCGCCAGCGCCGCACAATAAGAGGCGACAGTAAGAAGCCTCAACTAACAGTCCTAAGAAACCAAGAAAGGACAAGACAACCCAATACGAAAAAGAAGAACCTATGAAGAGCAAGAAAATGCTGAAGAGAATTGCCAGGAAACTTCACATTGTCGCCGAGACGAAGCTCGCAGGTGGGACACCATCAACAAAGCCACCTGTGGGTGGCTTTGTTGTATGGTGTATCTTTTGTATGGTGCTTTGACATGGGGTGTATCACCATAGAGATGGTGATACACCCACGTCAAAAGACCAGATGCGAAGAGCCTAGAAGAAAGCCGAATCAGCCACATATTGGACTGGTCTGACCCGCCCAAAGAGGCGGAGCCGTGGGAAATGCCCCGGGTTCGGACACCGATCAAGCAGCGTCTGAAGACAAAACAGGGCCGGCCACCAAGGGTCACGAGGACTACTCTCCTTGGGAAAGACTCCAACTGAGCCAGAACCCAAAGCAACAGTTGGACCGGAGAAGAGGTACAGGTAACTCCACCTCTACTATCTTGAGGTTATCTTGAGATGATTTCAGGGCTTTAGTGTCCCCGCGGCCCGGTCCTCGACCAGGCCTCCACCCCCAGGAAGCAGCCCGTGACAGCTGACTAACACCCAGGTACCTATTTTACTGCTAGGTAACAGGGGCATAGGGTGAAAGAAACTCTGCCCATTGTTTCTCGCCGGCGCCTGGGATTGAACCCAGGACCACAGGATCACAAGTCCAGCGTGCTGTCCGCTCGGCCGATTAGTCCTGCTGAAAGGCATCCACTGCGAATGCCACGCATTTCGCACATCTTTAGAGCGTGATTATCAGCAGTGGTGCAGTAACACAATAATAATTATATTTTTATATGTAAAGGACATAAATCCTTTAAGTACATATAATAATAATATAATCAAAGACAGAGCATATCTGAAGAAATTGATTTTTTTCACTATCCAAGGATAGCTTATCTGACTTTAATAGAAAGTGCTCAGTGATGCCCCCCCTTAAAGTAGAACCCAAGGCACATTCCATACTTGCCATACCCCTAGATATGCCACTAGGGCATATCATAAGTGGGGTGAACCACACCAGCAGGGAAAGGAAGAGGAGATGCAGACTGAATCCAGGTGGAGACTGCTAACACCCCCAATTCCAGATCCCTAAACACCATATGGGCCAATTCAGGGGCTTCTAGCCAATCACATACAGTAAATGCTTCATATGGACAAACCTTGCTCATAAAGCGGCAGCTGCCTGGAAAGACTTCAACTGGGAGCCAGAATCTGTCAAGGCAGAGACTCAGTGTGAGCACACCTCACCTCACAGGACTCAAGGACAAAACCATCGCCAACCAAACAAGCAGCATGGCGCAGGCAAAAAGAATAATCATCATCAGGTTGTAGAGATGATGAACTTCCATTCAAACTCTCAAAATGTAAGACCAGGCTCACTGCGCTGTCCCTAAGGACCACAACAGAGACAGGAGGCGATTACCAGGGCCTGAAGCAAAACTATGTGGGTATCCAATTAAGGCACTGGGGCCCACTTGCCAAATGAGTGGCCATCAACTATATCCTAACCACCTGGCTACAGGAGGCACACACAGCATGTTGTGTAAACAAACACACCACTCCGGTGAGCCAGTCTCACAGAGACAAACCTCAAACACACCAGAGAAGGCAACTCTGGCTGTGCAAGGACAGCATTAGTGGGCACACAGTAAAGAAAACCTTGAGTACATGCAACCCAAAACACACACAAAGTGCCAAATGCACACAAGAAGCCAGAAATCAAAACACACACACCTGAAGCTACATTAAAATTGTAAACAATACAACAAAGCAAATGGCCCCCCAACCCGTCCTCAGTCCAGGCTCGTTAGAGTAGCGGCCATTTCTCCCATACGCATCCCATCAATTTTAACATACCGTGGGTTCAAAATTGGTTTATTCTGATACTGTAGATAAGTTAAAATTATTATATATTAAATTTCTATGTAAAGTTAGGGACATTTGTTAGGTATTTAGGTTCTGCTGGCGATTATTTGTATTTGAATTACTGTACGTGGGTGAAGCATTTGCAATGTTGTGGTTCACACAGAGGTCGTCGGGGAAGCACTCTTTGAGAAATGTTCAACCGTCATCAGTTGTGAATCGTGTGTAAACTGTTTACATTCATAAACAGGGGGTTTGGTGGCTGGATTAACAAGCATTTGGCATTTGTATACGAGGAAGATTTGGGCCCCAACAGGCCTTACCTTGAAACTTTGGGGCTCAGCCACAAGATAGTATGACTGGAAGCACTACAAGTTGGTGTGGTGACAGTAACATCAGGAACAGAATTGACTTGGAGAGCCAGCTGGGAGCTGGGTACAGACCACATGGTGGTGGTAATCGGTACTAACCTGTTTCAATCTCGTTTGAGTGAATTTCTTGTTCTGTGTGACTCATTTGTAGTAGCTGTTTGGCTGTTTATTGCAGCTTCATGTCTGTGAAACTTCCAGTTGTCTGTAAAGCTGTGCTGATTTTATGGAGGCTTTCTCTGGAAAGGTGGCTGATTATTACCTGCTCTCTGTGTCTGTGAAGCAGGCCAGGGGTCTGGCTCAGGTCTTCCCTGTAGGCCTAATATAACTAGCTGTGGCTGATATGATTTTTAGTATAAAGCAATCTCAAAGTTAGCTTCAGAGAGCCACACGGGGCTCCCTCCAGAAAATTTGCTCTACACATAAAATAAAATAAAATAATTTACATAAAACTGTTAGTTAAAATACAGTAAATAATAATCTCCATACCAGCAGTTGTGTCCTTAAAGTCTCAACTTCTTCGCGCAATTCTCGTATAATTTTGGCATTGGGATCTTCATTGACGACAGCATGGTTAACAATTCTTTTTGCTCGGTCAGCATATCTGAGAGTTGACAAAGTCTCTTCAAAGTTATCAGCTGCAGGAGACACTGTGGCAACCATGACAGTGCGACTGTTACCTCCAAGGTTATCCTGAAAATCACAATGACCAAAAATATCATGTTCTACCTGAATATTAAATGTTTAATTTCTATTGTGTCCAATTAATCCTCTTACTGAAACATCTCTGTTTTGGCCTTGTTTTTATCTTTGATCAAAAACCAGCACTGAATGTAATGAAATGCCTCTTTCTGATGGGTCTTTCAGTGGCTCCCTGTTGCTACATCCTGGATAGTTCCACCAATTTGATCACACCAGGCCCCTTGCAAGTTTGTAAAAGCCCATTGGAGACTTTAGGCCAAAACCTGGTCCAATCACAAAAGTGCAAGGAGCAAAGGATTCAAGTTCACTCTAACTGAAGAAAAAACCAGCGTTGAATGTAATGAAATGCCATTTTCTGGGTGAGACCCGGAGGCTCCCTGGAGCTATATTAGGCTGATGTGTATATATTAGGCCGTGGCAACTGTCAATCGATGGAGTTCTAGGCTTACCGGGAACCAGCATGGGAACCTGGCCCCCTTAGAGAGGAACAGGGAGCAATGGCCTATAGACACCCCTGTGTAATTGGAAGCAGTCTATGTCTGCCATCTACCAGGTCAGGCACCCAGAAAGGTAGGAATTCCAAAACAAACTACAGCTGGTTACAAATCGGAAACTGAAAGTCGAACTAGCAAGTAGAACTCCCCAATCGAAAACAAGCAAACAAGCATGATGTCACCACAGCCAACGTGCTGCTGTCTGCGCAACTTCCCTCCTCCCTGGGAGGGAGAAGGTGGGGTCCCAGACCTCCCGTGCCGGCTACCCAACCCCAGTTCAGAGGATGAATACTGTATCAAAAGCATGAAAAATATGCCAACCAGAGGGAGGGGGAATGCCGGGAAGCCTCTGGGTCTCATCCAGATAAAGGTGTTTCATTACATTCAACGCTGGTTTTCTGTGGAGAGCCTCTTTGGCTCCCTGGAGCTACCTAACCAAAGATAAAAGAAAAGAGGGACTTACCTGGGAGGTAGCTGCAACTCACTCTTCAACACGAAGTTGAGACAACTGGCTGCAACCTGCGACCCAAGAGAACACACGCCTGGGGGAGGGCCAGGAACATGAACAAGGTACCGTGCGGCCAGGACCCTGTTCGACCTTCAAAAGCCCCAGGTCCAAATGTAAGCCCAGGACATATTACCAAAATCAGCAGCCAAAGCCGTAAACTTACGAATGTCGTGGGCACTGGGATAGACCGCAGACTGGCTGGACCGAATAATCCTGTGGACTTGGAAGACCCAGGACTTGGACTTGCCCAGGAACAGAGAAGAAAGGAAACTGGGTCAACCCAAAGCATGTCCCCTGCCACGGAGGCCATGGTGCACATTTGGGGGCCGGCCGGCCGAGCGGACAGCATGCTGGACATGTGATCCTGTGGTCCCGGGTTCGATCCCAGGCGCCGGCGAGAAACATTGGGCAGAGTTTCTTTCACCCTATGCCCCTGTTACCTAGCAGTAAATAGATACCTGGGAGTTAGTCAGTCAGCCATCACGGGCTGCTTCCTGGGGTGTGTGTGTGATGTGGAAAAAAAAAATAGTAGTACCCGTAGTAGTTAGAAACAGTTGATAGGCAGGTCGAAAGAGCAGAGCTCAATTAGGTGAATACAATAAGGTGAAAACAAGTAATGGCAAAGAGACGCAACCGGGTACAAAACATGATGCACCCCCGGCCAAACCAACCAAGCATCAACAACCCAAGGACTCCTCTGGAAAGCAGCAGTCTCCTTTGTCTCCAGAAAAGAAGGAAACGGCTGCAAATGAACAAACCGACCACCAGGACTGAAAGAGCAGAAATCTCTGCACCGGAGAAGAGCATGAAGCTCCCCGACTCGACCCCCAGAGGCCAATGCCAACAAGAAAAAGAGCCTTAGAAAAGCAGTCCTGAACCGAAGGGGTCACCACAAACCAAGGAGATGAGAATTTGATCACTACGTACAAAATAGAAACCGGAATCGATAAAATTGATAGGGCAGAATTCCTGAGACCTGGAACTTCAAGAAAAAAAGGTCATAGATTAAAACTAACTAAACAAAGATGCCGAAGAAATATAAGAAAATTCACTTTCGCAAACAGAGTGGTAGACGGTTGGAACAAGTTAGGTGAGAAGGTGGTGGAGGCCAAAACCGTCGGTAATTTCAAAGCATTATATGACAGAGTGCTGGGAAGACGGGACACCATGAGCATAGCTCTCATCCTGTAACTACATGTAGGTAATTACACTTAGGTTATTACAGCCACATGTAAATAAAATGCAGCGCCGCCCTCGTGGCGAACTGGGGAGACGCTCACAGGAAAATGGCCGCCCCAAAAGAAAGCAGCCAAAAGGCAACGCACCAGGTGTAAATGCACCAAAACACACCCGCAAATGTGGGAAAACACCCGCAGCTGGGAAGGAGAGGACTAACACCTCACCCAGAAGGCACAGCAGCCCAACACTACAAGCTGGCTCCCCCAAAGCCCCAAGAAACCCCAAATAGGGGCCCAGGGCCAGAGCCGTCCTCCATGCCCTCTGTGCAAGGGGGAGGGGGGGGGGTTGTGTAAAATCCTGGTTTGTGCCTCGGAGAGGCTACGGGATCCAGTAACTTCGGTAGAACTTCGGTTTCATTCCTTTTAATCCTGTCGTAGCTCAGTCAATTAAGGCAGTGTCTGGGATGCTCCAGGATGCAGGTTCGAATCCTCGTCACGGCCCTTGTGGATTTGTTCATTTGATGCATCACGTTAGTGTGATCTCTGTGTGTAATGGCACTTCTAAACTTAAATCTAAATTATACAATATATAAAAGTGATTAAATGTTATACTATTACTGTACTGTGGCCATCTTTAAAAGGTAAATAAATGTATTGAAATTTTGCGAAACTAATTTATAAATATACAGTACAACTATTTATAAAGTTTTGAATTTTAATTACTATTGATTCATGTAACAAAACTTAACATGTAACAGCTTATTAACATGACTAACCTTGAGAAGCCAAGTGAGAACAGAATCTCTGTATGGAACAAAGTTATCACATTTGCCCCTCCCTTTACCAACGGCTTGATCTGCCAACTTGGAAATTACTAAGCCCAAGGTAGTCAATGACCTGAAATTATTTTAAATGATGCAGTATAATTATTGTATATTTACACATATGCAAATAATTTACATTATGTACATGCATGCAAATGATCTTATGTAATTTATACGATAGAGGTAGTTATTAGATGAAGTTTTTGGCTTAACTCTTTTGCTTCAATAGCTGAATTCAGTTATTCCAAAAACAAATTGACATTCACTGCCAAATCAACCTTTATTCAAGTATAAGAAAGTGTTCTAAATATAAGTTATGTTTGACCAAGTTCTTTGGCTTTCAAAATGGGAGAGCTAGACCCAATACATTTCTGCACTCTGCTGAGGACAGAATCAAATGTCACTCCAAGTGGTAGCACACAAAATTGGCAAGAATACCTCCCACAAGCCCTAACATCCGCTACTTCTACAAATTGTTTGGCATAATTATGGTATTGTATGTTGTTTTGTACACTGTACCATGATGTGTAAAAGTTATATACTGTACATATAATTAATTAACCACTGCAATGCACTGAGTTTATTGTGACATTCCCCTGTGTGCATTAATCAAATGTTCGCAAAAAACTTTTTGATCTTTGTAAAATGATAAATTCCCTTCCCTGAACACGTACATGTAAAAAAAAAAAAAAAAAAAAAAAAGCGTGGAATGTAATAAAATGCCATTTTCTGGGCGACTCCCAGGGGCTTTCCGGAGCTGTAAAGGCTGATATGGATAGGTATAACTTTCAGACATCAGTCAATGTGCATGGAGTTCTGGCCTACCAGGGACCACGGCCAGAATCTGCCCCCCCCCCCTCAGAGAGGCACAAGGAGCAATGGCCTATAGAAACCTTCGTCTGGTTGGGAGCATTCTATGTCTGCCATTGACCGGGTCTGGCACCCAGAAAGGTATGCCTGCCAGAAAGGTATGCACCCCAAAGAAACCCCTATTCTGGTGAAAAATTGCTACTGAAAGCCGAACGAGTTGGCAAAACTCCCCAAATGGAAATTAGCAAACGAGCATGAAGTCATCACGCCGTTGTCTACACAATCCCCCTGCCCTCCCTGGGTGGGGGAAGGGGGTTGCCCCAGACTTTTGTGCCGGCGATCCACCCACCAGTTCTTAGGCTGGATGCCCGAAACCCAGCTCCTCCACATCTTCCTCGGGCCAGTCCAAAGACAGCTCCAGTAGAGAAAAGAAAGGCAAGACCAAAGCCAAATGCCCACGAGCGCACAAATCCTCGATCACCAGGGACGCTGAAATGGAGGCAACCTGCGCATGAAGCTGCACCTGGTCGACATCACGAGGAAAAACAGGAGCGAACAAGCACGCATTGAGGTGCTCAAACTCGCCCCCTAGGTAAATCTGAACAACCGTAGTCAACTCCAGCCATTCAAGCGCGCAGGTTCGACAATACAATTGCCACACCCCCTACAAAAAGAAAGGGCAGTCCACCAACCAGGAAGACTCTGGCACCACATAACTCACCCAGTAAGGAAATGAGGGGACCAAACTTGAAAGAAGAAGGACCCATTACAAGGCGTAATTCGGACCTCACAAGAGGTAAGTCGCAAGAGCCTCCCATACCACCTTCGGTGTGATGTGGGAAGCCGAAAATCTCTGGAAGGAGGGGAACCGAAGAACCCAAGGGAACCCGAAATCGAACCCGGGGAGGAGTTGCACTCGTATTAAAATCGCTCAGGGAGGGGAGGATAGGAAAACCCCTCCCCCTGTCACAACAACCTCCACCCCGAGAGTACCAACAACCAAACGGGGCCTGCCCTGCCAGCCCTGTACCAACAACCAAACGGGGTCAAATGGGGCCTAATCCTCCAAGTCAACTCCTCCCCAGGCCTGGGAACCTCCACATCAGGGCCCAGGGGCCAAGCAGTCCTCCAAACCCTCTGCCTCTGGAGAAAAAGCAAAGTTCACAGGAAAAACCGGGATGAAGGGGGCCCTGCTGGCATGACCCAAAAGCTCCGACAGGAGGTACAGGCTCGATTGCCTTCGCCACCGATCCGGAAGGGGCAATCCCCGAAGCTGCCCGAGACTCACCAGGCAAACCCTGCCCTAACTCCAAAACCTTCAGACATTTGGAAACTGGAAGCAGGATGAACCACAGCAGGAGAAGGACTAGGGGGTGCAAATGAAGCCAAAGTCGAGGCGACTAACACTTCCCAAGTCCGGGTCCCTATAACCAAAGCGGGGCAGCTGCGGGGCATCCAGAAAAGCAAGCAACCTTGTGCGTTGTGCGTTGAAGCAACCTAAACCGCACATGCAACGCCGAAGCTGCATGCACCCGAATATCAATCTCAGTGGACTGGGTGAATTGGAGTACAAGCTATGAACACTACTCGTAAGTCCGAGTCAAAGGTGCCACTGACCCAACAGGCAGCATGGCAGAGGCAAAGACTGAGTGTCACCCTGAGTCAAAGGGACAGAGCAACCTTCAAACTCACTCAATGTGAGGTGGGACTCGGAGGTCTCCTCCATTGAACCCCAGTGGGGGTTCCCAGGGGCCCTTAAGCTGACTGCTAAGGGAAGCCCAGACGAGGTACCGCTAACCGGTTATCCCAGAGCTACCAAGCAAACAAACTAAAAGCTGAACCCCTGCGATGTGTGCAAGCACAGGGACCTAGGTGGAGGGCCACCAAAATCATGTAAGTGGTCCTACCCCCACACCAGGCAAACAAAAAACAAAAACAAAAAACAAAAACAAAAGAAAAACCCCACAGAAGCACAATGTCTCCAGGTAAACAGAACCCCTTCGCTATGCATATATCAGACAGCAGAACAGTACCTCGTGCCCCAGCCAATGACGAAACTATATCCTACCCAAGGTTAAACAGGAGTAAGAACCACCCCAGCTGAACCCCCAAGGGCGGGCAATCACCGAGCAGCAACAGAACCATGCGGAAGTAGTTCTAGAACGGGTCAGGGAAGATAACCCTAGGCCGCAGGGGCAGTACTTACAGGGCACCTAGGGAAGGTGGCCCTAGGTACATGCAGCCCCAGTACTCTTGTGTTACTTCTGGCTCACACACCACCAATACTGAACAACAACACCGCTCTGCAGCACTGCTCAAAGGATAGAGCCAGAGTTGGTCGACTGCCACTGACAACAGCCTCTTGAACTGAGGAGAATAACCAACGTGGAGGTCTGGGACCCACCATCCCCATCCCGGGGAAAGGGTCGGGGGGCCCCAGTAGGCCTAGAACTCCATTGATTAACTGTTGTCACGGTCTATCATAAGCACATAAGCCCGTTATATCTCCAGGGAGCCGAAGGGGCTTGCCACAGAAATACTGGTAATATAGAAGTTATTGCATCTTCAGTAATGTCTGACAGAAGAGACGGCCTGTACAATAGTTTTCCCCACGAACCCATAGTTCAACAACTAGCCACTTTGTGTTGGTGGTATCACTAGTATGCCGATCAGCTATTATAAATGGTGAGTTTGCAGGGTGACTCACAGGATGTCACTCATGGTGTAACTCTGAGTGACTTGCTGTAGCTTTTTTAACTCTCAGTGGTAAAGGTTTATATTTCACATTCAGCGGACAAGTCGACCCCTGGTTTTGGAGTGATATTTTTAGGCTTCAAATGTTGACTTATACATTGGCATATGTGGTAGTTGACTTAGTTCTGGGATGAATTTTGTCATTCTGCATTGAACTCTTCTAATGACTGGTATATAAAGTTTAGCTTTTGTGGTTGTTAATGTAATGCTCTACTTCTTACATAAAAGATCTTCACAGCATTTAAAGGTAATCCTCCATCTCCATACATACTCATTACACTCCAGAGACCCTTTTTAGTTATTTATGTAGAAATCAGGTAAATCATTACAGTATGTTTTTAAAATATCCACAATTATAGGATTTACAACTCACTTATTTATATTGGAACCCTCTTTTAATCTTTCTCCAACTGCTCCAGTCTTGACAGCTCTCTCTGATCCAGCAAGATCAACCAGAGACATTTTGGACACCTGAAAGCAAAGGAATTTTTTTAAAAGATCAATTGCATTCAAAATTCCAATTTCTATTTAACTTTTAAATTAAAGTTCATTTTTCTTAAAATTTAGCAGTTAACTCAATACAGAGCAAACTATCTAATTTTATAAGTATGATAAATTATTTGCATAAATTTCTATGCGATTTGAACTTGTGAATGTAAAATACTAATTTGTTTTAATTTAGTCACATGAAACATATACAGAACAGTATATGGTAGCTTTCTTTACACTAGAACTACTGTAGTTCAACTGGTCACAAGGATAGTAAATTTTCTTCATCACTGAAAAAATCAAGACCTTACAAGTAAAGCATGACAATACACGCCAGTCATTGAGAACTGCTCAAAGCAGCTGTGATCAAATAAAAGCCAACCAAACTCTACGTGTAATCAAACAAACCTTTCAATCCATCAATAACTTTATTCATAATCAGTTGTACATTTATAATGTACTAGACTATGTTTAAACAATTTCAAGTACAGTACATTATTTTCTTGTAAAAGAAAACTACTAGTAATAAGCATAATACCGATTATAGTTTTACACTACAGTACGTATAACAAAAATAGCAATATCCATTATGAATAAAATCAGCATTGAACGTAATGAAATGCCAGTTTTTGGGATAAACCCAGGAGGCTCCCCGGAGCTAACCGGACTGATATGAATGTATTAAACCCTGGCATCAGTCAATGTGCATAGAGTTCTAGGCCTACCGAGGACCACGAGCCAGAACCTGGCCCCCTCAGAGAGGCACGAGGAGTAATGGCCTATAGAAACCCCCATGTGGTTGGGAGCATTCTACGTCTACCATCGACCAGGCTCAGGCACCCAGAAAGGTAAGCGCCCAAAAAACAAATTCCCTACCCTGGTTAAAATATTGCTACTGAAAGTCGAACTAGTGGACAAAACTCCCCAAAAGAAAACAAGCAAACGAGCATGATGTCACCAAGTCACTGTACCGCTGTCTGTGCAACCCCCACCCTCCCAAGGAGGGGGAAGGAAGAGCCCCAAACCCCCACTCCAGCTATCCACCCTGCAGTTCTGAGGCTAGATGTCAAAAACCACAAAAAAAATGCTGACCTGGTCAGCATTTTTTTTCCCCTGCTGGAGCTGGTTGTGCTGCTCCTGCGGGTTGCGGGGTCGCTGTTTTTCGCTTCGCGTCTTGCGATTCGGTTCGTGGTGCTCATTTTCCTCGTTGGCCTCTGCCTGGGCCCTGGCTCTTCAGTTTTCGTCACCCCTTTGCCCTTGCTGTTTGCGGAGTCTGCAGTTCGGCAAGCGGATTCTTCTTCTTGTCATCTGTTTTTGGCCTTGTTGGTCCTTCAGGGACTCCTTGTTTCTCCCGGACAGGGCATGTCTGCTCACCCTGGTTGGTTCTTTCTCGGCTCAGCGGGTTTGGGTTCCTGGTTTCCTGGCAGCCGTTCCTTCTGGTTCCTTCCCAGTCTTGGTTGGGGCACTGCTTTACTCTGTGTCTAAACCTGAGGGTCATCCCGCGGCTCTGCCTCTTTTTTGCAAATCAGTCCAGCCCAATACGAAGCTGGTTTGTTCTTCCCCTCGAGTCTTCACATTTGGGGTTTTTGTCTCTAGTTTCTCGTCACTTGTATGGGCACTGGTGGCTTTGTTGTTGGTCTCCCACCTGCGTGCTTTGTCTCAGCGGCAGCATGTAGTTTCCTGGCGGTCCTTCCAGGTTTTCCTATCACTGCGTAGATGTACTTCGGTCTCTGTTCAGGTTGTCTTGTCCTTCCTTTTAGGGTTATTCCAGGACTGTCATCTTGTGCCGAATACTGTCACCTTGAATCAGGCGGTGCTAGTGGGGCCGCTCCGGCTTGCATTCGGTGTTGCTATTCCTTCTGCTCCGTTCCACTAGCTATCTCGTGCGTTGTTTCACCTCCGGCCTGCTCATGCCTTCCGGTGCCATCCTGGTCGTTGGCCCGGGAGATCTATATTCTTTCTTCTCCTCAGTTTGTTGTGGCCCCTTCGGTTCAGGTTTGTTTCTTCAGGTCTCTTTTTCCTGTAGACGTTGGCCTCTGGGGTTGGGTATGGGAGTTTCTGGCTCTCCTCAGGAGCATGAGTTTTTTTTTGCTCGTTTGGTCCCAGTGGTGAGTTTGCTCATTTGCTGCAGTCTCCTTTTCTGGTGATGTCTGAGTCTGCTGTTTTCCAGAGGGGTCATTGGATTGATGCTTGGTTGGTCAGGCCGTGAGTGCATCATGTGGTGTGTGTTCGGTTGCAGCTCTTCGCTATACTCTGCACGTCTTGGCCTCTGTGGCAGTGGGCACGCTTTGGTTTGCCCGGTTCCCTTCCTTCCTTCCTGTTCCGAGGTTTGGGTCTTCTGGGTCGTCTGCAGGGTCCTTTGGTTTGGCTTGTCTTTTTTTGTGTTAGGGCGTGTGGCATCCATCTCCTGGGTCCTTCCCTCATCTTTGGCGATACAGCTCTGGGGAGCCGACGGGGCACCCCCCAGAAAACCAGCATTGAATGTAATGAAACGCCATTTTCTGGGCGAGACCTGGAGGCTCCTTGGCATCCCTCCCTCCCTCCCTCCCTACCTCTGGTCGGCAGTGTTTTTTGCGTATCTTGACATCCACCCTAAGAACTGTCGGTTGGATAGCCAGCATGGGGGGTCTGGGGCTCCCCCTTCCCCGCTCCTGGAGAGGGGAGAGTTGCACAGACAGTGGCACGGCGATGTGATGTCGTCATGCTAGTTTGCTAATTTTTGTTTGGGGAGTTCTGTCCACTTGTTCAGCTTACGGTAGCAATAATTTCACCAGGAATAGGGGTTTGTTTTGGGACGCCTACCTTTCTGTGTGTCAGACCTGGTCGATGTCAGACATAGAATGCTCCCAACCACATGGGGGTTTCTATAGGCCATTGCTCCTCGCGCCTCTCTGAGGGGGTCAGGTTCTGGCTTGTGGTCCCTGGTAGGCAAGAACACTATGCACTTTAACTGATGCCAGAAAATTATACATATCCATTCAGCCTGGATAGCTCCGGGTCTCATCCAGAAAATGGTGTTTCGTTACATTCAATGCTGGTTTTTTTAAAGTTATACATAAGAGACAACCTGTAAGCATGAAAAAATTAAATAAATAAAGTGAGAAACAATGAAAATAAGTCAAAGTTATTCCTATGCAGCACCTCAACTCATTTTACCTAAAAATATGCAACTTCTCCAGGTCTCTACAGCTAAACCACAAGAGCTAGGGACTTTATTTGGATTTTTGTACTTCCTGAAGGTTAATTAACAATGTCATAAGAAAAATAATTTTTCCAGAACAATTTTTTTCTTGAGCATACTGCGGAATTTCAGCTAATTAACAGGTAGCTGCTTAAGGGTTAATATCTGCTTGTAGTTTTTCAATGCCTTCAACAGAAGTAATTTTCATGCTGATTTTTGTATCATCTGCAAAGGATGATATGGAGCTGTAACTTGTATTTTTGTCTATACTGTATCTGATATGAGAATAAGGAAAAGCAGTCGTGCAAGGACTGTACCATGAGGTACACAGCTTTTAACTGTACTTGGACTCAGTTTTATTTGGTTGACTGTTATTCTTTGTGTTCTGTTCGACAAAATTTAATAGCCACCGTCCTACTTTACCTGTTATTCCCACTGACTTCATTTTGTGTGCTATCATTCGATGATCACATTTATCAAATGCCTTTGCAAAGAACGTGTACACCACATCTGCATTTTGTTTTTCTTCTAATGCCTCGTTGAATTTGTCATAGTGGTCAAGTAGCTGTGAGAAGCATGACCTTCCAGCTCTAAATCCACATTAGCCTGGGTTGTGGAGTCTCCATGAAACTGGTGACCCGACTCCTGATCACTCTCTCAAATACTTTCTATTATGTGGCATGTTAGTGGAACTGGTCTGGATCTGGATTCTTATCCAATGCTTTGCTTGCTCCCATGTGTCAAGGAGCTATGTCTGCTAAATGTTCGTAAGTTCCCTGTTTCACTTTTCCCAGTCTATCCTTTTATTATTAAAATTTCATTTACATGTTGACATGAAGCACCAGGCAAAATAACTGATGTATCAGGTTGTGGGATACTTTGTAATGATCAAGTAGATAGGCACGCAGCCACCTGGAGATGTGTAGGTGTAACTAGCAATTGAAATGCTTCATGACTGGGTGGTTTATTCATTTTGGTGTCTAGTTTTCCATGTTATGTTTACTGTGTTGATTCTCTGTACTGTCTCACCTTTTCAGTGTTTTTATCTTGGTTATACTTGTGTAGTATCCTCTGTTCTGTGCCTCTATAGAGGGGGGCCAGATTTCGGTCTCTAGTTCTCAGTAGGCTTATTATGACTTGCAAGAGCCTAGGGTGGATTGAATTCAGTGGAGCTATCCAAGTAGCTAGCAACATGGCGCAACCATAGAAGCCTCCCAGAAAAACTTACTGTAAGTATTTGCATTTTCTTTTCATTACTTTTTGGATGCAAATGTATCATTTCACAGGATTTTTTTTTTTTTTTGCACAGGCAGACACCTTTGAAGATTGCTGCATTTTAGGGGTTAAAACAATAAATTTCCTAAAAGTATAATATTGCATTAAAATATCTATACAGTATACAGTAATTACAAATTTTTTTGTTTAGAAAAAATGTATTTTAAATAAGGGTAAAGAAATTAAGATAACAGATTTAGAAAATAAGTAATATCTTCTTTACTAGAATATAAATCTTCTCACCTTTTCTCCCGAGACTCCAGATGCAACATCACTAACAGTCTGTGTGAGCACAATTGTGAACACTGCGTGTGAACGTGAAGACTCACTGTTCATGTTAGTGGCTGCTACTGTCCTCGCCTTGTTTCCTTCTTCAATCAATTGTTCTATTTCCTATTTAAATTAATTATTATTACAAAAAGTTACAAAAAAAAAATGGGTTTGTGTTGCATGTGTGTACATTTATATCCACTTGTGTGCATGTGTGTAAATGTGTGTATATATATTACAATTTGTGAACATGTATATCCAAACATGTACAGTACATATATGTCTACATGTGTAAGCATTTGCCGAGTAAAAAAACCCAGCGTTGACTGTAATGAAATGCCATTTTCTGGGTGAGCTCCAGGAGCTCCCTGCAGCTATCGGACTAATATGCAATTCATTAGACCGGGGCATTAGTCATAGGAGTTCAGCCTATCGGGGACCAGGAGCCAGAATCTGGCCCCCTCAGAGAGGCACAGGGAACAATGGCCTTGGGAAAAAAAACTGTGGTTGGGGGTTTCCTTTATCTGCCATCGACCGGGAATAGGCACCCAGAAAGGTAGCCGTAACAAAACAAACCCCACACAGTAAGAAAATTGCAACCTAAAAGAGGCAGAACTCCATTCAATCCCAAGGAAATAAGAAAACAAACAAACGTCACATTCCACTGCCATGTAGCTTGTCCACGTAGCCTCTGCACTGGCGAGCCCTAGATTCCTGCACCGGCAACCTAGCCATGCCAGTTCAGAGGTTAAGTATCCAAACAACGCAAAAACTGCTGACTGAAGGGAGGGAGGGTTGCTAGGGAGCCTCCGTGGCTTACCCGGAAAATGGCGTATCATTATATTCAATGCTATTTTTCCCTTCGGCTTCTTCGAGCTACATGACCAAAGATAAAACATGAGGGACTTACCCGCGAGGCAGCCGCCACAAACTCAATGGGCAGTTAAGGTAATTGGCTGTAACCTGCGACCCAAAGCAACACAGAAACATTAACAAAATAACAGGTGGCCAGGACCTGTTCACCCTCCAAATTCCCTGCGCCCAAATATCAGCTCAAGAAATGTTGCCAAATACGGCAGCCAATTAAGCAAACTTCCTAACATGGGCACGAGGATAGATCACAGGCTGGCTAGACATAATAACCCTCCGGACGACCTGAGACCCCCGAGCCCTGGAACAGGGAATGAGGGGAACTGGATCAACCCATAGCGCATCCCCAGCCACCGAAGCCGAAGCGCGCAGATAACGGTGGAGAGCCGCAACCAGACAACACATGATGCAACCCCCCCGGCCTGACCAACCAAGCATCAATGACCCAAGGACCCCTGTAGAAAGCAGCCATCTCGTTCTTTGCCAGAAAAGAAGGAGAAGGCTGCAACCGAACAAACCTACCACCAGGAGCAAAAGAGCAGAAACCCCTGCGCTGGGAGAGAGTATGCAGTCCCTTGACCCAACACTAAGAGGCCAATGCCAACAGAAACAGAGCCTTGGAAAAACAATGTTGAACCAAAGGGACCACCACAAACCAAGGAGAGGAAAGATAGGAGAGCACCTTGTCCAAGGACCAGGACGGCTCAGGCGGCACATGAGAAGCCAGAGGTGAAACAAAACATGAGAAAGCTTACAGAACGAGGCAGAAGAGACATCCACCCCAAACGCAAGCTGAAGCGGTTCTGCCAGCGCATCATATGATGGTCCTGAAAAAGTCAGGACAGAAAGAACAAGATAACTAGATCTGAAATAGAAGACAACCTATAAAGAGAGAGAAAATGGCAGAAAGAACGCCAGGAAACTTCCTACTGTCGCCAAGATGAAGCTCTCAGGTGGAACACCTTAAATGAAGCCACTTGATCACCATACAAATGGTGATAAGTCCTCGTAAAAAAACAAGATGCGAAGACAGAGGAGAAGACCGAACCAGCCAAGTACCGGACTGGTCCACCCTGCTGGAATATGCAGAGCCATATGAAACGTCCTGGGTTCACACACCAAGCAAGGCGCGCCTGGAACCAAGGCTGGACCAGCCACCAAGGGGCCATGAGGACTACTCTCCCTTGGTAGGACTCCATACGAGCCAAAACTTGAAGCAACAGCTGGACCAGGGGGAAGAGGTACAGGTAACCCTACCTCGACCAGTCCTGCCGAAAGGCATCCACCACGACAGCCTTGCAGTCGGGAAAGGTCACATAGATCACGAGATGCCGAGACCACACCAACACAAAGTCGTCCACATTCGGGAGTCCGTACCTCAGGCAGAGCCAACGGAAGGAGTGGCGTCAACCATCTATTCTGCGTTAAGCTTAACAACCGTGTTAAGTGAATAAATTTAAAGTTAGGGTCGTTATGTTTAATGACATCATGGCTGGCTAATCTAGCTAGAAGTTGCTAGGGGAAGATTTATGGCTCTGTAGAACACAAATAATTTATTACCTGATGGAATTGTAGATATTTTCCATGCATAAGGTGGGATTGCAGGGTTGGAGCTGGCCCTTTCGTGGTTTGCCCCTTTGATGGTGTAGGCAGCTTATCCTGTTTGCCAATGCCTGGTCCCATGATTCTGTGGTGGAGTTGGTCGGTACTTCCTCCTCCTGGGGGTTCAAGCCTTCCTCTTTTTGGGGTTCAAGCCTTACTGGGCAGGCTTTCTCGCCTCTCCTCTGTCAGATTATTTTGGAGTGGGTGGCCTCGGTCATGGCCTCTCTCTCTCTCAAACAACTCTCTCTCTTTGGTGGGTTGCCTGCCTCTTTCCATTCCTGAAACAGGATTCTCATCACCTCTGGTTCATCCTCGACTTTTTGCAGTTGACCCTTCTACTCGACAACCACATTGTCCTAGGTCCGTCTCGTGCTCGATGCGGACACTTAGATGATTTTCTTGAATCTCCGGGACATGTATTGGCATGTCCCCATATATCCGGGGTTCAGGGATTGGTTAGGTTTTGGCATGTGGTAGCAGTCTTATCACTTTTGGGTCCTTCCATTCAGGCTCAATCTGGCTCCATGTGTGTTTGCATGCTTGGCTCAGGTTGTGGTGGCCTGTCTTCATTTGCTTGGCGCTCACTGGGTTCAGGTTTCTGGTGAACTGGCAGAAGTCTCACTTGGTTCTGTCCTAGGTTCAGACTTGGCTGTTCGAGAAGGATGGTTCGAGGATGGAATTTTGGAATTTTTGTCAGTGTCACTTTCCCTGACTCTGGTGGCCTTGACCTGACTGCATTCTGCCCTCTGTTGGTGTTGAGACAGACTTGGGTGACTTGGTGGTTGCTCGAGTAGTTGTGTGGGAGCCTCTCTTTGCTGTCCTCTTATATTTATTCCCTGGGCAGGGTTTGGCTTTGGAGGCTGTTCTCTGGAGCAGCCCCTGATATCAAGATTGTTGGGTGCAGACTCCGTTGGGACTTTGCCAGCTGCTGCATCTCCAGTTTCCTCTTCAGGCTTTTTGGGGTTTGGATCCCTGGCACCTTCCTCCACCCTCACTTGACGTCTTCACGGACGCCTCGGCTCTTGGTTGAGGCTTTGTGACTAACAATCATCAGGCTGACCAGGGTTATTGATCTCCCCTCCTTTGTCGGAAGCATAATCCAGTTTGAGAGTTTGCGGCCATGTGGCATGTGTTGCTGAGAGTATGGATCTCTGGCTCTATTTAGTCTGTTCTCATGTGGTTCACTGCCTCAATCAGGGGTGTTTATTTCAATCCCTGCCTCTTTGGAGCTGAACACTTCGGGTAGCTCTTCTGATGGGCTCTTGGGGTTTGGCTCTCCACATGGTTATGTTCAGGTAGTGTCCAACATCCTCGCAGATGGTCTGTTCCATTCCACGGAGTGGACCATCAATGCCACCTCCTTCCTGTGGTTTTGCAAGACCTTCAGGCACCTGGATATGGACCTCTTTGCATCAGCATGGTCTCGGCGCCTTCCCTTGTACCCGGCACTATTCCCCGTTTGTGAGGCCCTCATGGTAGAATCCTTTCAGCTGGACTGGTCAAGGTGGGGGTTGCTATAGCTCTTTTTCCCAGTCCAGCTGTTGCTTCAAGTCCTGGTGAGGCTGGAGTCCAATAGGAAAAAAGTGATCCTTCTGGCTCCTTGGGTGCCAGCTCAGCTTTTGTTTCAGAGGCTGCATGCTTAGTGTCCATACCTGGGCATTTTTCCACGACTCCACCTCTATCAGAGGGTTGGCCCGGTGACATACTTTACTCAATCGACCTCCTCCATTTTTTTGTGTTTGAACTTTTTTATGCATCTTTACCTCCATCTCTGTGACAATCGGGTGCCTATGTTGAAGGTGTCCCACCTGCAGTCCTGTTCAAAGCAGCAGTATGAGGTTTTATGGAGTTAGTTTTGTCACTTTCTCTTCATTGCTGTTCATCTGTGTCTGAGCAGGTGGTGCTCTCTTTTCGTCTTGGCTTTTTCCTGATTGACATCTCATTGCCAAATACTTTTACCTCGTATCACCTGGCTTTGGCAAAGCCACTACAGCTTGTACTCAAGAGTCGATACTACTTTGGCTCCATTTTGCTAGCTGTCTCATGTGTTGCTTCACCTCAGGCCTGCTCAAGTCCCACCTGAGCCTGATTGGTCTCTTGACCGTGTTCCTTCCTTTCTTTCCTCCATTTGGTTTACAATGTCCCCTTCTGTCTAGGCTTATTTCTTGAGGGCTTTGTTTTTGGTTTTTCTTGCTTCTGGTTGGTGGATGGGCGAGTTTCATGCTCTCCTCTGACACCAGAGATTTTGTTTGTTTGGTTCTGGTGGGCAGGCAGTTTGTTCGTTTGCAGCCAGCTCCCTCTTTTCTGGCCAAGAATGAGTTTGTTGGGTTCTGAAAGGGTCCTTTAGTTTGGCCTGGAGCACATGATGTGTTGTGTCCGGTGGCAATTCTTTGTTACCTTTGTCCCACTGGTTCTGCTGCTATGAATTCTTTTTGGATTGATACCGTGGTCTCCAGTACCAAGGATCTTATTTCTCGGGTTGTCTGCAGTGTCATTAAGTCTAGCTAGTCTGTGGTCTACCCTTGCTTTCATGATGTTCGGAAATTTGCCGCTCTATCGGCTGTCTTCGCAAATATGTTCTGGGCTGATATTCAGGCTTGCAGGTTTTGGAGGTCAAGCAGGGTTCTAGTGGCCAGGTGGCCTGGGCACCAGTATCCTTGTATGACTTTTGGTCATGTTTTTTGGCCGAGTCTCTCTTCTTCTTCATGGTACTTGCAAAGCTCCCCTCCTTCCTGGTAACTGCCCATTTCCTCCTTATTCTTGGATAGTTAGCTTTAGGGAGCCACAAGGGGCTTTCCCCCAGAAAACCAGCATTGAATGTAATGAAACAACAACTTCTGGGTGAGCCCCGGTCACTTCCTGACACCTTACCTTCCATCAGGTCACTCCTGTTATGCGAATCATAACAGGAGCTCCCAGATGGACTAAAATACTGAACCCAAGACTAGAAACCAAGCTAACGTCGATTGAAATAAGGGTAAAAGGGATTGCTGCGTGCATGCTGACCAAGATATTGACTAGACCTAGAATCAGTTCACTTAAAGATATAATTACTGGAGCACTAACTCTGGACAATAGCAACAGGTGGACCCATTGTGCGATAAACACCACCAATACATTCGATATAACACAGTCACTGAGAAGGGTGTCGACGAAATACATGCAGACTTTGTTATGCAATCCCCTTGGGAATCTCCGCCAGCAGACTTTAAGATTATGGTTATTGAAGGAAAAAAGAACCAGACAAATCCTCATCTGCTACATAATATTGCACAGATGCATACAGAAGCAAACTTGGCATCCGACAGCTTCACTTACTTAACAGATGGGTCAGTAGACCAGCAGAGACAAGAAACCAGAGCTGCAGTTAAAGCAGGAAACTCTGTAAATAGTTGGAGGCTCTCAAATGGGTGTTCGACTTTACAAACAGAGATGCTAGCCATTCAAAAGGCTTTGGAACATGCTCTTGCTGAACACCAACAACATGTTATCATACATACAGATTCGAGAACCACCATTGAAACCTTGCAACAAGAACACATATGTGATAACATACATCTGATCACAAATGTCATATCAGAAATGCAAACACTCAAACGACAAGGCCGACGGGTACTTATCAACTGGGTGCCAAGTCATGTGGGAATAATAGGAAATAACATTGAAGACGAAGCTGCAAAACTTGCAACTAAGAGAAGAAATGTAGACATTTACATACCACAGAGTCTATCACAGATTAAGAAAGTAATTAGAAACAGAGCAATGCAAAAGATGTACAGTGACCACAACACAGCAGTTGCAATATCAGGATCTGCGGGTTGGTACAAGAATTCAACCAACTACGAACCACTTAGCTTGATGAAAGGGAGCAGTAGAACAACAGAACTACACTTACATCGCATCAGGCTTGGATACCCATGTGCATGGGAAATAGGCTTACAGGTTCCGGAAGATGAGAGGAAATGTCAGCACTGCGGAAAAATGCCCGACAGACCACTGGAACTTTATCTAACACAGTGCACAGTTACAAACCCAGTAAGATTTCAACTTAGATTCAACAGAGCAGAAGAAGTTGTTAAACATATATGGCAAAATCTTACTAAAGCAACCATACGAGTCATAAATACTCATACTCCGCCCAAGTAAAACAGAAACAAGCAACACTTAGTGGGCCAGCCAGAGGCTTAGGGCCTGCACAGGAATATCCCTGCATAAAAAAAAAAAAAAACAAAAAAAAAAACAGGTCATTGGGGGCATTTACAGAGAATTGTGGGTAGAGCAGCCAGCTGACTACAAGCTACCTCTCCCCTTCCCCAAATCAGTGAGGGAGGAGACTGCACTAGTCTCATGAAATTTTGATAATTTGTTTACATAATTTAGGGAGTTCTTTAGGCAGTTCTCAAGGCTGTGGTTTCGTTTAAAGCTAGCAGTGGTTTGTTTTGCTTCAATGACTTTCTGGGTGCCTTCCTTGGAAGTGGCATAAATAAGTTAATAAATAAAGGCCACCACTCCTTGCCCCTCAGTGATGGTACCAGGTTCTGGTGTTGGTCCCTGGCAGGCCATGGAACTCTGCAACTGATTGGATCCAGTAGTATGGCACACTATAGTAGCTTCAGGAAGCTACTAGAGGCTCATCCAGAAATTGACGTTTCATTACATTCAACGCAGGTTTCTTAACATATCTTTCTGCCACCTCTCTTCCAGATGATAAGAGAAAAACAACAACAAAACCATAAGCAATCCCTATCAACTACATCTAATTAAAGAGAAAATACTAATTTTAACAAAGTACAGTAATCAAATTGTATTCTGAACTTCAGTACTAACTACACATTGCAAATTGACTTGCCTCATATGATGATACAGCCAGTAATGAGAGCCCATCCACATATGGTCCCAAAATGTTGTGTTCTCGCACCTTCAGTGTCTGTCTAGACCCTTTGGGATCTAGCAAGTCATGCACCTGTCAAAGAAAAATATCTTTCTTACAACATGTAAATAGAACATTTATGATAATTATGCAATTAAAATATCTAAACATTATAAACAAGAAACTGTGGAATGAAGTAAGACAAGTATTAAACCAAATCCTTTTCTTGATAACCTTTGTTATTCTCTTTTAAAGGGCATTTCACCAAGTGAAAAACTGGATGAAAATACAAAAATATATTATAATTGCACTATAACACAATATATATTATGCGAACAAGCCTGAATATATTTTTAATATATATTATATATATATGACAGTGTCAGACCACGGAGGAAAATTGAAACAGGAATTTCCTTACGTACTTTCGTATATTAATACATCTTCAGGAGTGGTTTTACAGGTCGAGTACTGGACATAAATAGGCAGGAGAGAATGGTGAAGTAAGGTGAGGTACAATAAGTGGACATAAATATGAGCCGCACAAAAACTGCAGAGGGCTTATTGGCCCATCCGATGCAGCTCCCATTCATAACCACACACAGGCCCACACATGGATAATCATAGCATAAGATAGTAAATATTTACAATAAATTAGTGAGACAAATGTGTTCCAATGATCCTACTCAAATTGCCCTTTAATTGATCTATTAAAAATGGATCTAAGTTATATAAACCACTGCTAATGTTCAAATTACTTTCTTTTGTGATCTGTATCAAAGCAGATTCAATTATGTTTCTGTTATTGGTGCTTTTACAATTCGTTATTGAAGAAGCCATCTCCCAATCAATTTGGTGAGCATCTTCTGACAAATGAACAAACAAAGCATTAGACAATTGGCCATGTCTTACAGAGGATTTATGTTGCAAAATTCTACATTTCAAATCTTTAGATGTTTGCCCAACATAGAACTTATTACAGTCTTTACAAGGTATTTTATAAATGACACAATTATCACTACAAGGGATGTTTCTAACAAATAGCTTACCAACAGTATTTTCATAGCTAAACAATACATGTATATCAAAAAGTTTCAAGGCTTTGACAATATTTTCAAACCCAGAGAAATATGGTAAACATAACACATTCTTTGGGCGAATTTTTTCTTCTTTCCAAAATTCTTAGATGAAGATTTTAAGAATATTGATTCGATTGGTCTCAAGCTTTGTTACCCACTGAATTTTTTGTAAGTTTGCTGTAGCAAAGCACGTCGTACATATTATAATAATATATGCAGAGAAAAAATTCGCCCAAAGAATGTGTTGTGGTTACCATATTTCTCTGGGTTTGAGAATATTGTCAAGGCCTTGAAACTTTTTGATATACATGTATTGTTTAGCTATGAAAATACTGTTGGTAAGCTATTAGTTAGAAACAGCCCTTTTAGTGATAATTGTGTCATTTATAAAATACCTTGTAAAGACTGTAATAAGTCTTTACAAGGTATTATCATTATCATTAATACCAAGGTATTATCAGTAATGTTGATTACCCAGTAATCAACATTACTCCAGAAAAAAGGCAGGGAACCCCATTTGATTGTGCAGTGTGAGAAACTGGAATCATTTACTCCTGCTTAGTGGCTGGGTAATCCAGTGAGATTTTCTTGACCAGGAGCAAGGTCTAGCTTGGGGTGTGAATGACAATGTGCCCAATGTCCTACATAATTGGTCGGGTCTGCACGTTATGGAAGAGGCAACATACATGTGTAGTACCTGTACAGTGCTGACATGGGAAAACATTTGTGTTGTGCAGTAGTCATTACAAGTATAATTCACTCAACCAAACAAATTCATATGATGAATCATTTATACAGTCCATCATATAATGATTCTTTTTATGTCTGTAATGCTAACCAACCTTTTCATTGTAGATTTCCATATATGAGACCTCGACCTTGTGTGAGGTAAGAGGGCTTGCACCTGCAGCAATACGCTCAAACAAAGTGTCAGAGAGGCGAGGGATGAGGCCTTTGCTGTCTGCCGCTCCCATCATGGTGTAAGACTTGCCAGATCCTGTAATAAATATATATTTATTTATATATAAACAACATAATAATTGCCAATCCACGAGAAGTTGACATAATAGCACTAGAGATGTGCAATCAGGATGATAAACTAACGATCATAAATGCATATAGTCCACTGCCAAGCAACACATGGACAAAGGAGGAGCTAGATAATAAACGAGAGGGTCTTATAACAATAATGACAGAAATTATAGCGAGAGCTTACAAAGATAAATCACGACTGTTGGTAGTCGGCGACTTCAACTTGAAATCCATAGACTGGGAGGTATATGAAGCTAGAACGGAGGATTTTTGGACTTTTAGATTCATAAACCTCATCCTGCAAACATTCATGTTTCAACATGTTAAACAAGTTACGAGGATGAGGGAAGGGGATGTTCCCTCCATGCTGGATTTGATATTTACCAGGAAAGAGTAAGATATTTAACATTCAGTAACTCCCTCCCTTGGGTAAAAGTGACCATGTCTTTTTTGGGAATAAAGCATGCAATGCATTATAATCTGGAAGAAAATGAGGTTGAAGCAGTTGAAAAGCCTGATTTCAGAAGAGATCGTTATGGGGAACTTAAGACATTTCTGTGAGGAATTTGACTGGAAAGACTTGCTGTTAGGACATGAAGTAAATGAGATTTATGTCAAGTTTTGTGAAATATATGATAAAGGCACAAAAAAATTTATACCAAAATAGAGATGCAGAACTAGGAAACAGGATTGGTTCGACAGAAATTGCAAGAGGGCCAGAGACCAAAAGACACAAAAATGGAATCAATACAGGAAGAGGCCAAACCCCCAAACATACCAGCGATACAAAGATGCGAGAAACAACTACAAGGCAGTGAGGAGAGAGGCAGAAAGAAATTTTGAAAAAGGGATTGCGGACAAATGTAAAACAGAACCAGGTCTATTCTATAAATTCATAAACAACAAATTGCAGGTAAAGGATAATATTCAGAGGTTGAAAATGGGAAATATATAATATTTCCCAATATATAACAATCACCACCTTAGAAATAACATTCGGCTGGACAAAAGGTGATAACACACTGTATAATGACTGTTAATGTTTCAGTGGAGGTCAACAGTCACACACGAGAACTGCTCCCACCCTCCAAACACAACCAAATCTTTCCTATTATTACTTTGTTATAAAGTTTTTATGACGCTATAACTTTGTTACAACTAGTTAGATAGTTGCTACAACTTATTAGAAGGTATTACTGTACAACAGAGATCACACTAAAGTAATGCATCAAATGAACAAATCCACAAGGGCCGTGACGAGGATTCGAACCTGCATCCGGAAGCATCCCAGACACTGCCTTAATCGACTGAGCTACGACAGGTCACTTAAGCTCAGTCGGTTAAGGCAGTGTCTGGGATGCTCCCGGACACAGGTTCGAATCCTCGTCACGGCCCTTGTGGATTTGTTCAACTTGCTCGAATGTTGAACCAAATGTACTGTACTTTCGTCGTGTGTTTGGCGGTCACTTACATCACCCACACTTACAACATTTTTTAGTTTTATTAATTATTTACAGACTCACTGTTAGAGGGTAGTGTGGATGTCTTACCGTTCAGTAGTTGGCGTAGCGGCTGTAACACTAGCCTACTGAGTGAAGGGAAGGGTACTGAAGAGTGAGGGGTTGATACTTGTGGGGTGAGGGGAGTAGTTTGTGGAATGGGAGGAGTGAGAAGCCTGGGTAGTGGTAGTGTTTCACACTAAAGAGTCAAAGAGGGCGGCCAGAGGCATGAGTACAGCAGTAGTACGACTCACCGGTCTGACCATAAGCAAAGATGCAAGCGTTGTACCCGGTGAAGGCATTATTGAGTATGTCTTGCCCCACGGCCGTGAACACTGTCTCCTGCGTGGCGAAGGCCGGACTCTCGATGGATAGGGAGTCGAAGCAGTGGTCAAAGGCAAAGGTCTTGGGCTGCTTCCGGCTGAAAAACAAATGGCAATCGTTAGCGTCCTTTCCCGCCGACACATACTTTAGCATTATCTCTCATTACTCCGCATTATTACACTCGACCCACACAAATTTTATAAACTTTTAGCGAATATATGGTGTCAATAATATACTCGCTCCAAACTCTCATTAGCTTAATGAGATGGGTTTGTTAAGTCTACTTAATCCACCAATGACAAAACTCAAACATCTTCCCCAATTACAGTTAACACTCCTTCCAACCTATTAGGTGAGGTATGGTCAGATTATATAAGCAATCGAGAAGCGAGTCTACTCCTACCTCGAAATAGCCTTAGAGCTAGCTAGCGCCCCAGCTATTCTCTGCTGCCTTATTGACAAAGAGGTCAAAGGTAACCTGCTTTCCTGGCCCAAAAAAATCTCCCCCAGGAGACCCCCAGAACACAAGGAGGCCCCAGGACATAACAAGGAGGCCCCAGGACATAACAGGGAGGCCCCAGGACATAACAGGGAGGCCCCAGGACACAACAGGGAGGCCCCAGGACACAACAGGGAGGCCCAGGACAAAACAGGGAGGCCCAGGACAAAACAGGGAGGCCCCAGGACACAACAGGGAGGCCCCAGGACACAACAGGGAGGCCCCAGGACACAACAGGGAGGCCCCAGGACACAACAGAGAGGCCCCAGGACACAACAGGGAGGCCCCAGGACACAACAGGGAGGCCCCAGGACACAACAGAGAGGCCCCAGGACACAACAGGGAGGCCCCAGGACACAACAGGGAGGCCCCAGGACACAACAGGGAGGCCCCAGGACACACCAGGGAGGCCCCAGGACACAACAGGGAGGCCCCAGGACATAACAAGGAGGCCCCAGGACACAACAGGGAGGCCCCAGGACATAACAAGGAGGCCCCAGGACACAACAGGGAGGCCCCAGGACACAACAGGGAGGCCCCAGGACACAACAGGGAGGCCCCAGGACACAACAGGGAGGCCCCAGGACACAACAAGGAGGCCCCAGGACACAACAGGGAGGCCCCAGGACACAACAGGGAGGCCCCAGGACACAACAGGGAGGCCCCAGGACACAACAGGGAGGCCCCAGGACACAACAGGGAGGCCCCAGGACACAACAGGGAGGCCCCAGGACACAACAGGGAGGCCCCAGGACACAATATACAACCCACTAAACAGTGTGCTGGAGACTAATCCACGCAGGTAAACATTACCCTCAATATTTAGTAGAGGAGAAAAAGCCGCTCGCTAGTGAGCATATATAATACATTATCTAATATTATCATACAAAGTGCACGACTTTGGCCGGAGTTGGCATGCGTGGGATATTGTGGAACACTTAGCCAGTGTGTCTCTTATGGGTAGTGACCTGGAACTTACCTGGAGAGGGTTTCAGGAGTTTTTCTACTCCCCTCGTCCAGGCCAGGCTCTACTTGTGATAACTTGGTCCAACAGGCTGTTGAAGTGGCCCATAGGCCCACATATCTACTACAACTTGGTTGGTCCGGCACTTCTTGCAAGAACTTATTTAAATGCTTCCTGAAGACATCCGCCTTTGTTTCGGCAATATTTATAATGCTTGCTGGGAGGATATCGAACAGCCTTGGACCTCTGATATTCAGACAGTGCTCTCTGATTGTGCCTATGGCACCTCTACTCTCCACTGGTTCTATTGCATTTCTTCTGTATCTTTCCAGTATGTTGCTCCCACCTTCCCTCGCCTCACCACCAGTGCCCCCCTCACCTTCCCTCCCCCACCACCAGTGCCCCCCTCACCACCCCTCCCCCACCACCAGTGCCCCCCTCACCACCCCTCCCCCACCACCAGTGCCCCCCTCACCACCCCTCCCCCACCATCCCTCCCCCACCACCAGTGCCCCCCTCACCACCCCTCCCCCACCACAAGCCGTCACCGTAGATGTCGCGGGTGTAATGACTGGACATTCAGTAATGTATGGTGTGAGGTCATGACCCAGTTCCTGCTCACAAAGTTTACAGCTGGAGTGCTCCTGATTGCGAGGTTCGTCACCCGTAGCCACCTGCCACTGGCAGCCCAACCTCATCCTGCATGCACTACGTCACACTGTCTGGCTCACGTTTTGTACTGCACGCATATTAATTAGGCATCAGATCTATGCGATTAAAAACATTTTATACTGGTGCTTTCAGGCCTTTCAGAGTCAATATTATCTTTTATCAGATGTATACATTTCGAGGAATATAGTTAAGTCGCGCATATTTTTATTTTTTTTATTAATACATTTAGGTACATCTGTATTTGTGCAGCTACCCTAGACTATATGAAGGGGAGTACAGTGCCGCTGACACTTCTTCACGTCCACTCTACGGGTTTCCACACCCAAGTTTCATTTACATTCTTCAACGGTCTCAGCGGGACTAGTCTTCTCAACCTTCTCTCCCTCACTCTCTCCTTCCTTCCTCTGGTCCCTCTCTCTCTCTCTCTCCCTACTTCCCCCTGACCCCTCCCTCACTCTCCTTGTGTTATGTGCTCCTATGTACCTTCTAATGCCATTTTATTTGAGCATATTTGGGGGCTTATCCAGAAATTTCACCAGCCAGTAGTTCATTATTAGGTTAAGTGCTTTGTCTGGTGTCAGGAAGAAGGAAATGTTTCAGGCGCAGGTAGTTTATGGCGGAGGTTTCCCTTGACTTAGCAATTAATGAGGTTTTGTGAGGGATGTTAGTGAGGGATGTGTCGGGTCGTAGTGGTGGGATGTGTCGGGTAGTAATGGTGGGATGTGTCGGGTCGTAATGGTGGGATGTGTCGGGTCGTAATGGTGGGATGTGTCGGGTCGTAATGGTGGGATGTATCGGGTCGTAATGGTGGGATGTGTCGGGTAGTAATGGTGGGATGTGTCGGGTCGTAATGGTGGGATGTGTCGGGTCGTAATGGTGGGATGTGTCGGGTCGTAATGGTGGGATGTGTCGGGTCGTAATGGTGGGATGTATCGGGTAGTAATGGTGGGATGTATCGGGTCGTAATGGTGGGATGTATCGGGTAGTAATGGTGGGATGTGTCGGGTAGTAATGGTGGGATGTGTCGGGTAGTAATGGTGGGATGTGTCGGGTCGTAATGGTGGGATGTATCGGGTAGTAATGGTGGGATGTGTCGGGTAGTAATGGTGGGATGTGTCGGGTAGTAATGGTGGGATGTGTCGGGTCGTAATGGTGGGATGTGTCGGGTAGTAATGGTGGGATGTATCGGGTAGTAATGGTGGGATGTGTCGGGTCGTAATGGTGGGATGTATCGGGTAGTAATGGTGGGATGTGTCGGGTCGTAGTGGTGGGATGTGTCGGGTCGTAGTGGTGGGATGTGTCGGGTAGTAATGGTGGGATGTGTCGGGTAGTAATGGTGGGATGTGTCGGGTAGTAATGGTGGGATGTGTCGGGTAGTAATGGTGGGATGTGTCGGGTAGTAATGGTGGGATGTGTCGGGTAGTAATGGTGGGATGTGTCGGGTAGTAATGGTGGGATGTGTCGGGTAGTAATGGTGGGATGTGTCGGGTAGTAATGGTGGGATGTGTCGGGTAGTAATGGTGGGATGTGTCGGGTAGTAATGGTGGGATGTGTCGGGTAGTAATGGTGGGATGTATCGGGTCGTAATGGTGGGATGTATCGGGTAGTAATGGTGGGATGTGTCGGGTAGTAATGGTGGGATGTGTCGGGTAGTAATGGTGGGATGTGTCGGGTCGTAATGGTGGGATGTGTCGGGTCGTAGTGGTGGGATGTGTCGGGTAGTAATGGTGGGATGTGTCGGGTCGTAATGGTGGGATGTGTCGGGTAGTAATGGTGGGATGTGTCGGGTAGTAATGGTGGGATGTGTCGGGTCGTAGTGGTGGGATGTGTCGGGTAGTAATGGTGGGATGTGTCGGGTCGTAGTGGTGGGATGTGTCGGGTAGTAATGGTGGGATGTGTCGGGTCGTAGTGGTGGGATGTGTCGGGTCGTAATGGTGAGGTTTGAAGAGAAAAATAACAAATGTCAATATTCTACTGCCAACTTTATCAAATGGTAGAGAGGAAACAAGCACAGTAGCACCATTACCACACATGTTAACACCAACATACATTATAAAAAACACCCAAATCAAACAACGTTCACTTTATAGCTGACCTAAATGAGGCAAAGGCCGTGTTCGGAGCCCCAATTGAAACTTACACCAAGGATTACTATGATAGTGAAATATCGATCCCAGAGTACAATGTTTCAGATGTGACAGGACACACCGGCTTCAGGCTGGGGTCAGCCTCTACGTCGAAGACACACTCATCTGTACTGAGCTACTGAACACCACAAACGATATGGTTTGCTTATAATCAAAATATATTCTAAGTGTAGTTATTGTCCTTGTATATGAGTCACCAGAGGCGAATCCTTAACAGTTTAAAGACAATCTAATAAAAATAGAATAGTGTTGAGGTGCCCTGCCCCAAACATCATCTGGCTTGGGGACTTCAACCCGAGGCACCTAAAGTGGAAGAATGTGGCAAATACAATTGCATATAAAACAATCCCAGGAAGTAGTCTAAATGATTAGTTACACAAATGACCTGTAAGAACACATTTGTCTTAAACAATCAAATAGAAGAACCAACTGGAAAATAAATCACACTTTACCTTATTTCCACAAATAACGACTAGCTCTCAGACACATAATGATTACAAATACATGTTACTCAGATCACAAGCTAACAAGGGCGACAAGGATGGGCAACAAACCTGGCCAACCAGTCCCAAATTCTAGAGGACGGAGGAGGAGAATTCATCAAATTCAAATTGAAAGATAAGATTAATTGGGAACTAATAAACCAAGACCTCACCGAAATAAGTTTAAAAGAACAGCTAGAAAGCGCAAACTTAAATCAATGCCTCGAAAAAATACATGCGACTATAAGAAATATTGCCGGAACAACCGTGGACATCTTCAAGAGAAAACTGGACTGTTTACTAAGAGCTAAGAGAAGTTACGGATTAGCCGGG